ATATAAGAATAATGTGGTTTTTTAACTGTATGTTGTACTGTTAACGATAGAACGATAGGTAAATTCCAAGCACTTAGTTTTTTATCTAATATAAGTATATTGCGTGCGAGAACCTCATGTGTAGTGCGCCTTTCAATATAAGCAGTTATTCTAGATGTTTCTCTAAGGGGTTGTACTTTAAGATCCTTCTCTTGTTTAGAAAGCCAATTAGTAATTTGGTAGCTCACGTTTAATTAGCGTATAAAATAGATAAACCCCGGCCTACTAATGCTATGTGATATGGAGTACTTTTAGTTCGTTTTTTAATTAATTCATCATAAACATATTACAACAAATATCAACATTCAATACACAGTAACATGTAAAAGTTACTCGAATTGTACAATTTGACTTTTTTCCTCAGTGACAAAATGAGCATTTTTAACCATTGTAATAAAAGACATAATAAATATTGGCGATTTAATATCTTCAACATAGTCTTACAATTGGGTTGAATTTACAGGGAAACAAGTATTCTTTTCGATCAGATCGACTCATCAACTATGCGAATGCAGGGGATTGCTTTAGTAATCTCTCACGAGATGGCGCACCAGTGGATCGGGAACCTGGTTACAATGGTAAAAGTTTCCTTGCTCATCAACGGGCAGACCCGCCAAAGTAGGTACGCTCATCATCTTGTTTTCCGCAAAAACGCGAAAAAAAAAAGTAATGCTTTTACATTGTTTTTGTATCCCTCTCGATGTACATTTGTTTGGATGTTTGAATGAAAACCATAGGAATGGTGGACATACCTTTGGTTAAATGAAGGATTCGCCCAATTCATGGAAAGCCTCTGCGTCTCTAAATTTGCGCCAGAGTTCGACGTCCTGACTCAGTTTACGGCAAATACGGTTTCTAAAGCGCTGGAGGTGAGATCCAGCACGATTTTCGAAAATATGATCGAAAAATTTGCAGTATTTGAGGAGGAACTTACGTCTTTAGTCGTTAATATTTCTAACTGTTAGTTTGAAATCTGTTAGATATAGCCTATATGATTAATGCTACTGTTACTACAATATCGACTGGCGCAAGCTCCATTATAAGTGTCATCACCGTTTTCGAAAGATCCTATCCAACGATCATGAAATTATTAAAGAAGCTAAATATGGCAATTACAGTATTGAACCAGGTTCTATCTCAGGCTAAAGTTTCACCCATAGGTCGTTTTGATCGCTTCGCCAGGACGATGCTTTGGACAATTCTCATCCGATCGAGGTAGAAGTGGAGTGTCCTGCGGAGGTCGACGAAATCTTCGACGCCATTTCCTACAAAAAGGGAGCTTCAGTTATTTGGATGCTTTACAACTACATTGGCGACGAGGTAGGTTGAAGGTGTGCGTGGAAATTTGCGCACATCATGCACTATACCTATCTGTACACATGTTAGCTTATCCATTTTGCACGGGTAGATAAACAAAATTAGAAACCACTTCGAAAGTCGAAGTGATAAATGAGCATTTATCAACAATTCGTCAGTTAGCACAAAGCATTCTGAATAAAAAAGTAAGTAGCCACGGAAAAGTGCTCAACGCTGTTAGAAGTACTTTTTTTTTGGAGTACTAATTCAACAGTGTACATGACCCACATTCGGCCACTATTTGAGGTCGATTAACAGAAGTTTCGCACGGGACTGTCAACATATCTATTGCAACATGCTTACGGCAACACCTCATCGGAAGATCTGTGGCTTACACTATCTGAAGTGAGCGGATTACGCGTCGGCGATATGATGAATTCATGGGTCAAGCAGAAAGGCTTTCCTCTTTTGTTCGTACGTATTTTCCGTCACTATTTAGAGTAATGTGGCCTATAGAGAATTCTGTGCATAGCATTTGATTATTGATGCGTTTGGTCCGTAGAAATTTTTTTCAAGGAAGTCTCTCTTAAAATATTAGTAAATGCTTACATTTACATTATTATCGTGCATTCACTATAGATAACTGTTAAGAACAATTTCCTTTATATTCCTCTTATTATAAATGTGATCGACGTTACTACAGATACGTGCCACGTTCTGTGTGTCCTTTACACAGGTCAAGTGTCGTAAATTGGGTGCTAACTGCGTCCTTGAAATCAAGCAAGAAAAGTTTCACAGTCTGGCTGAGAAAGCGAAGTACGCAAAGCAGGCCTTATGGAAGGTGCGTACGCCGGACACGCACCATGAGATCAATAGGCCAATATTCTTAGCAATACAGTACGATACTAGTAATTCCAACTTTACTTTACAATTAGCAATTACGGCGTATGGGTTAAATTGAGTTACTCATACTGATTGCAGATTCCCATTGTGATCGGGGTACCAGGTATGAAGAACACAGTGGTCCTCATGGAAAAACCTAAGGAGGATATTTTAATTAAAGGCGCTTCTAAAGCTGCATGGATTCACGTAAGGAAACGGACACATTTATTAGCTTACTGAAAGTGTAGCTCGTATATTATAAGGCAGTGATATAAGGCAGCTAAACGTTCGACTTGGTTTTTTCAGGCTAGCCGAGACAAAAGATGGTGCTGATACGGGTTCTGATCATTTCAAAGTTAAACTGGCATTATTTTTTGAGTGCGCACATTGTTCTATCTTTTTTAAATGTTTGCCGACTAAAAGAATTAGTATGTATACAATTGTTCGGAATTAGGATGGGAATTCTTTTCAGGTCCATCTATTTAACAGGTTGACTATGTACTAAGCTGCTGGGTTGGAATCACTAAACTAGCCCTTTGTAGATCTATGTGATGCCAAAAACAACGTCGGTTTGCGTAATTACACTCTAAGACAATAGATGATGTACCAAGTAAATGACTAACCGTTTGTTTCGTCTGCAATCGCGATCAGTACAGGTGAATCACGGTGCCGCGGGTGTCTTCCGTATTCACTATGACGAGCCAATGCGTAAAGCTCTTCTTTTAGCCATTCGGAACAAAAGCTTGTCGCCTATGAATCGATTCATTTTGCATTCCGACCTCCTTGCGCTTGTACGTAGCAGACGCGAACAAGAACTTGTTATCATTCAGTAGAAGTTGTTCCAGGCACAAGAATGCACTACCTTGATAACTTCCTCTCAGCCGTTATCTCTGATGTGATCATTTACATCTGCATACGCAAATGACGCGAATTTATTAAAACTACAATGTATAATGTATAAACTCATGCCCAAGTAGATTAAGAGATAGCCTCAGTGTGTGATATCATTCATTCTCATAGCACTAGCAGGTTTCACATAAAGCAATTTAATGAAGATTTGTCACACACGTAGACACAAATCTACGACACAGCCATATTGCGATTGCAGAAGTTTAAGAATTGCGCAACTAGATTTTCCTATTGGTCAGTGAAAATTCACCATTGTAAAAATTGTCCCAATTATACTGTCTACAAACAGGTAGAAGCTGGGTATGCGTCTATGAAAGAACTACTTGAGCTGACGGAGGTGTATTCGTCTGAGACAGACTATTCGGTATGGACATCCGTCTCCACCCTAATGACGAAGCTCGAAATACTTCTCGGACACCGACCCGAGCTCGTCGAAAGATTGCACGGATTTGGTAGAAAATTGTATAGCGAGGTATTCAAGGGTCTTGGGTGGGACTCAAAACCTGACGAGAGTAAGTGGCTACCCGTTGGCAGAAATTCTATTCGAGTTATTCTATGTCACATCACACATGCTTCGGTGTATTTGAATCAACTTCGTCGGTTAGGTTTTTCCATCTGTATCTGTAATCCTGCAATGAATCTCTGACGATGTACCTGTTGAACGATTTTCTTTGCTATTACGTTTGAATCAGAACCGGCGAGGGCAATGCTACGAGCTTTAGTACTGGGCAAAATGGTGAAATTCGGCGAGGAGCAGGTATTGAATGAAGCACAACGGCGCTTTGTTGCGCATGTGTCCGGTCGAAACGAGCTTATAGCCGATTTACGGATGCCAGTGTACAGGGCGGTAGCACAAATGGCTCATAATCATCCTGAAACATGGGATCAACTTATGAGTCTGCACCGAAAAGCCAAAGTCCAAGAAGAAGCCAATAGGGTGGCGATAGCCCTTGGCTCGGTACAAACGAGACCCCTTTTAATTAAAGTATGTCGGTCCATCTTCTACGTACACGTGCTATCTTTGATCGTTGACAATTCATAGCTCTTAATTAATAGTAAATGATAACACTAAATAATAGCCACATTGAACGAATGAATTGCGTACATCTCGACTCAAGCTGTTCGTAAATATACGTAACTGGACAACGCTCAAGATGAAAGTTACGGAGTCTACGTGAAATTCGACTATAAAAAGCTGCGCTATAAATCTGTTGAACTACGGAGCTGCTTAGCTTGCTCCAACGATTTAAGTTTCTTAAAAAGACGTAATGTACGTTTGGTTGAAAAACATGTGTGCTAACTCTTCCCAACTGCATAAACTGTACACCTTCATAAAAAGAATGGAAGTATTATGTTTTTTTCGTTTTTTGGTTTGAGCAGGTTTTAGAATTTGCGGCATCAAACGCTGTGCGTTATCACGATAGCGTATTGGTGATGGAGAGCGTAACCCATTCAGCGATGGGACAAGAGCTTGCTTGGGAGCATTTCACTGCTTTATTTGAAACGTACGGTTCAAAGGCGGCCTCCGTACCTTTTTTTTGAAATGAGCTTTTTGGGACGTATAAATCAAGTTGAATGGACATTGTAACACATCGGGTCAGCGGCGTCGTGAGCTTTCCTCTCCTTTAACCACAACGGAAATGTGTCACTTTTGTAAAAATGTCTATTTATTTGTCGCTGTTGTGTACCACTACATTTACCTGCCCGTATCGTTTTGCTATGATCGTCAATCTAACTCAGTAAGGCATGCGTATAGAGAGAGTTTATAGAATAATTCAGTGCTTTCTACGATGAGCTGTCGTTGATGCCTGGTGCTTTCGGAAGCTGAGTTGTCATCTCAAAATGTTCAGTTCTTAATCGAACGGTCTGTATATTGAACACCTGTGTTGTTTGTGTAACATAAACCGTATCATTCTTTCTGAACTTACAAGGAGAGCGTAGTCAATAAGTTTCATCTTTACTATTTATGAGGAAAAGTACTCGATTACGAAAATTACATCAATTAATGATAAAATTATATTAATAATTATTAAAGTAACTCATATACTTCAGAAATTATATATGACACGCTGTTTCACGTTGAACTTTTCACAGCTATAACCGCCGCTACAACTCGGGTTCACGTTTTCTCCGTCTGATTAGAGCGTCAGCAAAAAATTTCTGTACATTCGAAAAAGCCAAAGAGGTGAAGGAATTTTTCCAAAAGGTTCGTGCCAATATACGCTCCGCTTACATTTTTCTATTGTTCTGGATAGTAAATCCGAGTAGCGGTCAGGATACGAATCGGAGGCCTTCACCGCCCTTGCACGCATGCGGACGAAAAATACGGATGGAAATTCGTGAAAGTCTTAGGTACACCCTAAATTGATGGATTCCTTGTTTATGATGGAGTGGATTACCTGTTGCGATGAAGGTGAGCAGGAACGCTCGATGTGGGATTGATTCACTGTTAAGTCTGACCTACCGTGTCGATGTGTTATTTCAGAATCCAGTCGTTGGGGCAGAAAGTACAATGCGTCAAGTGATTGAGGTGATTGAAGCGAATGCTGCCTGGCTAAAGCGAGACGAACGTCATATTTTCGAGTTCTTTAGAGAGAGATGAGTCGTATGAACTAGCCAAAAGATGAAGGTCGTTATCAATCCTAATTCCAATAATAATAGTAGTAATAATTATGTGCGTAAAGATAATAAACGAGCATCATACTTACACGGAGGTCAACTCTACGAATCCACAGTGCATTATATAGATGGGTGTTGTTTAGTTGCGTTTATATCAAAACGGTCAAGTGTTCTGACGAGTGCTGGGGTTTGTCACTTGTCGAGTCCCAACTAGTTTCGTGATTAGTTAGATTTGGGTGTCTACACAACTTCAGAACGACGTGTTCTATATATAAATCTTATTAATATGGAAAACGTGTAAGTCTTTCATAAGAGCTAGGGTTAGAAATAGTAGATTCCATATATTACCCTAAGCCGCGTAAGCATCCTCACAAGGTAACTTTTCATTATGTTTCGATAGATCATTTTACGTGCTGCGATGTCTTTTGTGTCTATGCGTATTGTTATTAAGCATCTTCCACTGGTTCCGTCTATTTTGAAAGATTTTTTTGGTTTGTCCTATGCTAAGGGTTAATTCATCCAACTCTTGCATCAGTCCTCCCTAAACTGTCGTAGATCCTTTAAGTAATAATGGTCTCAAGTGTTTATGATATAATTCGAAAGTTTTGATTGCAAACTTTAATGAGTGTTAACGTCAATCACGCTCCTTGCCTTTTCAAATCGGTACGGTCACAGTAGATGAACTCTTTCTTTGTTTTATTAAAATAAGCGACGGCAAAAAAGAAGCAATCTACCTATCTGAACATGCTACAGGTTATGGACCTAAGTATGCTTAAAAGATTTCGTTTTATTCGGTCAGCGATTCAATATCGAGGACCGGTTTATCCGCTAAATCAAACGTAAATTAAACGTAGTTATCAAACGTAATTAAATCAAAATCAGTTACGACGGTTGTCATCAAATTGGCCTCAGCCAACCGTATGAACTCATAACATTGTCTTAGATATATGTGAAGGAAAAATCGCGCAACGGTACTCACATATCCTGTTAATATCCTGCAATGCACGACTCGTTAAGATAAAGGATCCTGTCTGTTGCCGACTGCGATAACGCAGCACTTCCTCTGATCGTCCTAATTGACCGGCTTCATCAACACTGACGCCATGCTAAAGACGGCCATTTGGCATTTGCTATTTTCAGACGAAGTTCCCCCTTTTGTGTATCTTTTAATTTAGCGTATGATAAAATATCGACTGACTGAATATAATAGGCCTTTAGCTGGTGGCGTGTCGATTTTTCTTACGTTGTTGTTTAGCTAGCTTGCTTAGGCTATATGTATGCAGAGAGTTTCTCTTTTGCCTGAAGCTGTTAACTATAATCGCCGTTCACAGACGTAGCTATCAAGTGCAGCGGCCACGATCGACCACCCTCATGCCTATGTTTACTTGCCTGTTAGAACAAGGAAGCTTCGAACGCGAAGACCAGGCCTTAAATTAGGTAGTAGAATCTGCTAAATACTCAACGTGGACTGGTAATAGATTTACCTGTGTCTTACTCAAATTAAGTTAGAATTAACTTCCTAACAGGGAACTGAAACTCCGAACGTTTGAGCTTGTAAATAAACTAGAAATATCGCGCCTTGCGGCCGAGACATGTTTGAATCGCTCGTGCTGGTCCAAAACAAAACGAGACTTATATACCTCCATCATTACATTGAGAAAATCGTAAGTTTCGTATGACAACATTGAGGACGGTCCCCTGTCCCTTCCTAGGTAATGCCGAGAGTCTTTCCGCGGAGCACAAGTAGTTGTTAAAATGAATTAGGTCCCATTAGTTGAATCATTCTAAAGAAATATAACGTTTCAACAAGATAAAGCCAGGATAAAACAAAATACTATTCTTTCGGTAGATGAAAACAAGCGAAGTCTTATACAACCTATCAGCTCCTGTTAAAATAAATGTTTAGAATTTTACACCAGGTGTAAGCGTTAAGCGTTGCCTCAGACAACCGGTTCCCTACAGCACAAAATGAAATACGTTCAAATCCAGGTTCGAGCCCAGATCACCACATGTTTGAAAAAGTTCGATGCAAACAAACACGTTACTGCTCCACCGTTGGTGCGACGAAGCGAAGAATCAAACGATCTTATATTGATTATTAACCGGTATTCCGACACTATATTATTAGAGTGTATGATGTAAGGTTCACCTAAAAAGGTTTCTTTTTAATACTGAAGGCCCACTGAACACGGTCTAATATTATAGCACGGGACGGTCTGGAACAGATATGCGTGCCACACCCAGGGACTCTCATGGCTCTCTACGAATTTCGTCATTTGCGTTGGCATTTTGTAAGAACACTCTTAACCATATCGTGCAGTTAACGTCACACATATGACAGAGCATAATTCCAGTTCGATTCATAATTTTTCTATACGTTTTCGCTAGTACTAAGACTTGAATGGTCTATATATTGGCACGCCTCTTAAACACAGCGTATCAACGTGCTATTTTTTTTTTTACACTCTAATAAAGTTTTTCTTCGCTCCTTCCACATCCGCTTGATCAAAGCCAGTTCAACCTAGCTTGATGCTGGCCTGTCATGTCATAACCGTTTTTTAGGCGACAGCATGTTGGTGATGCATCGATTAACGGAAATAAAATCGTGCCTATGGTGGTTTGATAAGGTTAAAGATCTAAAGAATGTTTTGTTACCAGCAGCACCAGCGTGACGATGCTCGAGTGAAACGGAGCCCAGCTTCTAGTTTGTGCGACCCTTTCCGTTGCCATATCGTGACAGCTATAAGTTACGGATAACGCACTGTGACAAATGCTCTCTACAAGGTGTTAACTCATGTACTAGAGTGCTTCCTCGCGCTTGACTCCGTTGCGAACAGGCTGGTCAGGCCTATCCTTAGTGTAGCCTAGGTACTTACCGACCTGGATCTAGACGAGATATTGAATGGTATGTTCTATGGAAATGTTTAGCTTCACAAATATAGCAGTACTGTCATGCTCGCTACTATCTTCCTTAGTTCTCTATATTTATTGCCTTTGTCCTATTTGACTTACTACGATATAGAAGGTTCGAAGGCTCGGAAAAGTGGCAGCTAACTGCATTCTTTTTGTTGGCTTCTTCTCTACTTGACCGGTGATAATAGCGTTCTGTTAGAGGAAGACGGACATGTTCCATCTTTCGCAGGGTGACACGCATATTTGTATTCATTGGTATTACGTCTGTTGTATTTGCAAAGTTCAAGGTAGGCTAACATGATCATGTGCTCATCACGTAACCCCTATCCTATATATGGCTTCATGTGACACCATTCGCTTGCATTTTGCGTCTTTGCCATTACGTCTCGTGGCCTGTGTGAATGTAAAGGATCATCTATGCCTATAGACTGTGTGGAACTTCCTGTTCAATAGCTAATGTCAATCAACGAACGACAGCTAAAGGGTTTTACGTACCGCAATTAATTGATTCTAGTCTACTTTATAATTTAACATCGATATTGGTATCATTAATATCGGCTTAACGGCATTAACGTCATTGGCTGGCGTAGTGGCTTGACGCCTCCAGATTATCAGAGCAGCACCTTGGTGACGGTCACAAATACGGAAAGAGAACGTCTCCTACGCGCTTTAGTGTGTCTACGAACGACTATTCCATCCAGCAATGGCTGACCTACAACTAGAGATTATCGATAGAGTAAATAGAACTGTCACCCGAACCTGGTTTTCGCTACCTTTTTACGTTCACGCGTGCAAACACCCATAGATCTTGTTTTTTCTTTTCCAAGTAATTATCGTATGTGTTTATTGACAGCTGTAGATACAATGTAGCCCTATGTTCCGGACGTGCAGATATGCGACAATATGAGCGTTACCAGAGCGAATTAAGTGCTAGAACTAACCTAAAAGACATTATCTTGTACGTATCTCTGTGCACTGACATGGAATTAGTTAGTAACATTTTTTGTTTTTGGTTTGGAGTTTGGAGTACTAGACCGTCGGAAGGCGAAAGCGTCGTTGTCTTTAGGATAAATATGAATTCGTTGTATTGTCTAGTATCATAAAAAATAAAGCACGCCAGCTAAGGTAAGCAGATTAGAAAAGATAGCACAAATAAAAGCGTACCATCCTACAAGACGTATGAGTTTATGCCTTCTTTTTGTATCTGTGATGAATTCGGCCTTTTTCACTGCTGAATAATCTGACTCATCGACGTCTTTCTGGCCTAATTTCACAGCTCAGATGGAACACTAACGAAATTGGTTAGGTTACATCTACTTCGAAGTTTCTGAACAGCTACTTCTGTGCATTGAAATCGGTCCTCTAGGCAAGATGATTGGTGCTGCTTTTTTGGTTCTAGTGTTAGCTAAGACTGTGTGTGGCCTGTTTCCAGCCCTTGTTCATCAACACCGCAGCCTAGAAAGTCATCTACGAGTAAAGCATAGAAAGCGTGGCTATCGAAGACGCTGTGTACGGACGTCTTAGCCATCCTTTTCCCGCTAAACCGTAAGAAAAAAATGATTAACTGTCTCTAGCATGCCAGTTCTTAGAAGCGGTTCATGACAGTCTGCTAAATCTCATTTCCAATATAATCTAAATTGATGTTAGCAGTATCAAACGCTATTCTTATTATATTAACACAGTACCAGTGACACAGACAAAGTAGGTACGATTTTTACGGATCGAACTCAGTGACGATTTATAGATATGCCCATCCATGATACTTTCGGCTTATTTATTCATAAATGAACAGTGGCAAAAAAGTTATCAATATTGTGACATGATCTTTATTTATAGCTATTTGTATAGCTTCTATATATTATATAGTATATTTAAACAAATCTGTTCACAAAACAAAAATGCTATGGGTGCAGAATGATGTGATGCCCCTTTTTATACAACTGGTTATCATGTGCTTATCAGGTGTTATCAGGCTGCTGCGTACTATAGTAAAGCGAATCGCTACTTTTAGCCGTCGCCTACGAAAACATTTAGGGGTACCAACAAGGGTTCTCTTGCCGGGCACCTAGCGAACGCCGATAAATGTACCTTACTGACATAATAGGATACGCGAAAGACCACTCTCGAGGCAGACTGATCGGATGCTTTTAGCAACTGCCCAAAGCTCTTGAAGTTCCACGAAAATGCTGCTTTGTTAAACTTGATTTAGCCCTAATAGAAAACAAATGGCCACGGATCTTAACATTTACTTAATGAATTTTTTTACATTTCAAATCATTCATATCAATTCATTTATCAGAGCCGTTCAAATCTTAACAAAAAGTCCACTGACTCGTGTGTTGTGTTATTATGGCCTTGTTACACTTGAATAGGAAAAAAGACGTTTATTTTATATTAAACTTTAAATACAAAAAGGGCATTGTCAATAATTAACAAACATTTTTCTTGCTACTAGAAGCACTGCGCCGCTTCAATTGAAGTTATTGCAGAAATTCTCGTTGACCCTCTATCCCGTTGAAGTATGTTGCGTTCTGCTAACACTGATCTTTTACTGCCCCTGAAAATTTTTTTTGGTTATAATTGTCATGGAGCGTTGGTTTACAATAAAACGTTTTTTAATAATGTGAATTGACCCTACCTAGGATGAGGAAAGACATTCCCTGAAATACGCGCATCCTTACATATACTAACGCAATTCGACCACATCAGGAAGTTCTAGCTGGGCGGGTTTGGCCCAAAATACTCACCGGCATAGTTAACCATCTACATGTTATAACGGGGCTTGAAAGAGAGACCCGTTCGTGTAGAAGGATCTAGATGAACTATTTATCTATGGAAACAACTAATCATTCCATATTATTCTGCTAATGAACATATCTGCATAACGGCACCTGATTAGAAGACTAAGGGAACATCAAAGCAGCTTGGTGTCAGCTTGAAAAGCTTTTCAGCTTATAAGTTTTGCTAAATATTTCTTCAATTAAACATTAAATAATAAAACTTTTAATATTAAAAAAAGTTTGTCTTTTACCTTTTTGACACACAGCACCTTAATGATAGCTTAGTGGTAAGTAATACTCAATGGCTCTGTTAAGTGCAAAAAATCATATTTACAGTTACAGACAAATAGAGAAGTCGGAAGTTTTGAGTTCAAGGATACGACTGGGTAGGCACTGTATCTGACCAGCAGAGCTTTTGTATGAAAATAGATAGACAACTTCTTCATGAGTGAAAACGAAATGGTAATAGTTAATTCTGTATCTTGCATACCGTCATCGACCGCTGTATTCTAAATGGTCCATTGATGTATCTACTAAATAGCGTAAAGCAACTACATCGTTGGCTCCTTTTTGGAGTCTTTCGACCCTCATCCGGTCATCAGAGCTCACGAATCATTTCTGATGACTTTTCAGTAGTCACATGGTCAACACCTGCAAACTAGATTCCCAGAATAGGTTGCACCATGAAATTCGGTACTGCCAATTAAGTCGGAAACTTGATGTCAAAAAAATACACGTTTTTAGTTATTTGCCGTATTTGGGAGCGTGGAAGGTTTCTGCGGAAAGGACAGGTGGAGTCGATAGTCTAGCCGTTGCGTATATATATGATTGATGCTTGATCATTAGGTAATTAGTACGCCGCTGAAGTCAAACTTGCTTGATCCTTTAAAAAGGGAGAATGTCGTGTGGCCTAAGGCTTAAGCTGCACAAACGATGGGAGCGTCGTGAGCTTATCCCTCATTCACACACCTATCACTTGAACAATGAACAACATTTAAGATTTGTTGTTGACTATAGTAACCTGACTAGTAAGAAAATTGACGATTAAACAGCCGGCACAACAATCTATGCTAGCGGTGTAGCTGTCGTCGTGAACGCTATCTTTTCTATTCAAATCCAAAAAGTGTCGTTTGAGCCACGAAGCTACAATCCGGCATAAACAAAATTCTATAGCCGCCAGAGTTCCTTAGACCCTACATTGAATATAGGCTTACTCTAGCTAATGGAGCAACTCTTTAGCGTTAGCACTAAAAGCTCAAAAATTATTTTGAAATTACACGATGCTTTGGAATCAAACGTATTATAGCTAGTTATGCAGAACACGTTCAAGCCAATAGGTTCAGGCGAGAGATGCTTTGTAGTGTCATAACGACGATGATATACAACGGGAAGATTCTAAAGATACCATAAGAAAGCAGTAATTACAATATGCCATACCAATAACTTCCTCTGTAATGAGCAAATCTAAACGAAAAACTCGCTAATGGTTGCAGATGTTGTACCGGCCTGAGGGGCGGTTCGCCATCGAACCGGAGTTCCTGACTGTGGATCCTCCTCCCCGAGTGCTAATTCCGCGGGCTTCTAATTCGCCATCACTTAGCAGCATTGGAACGCATAGTTCACGTTACCCTGATAGTGAAAAAACAGGCCACATTCAAGGGCAAAATCGTACAGGATGTTATTCGCAAGGCGACACCAGTTCGCCTTCGGACTGCTCCGGTCCAGAAGTTCAAAACTTGAGTAGAAGTATTCCTGTGGAACAGGTGGCAGCGTCTGTTAGGTCTTCAAATAAAACGAACTTGTACAATTACATGTTGGTACCTGCGCCCAAGCTTTCGAATGGCCAGAGTCCCGTGCAGACACTTGATGGAAACATGTCAGCTAAATCAGACAATGAACCTAAAAAAAAGCCAAAAATAGATTACGCTTCAGTTCTCAGCCGTAGAGCTACACCAAACCTGGGTAGTGCATCCTCGCGAGCCACTGTCAGCAGTTGGGATTTGCGGGACTTACCCCGCGACAAACCTGATCGAAAATCAAATAACCGTATTTCTTTCGAGGATCTAATAACCTCCAGGCACAACAGCCCCTATAGGTGTAACCAGTCACAAGATTCTTCTGAAGACCGTAAATCGGATGTGTGTGATTCATCGCTGTCACGCCAGTCAGAACCTTCGTCGTTAGATGACTACTTCATGTCGAAGCGTCGATCCTTTACTGTTGCCCCGAAGACTCTTTCGAGTCTTCCGGTGAGCTCTGGCAATCTGGAAACACATGAGAAGTCAAAGCGGAGACAGACTTCACTCGACGATCTTCGAATAATCCCGATTACTTCGGGTTCAACGCAGACACGTCAGGCGATTCGTCCCGAAGGTCCAATAGTCAGCTCATGCGAGAGAACTCCTGACTTTCAACTCGGAGTTCTTTCGTTATCATCTTGGGCTAAACAACCGAAGCCGGTTTTACCGACATTAACTTCAACGCAGCAATCGTACAGCACACTATTTAAGGCAAAACTCAGCAGGGACCCTAACAAGATCTTTGATTGGACATCCTCTCCGTCAGCGGAGCCCTCTTTTGCTCCTCCTGAGCTACCAGCAAGGGAAAGGGATCCGCCCAGAAATTTCGGTTCAAGATTTAGATCTCTCACAGATCTTCAATATTCGGAAGGATTGGACCAGGTATAATATTTCTTTTTATATTGCTCTATGTAAGCAGATATAGTAACTAATCTCGCTAAGCAACAGCTTCGACCGCTGACCGTCCATGCGGTTATAAACAGCTATTCAAATGTTTAGTTCTCACGAAACTATTGTCTGTGCCTAAGGATGCTGCACCAAAACTATCTGAACGACAGTAGATCTTTTTTCTAAATCAGCTTTAGGAGGCGTTTATTGTTACTAGACGACATTTAAATATAGAAAATAATAATCAAATAACTGCCTTTAGTTTAGGACCAACTAAGTCATGAAAATTATTTGGCCAATGGGTTCCGTTAATGAATTTCTAGCGGTCCACAAAGAATCAGCTTACTTATCTTAAGTTGTCTTCACTCACAAATTTCTGTCTGCGGCACAAATCAATATACAACAATCGTCTAATACAGATTGCACTATTTTCTCTCTGCAGATGCCGACTAAGCCGCTACCGAGTCAATATCACTCGTCTAAAGAGCTCAGACCTGTTATTCCGCTAGAGTGAGTAGAAACCGAGCAGCTTTTATAGTAATTTTCCTTTGATTGATGCATCCTACTGATTTCAGTGCTCTTCATGCAATGACTTCATGGTAGTGCGGACCTCTATGCGAAAATGAGCAACCCAAGCGTGAAATTTCTGCAGACAATGTCACTGCTACTTCGGTTATGGCATAAATTCATTCGGTTTTCTTTATCATAACACTGATCATTTCAACTGACCACAAGTCAGAATGATAAAACGGCGTTATTGTGTTTGAGTACATATTTTAACATCAACGGTTGGATTTTCGGTATGTAATCACTCATTGAAAAATATACTTGTCTCTCAAATAGAGCTTCTTTATTCATTTCATATTGGAGTTGTTTTGGTAGGACGCCAGAAAGGGTAAATATATTTGTCTGCATGCATATTATGAATTTTTCATTGACTACTTTTCAGAATGGTAGATTCAAGAGTTAAAATAACCGTCTAACTAATCGATACGCTTTTGCAGCTCAACGGGTTCAGTCAAAAGGACGCACATGACAAACGAAACCTCCACACGCGGAACGGCGCAAACCCCTGGAGTGCTCCCCTTGAGTCGAAATAGTTGCACTGAAAGCCTGTCGAGGACACATCCAATTGACAGTCTGAAAATGAACCTCGAAGTGTCAACCATGGTCGCCTCGCAAGCACAACAAAACATTTCACCTCCACTGCCCTCAGTCGCGACCGTTGCAGAGGGACTGATCTTCAGTGACTCCTCTAAATGCCAGCAAAGCTTAGAAGAAGGGGAGGGTAAAACTAAACTGGAAGAAATATCAGATAATATCGGATCTGCAGAAAATAGCACGCTCACTTCTATCGAGCGTCAATCGGGACAGAGCCTGCTTAGAAATAGAAATACGGGCAAGGGAAGCCCCGAGTTAGCTGCAGTTTCAACCGATCGCCACCCTGATTCCATGGTGATTGCTGGAGCGCAGTCAAATGCGGATGACGAATGGATACGACCAGCTGGGTCAATCACAAGTCCAAGTACCTCAAACGTAAGACAATCCAGCTTCTTACTATAATTAGACGCATTAGCGTGACGTCAATCAGCATACAACTGCAACATGATTTCTCAGTAATTAATAATATACTAAACTCGATTAATAATAATTTGATTGAGCATCTGTTGCGTCCATTCTGGTGCGTTCAAAAAATGTGACCGTTCAACTGGTGAGTAACGGCCGTACTTCGAAACGTTTACGTAGCGTTGATGTAGCCATCTTGATGGATCTGTATGTGCGTTACGAACACAGGTTTTGAGTCATTTAAGTTGTGTGCAAAGTATAGTACGCTTAGCTGAGATTCTGTCTAATGTCTAATGTTAAATTGAACACTTCTAGTCTAGTCCGAGCAAATCTGCTTCTGTTGCGGACCAGCGACTCCGTTTGTTTGAATTAGAGATTCGACAGACATTTAAAATTATTCATCGATTTGTATGTCCTTGCTATGGGATAGATAAATAATAAATCAAGTATATAATCTATATTAATCTGAGTATCATTTTTTAGTAAAATTCACATAGAATCGGAGGCGAAAGGTGGTTTGTGTTTGCTTAGTGTCAAGGTAGTTATAAAAATCGTCTAATCATTGTATTTGAATTGACAGAATTCGCCGCTGGAAGATGGCAAGACGGAACGCTTTCAACCAGGGGCAGTTTCATTGTACCCCCCTATGAATCCACTAAAACCCCAAAGAAGTAACTTGCCACAGGAATATTCGAAATCAGGCACTACAGCAAGGTGAAGTATTGACGCATTTATAGCAGAGCCTCATCCAGTCAAGCCAAAAAGAAGCTCGAGCTTTAACAAGGTCTTCTCCTGTGAATCTACAATCCTCAAGGGATTCGAAAAAGCTCACGAACTAGCCTTCAAGAAAATAGTTCAGATTTTCTCGAAGGCTAGTTTTGAAAGCCGTATCTTGGTGTGTGTAGGGAAGAAGTTCCTTAACGAACATCCACATAGAATGTTAAATATTTTCATCCCATCAAGGATTTACTGGGAATAGTTACTGTGTTGTATGTATACGAACCAACAATTTTTTTTAAAGATTCTTTAGTAATAGCTCCATATATTCGGTCTGAAACGTCTAAACAGTATCTGTAGACATAGGCATGCTTTCTAATGAACAGAACTCGGTGTACTTTAATGTTTCAAGCATAAAATTGTAGATTGTTGATGAATGCAGGCATAAATGATATCGCTACGATAACTACTATCGTACGTAAGCCGTTCGTTCTTTTGTAATGCAGCAATAAAAGTATCATAGATGATGACCGAAAACTCGCAAAAAAGTGTGTGTGAGAGAAAAATGGTGCCGAGAAAAAGGGACACAGTTACGGCACTAACTAGTGGCCTAGCTTGCCTATTATTTTCGTAGGTTGACGTTTATTTCTATAACTCAATGCACTTATATCTAGATATAACTTAATGTGTTCTGATTTGCAGTCACATGAGCGGCCCGACCAACCCGTTTGGTTCCGACGAAGAAGTTAGTGATACAGTTGTTCGAAGGAAATCACAAACGCTAGATCGATGTGAGGAGAAATTGTCACATCAAAGTACCGTACCGTAAGTTTCAGATTGTTTACGTTTAATCTACGCAACAGTAAAGTATCCGTAGTTCATTATCTATGAAACACTGAAAGTACAATGTAGCTTGCGTTTGACAAATGGCTATCTTTACTAATGAATACCTGAGTTATTAATCTTGACAAAATAGTAAGAAATTCATTTACTTATTTTACGAACTCGTTGACTGTCGGTGCATAATTAACCCATATAAGGCATTTAGCTTAGGCATTTAACATGTAACAATTATCTTAATCTGTATGTAAGTCTTACAGGCTTACTAAGAAAACCGTTAGGTTAGGCTGTATTTATTGGAATAGAACTTCACCGTATGAAGCTTTCTTTGCATGTACTACGCCATGCAACCGTTTCTGTTCCAGATTGTCGCGCTCTGCGATAACTTACTCAAAACTGTTATGCCCCTTTGTGGATGCCTCCGATTCCGATCAGAAGGACGATCTCGATAATCTGCTTCCTGTATCGGTCGCTCCTTCGCGCTCGAGCGCTCTACGATGGTAGTCTACCTTATACTAACATTCTAACATCCTCTCTTCATAACTAGGCTTCTCTAGATAAACGCCGACACATCCTATTTTGCAAAAACATCTCGCGAAATTGCTATAAGAAAAACAGCAGCAAATGTTTTTATGTGGATTCGCTGCTATAAAAGGCGTTGCAACAGCGTAGATGCTCTGGTCTATAATAGTAAATATGCTTTTTGCAATGCAGGGTAAATTCGTTTTCTAGATATCGATTTTCTTAAGTGAGATGAAGAATTTGGGTTGTAAATTACTTGTACTTTTCAATTTAAATTGTTTCTCCCTGCTGGAAATGACAAATCTCGGAAGCGATGAATTAACGATTCGCCGGAACTCCTACCCTGAGGAAAACAATCCGTTTGGTACGCAGTACCATGGGATCGACACCGATTTGTTGACTACTTCCACGAGCTACAACTCTCGGAACGAACCACGTTCAGACGTTAACACCCCAGTGGGAACTTTACCACGAAAGGTTAGAACAGTTTAGCTACCCACTAAATTAGTGAAGTGAATAACAATGGGGGTCGTTTGCTGGGCCTGCGAAGACTTAGCAGATGTTCATATTTACCGTATTTCTATATTGTCGTTGTGTATATTTCATAAGAGACGTATATCGGCTTCAGTGGACTTTGCCGATTTCAAACCTTGTCTTTGTTGTGTTGGCGTGCTTCTCGCGCGTACATATCGGTCGGAACTAAGACGCTCGCGAAACGCTTTCGCGTACGCTCCGCTCGTTGGGTAGCGTTTGATGTCATGCCACCCGCACAGTGCACGTCGGCCTACAAAGCAGGCTTTCGTATCTGGCCGCCACTGATTTTTTATGCCCAGCGCACTAATTGCGACCAGCTGTGACAGCGGTACTTGACTAGACTGGCTTCCCCTCGCCGGCGGTCGACTCACGCAAAAGCCACACGATTGTAGCGGGAACTGATTCAGGCAACAGTAGCTTAACCTGCTGTTCGTTCTTCGCCGGATCAGACCGGCGTTAGCTTCCATCGAACTTGCTCTGCTTTACAACAACGCTCTCGAGGAAACCAAAGATTTGACTACGCGACTGCATTGTCGGTCTGGTAGAGCTATAGCAGAAGAGGATCAAAGGCGACGATTCAAGTTGGTCTGGAACCACGATACGTACTGCCAATACACCGATAACGATACCGATAACGATAATATACCGGCACTTGGCGCTAGAATTTGTATTCCGATGAGGGTTGTAATGGATTTTACAAGCGATGGACGAAGCACGACGAAACACGCTGCTGCCGCCGCGTAAGTAGATAGACGATATAATTAGTGCAGTGTAAAAGACAACAGTAGTCCAACGAACAGTTCGTAATCATCTGGCAGCCATCCTAAATAGGCAGAAAGGAAAGCAAGGCTAGGTTAAGGAAGGTGAGTGCTTTACCACATTGAATGCTTATTGCAGTCGTGATTATTATTGTCGTCATGAGTGGCCATTGGCGTTGTTGGCCGCTGAAAGCCATTTAAACGTTTAGCAAAAAGTTTTGACAAAAAAAACTGTTCATATTTGTGGCTTGTTCGTTTCAATTACGGTGTAGAACGTAGATTTGATTGATGATCCTTAAGAGCCCATTCCTTGAGCTCGAAATGGATCTGGCTGGAAGCTTCACCGCCGACCCGACCCAAACGCGGACAACATTTCATCGTACCTGCACTGCTTACCGTTAGAGCTGTACGGTGTAAGCGATTTTTTTAAGACGATCAAACCGGCATATTCCCCGTTAAAACAAATTTGGCTCGCATTTCGCGTTATTTTGGCCCGTCAACTTGTTGGCCATTGCTACTTTTCCCTAGCTTCTAAGCAGACTCTAGTTATGCTCTATGTCTGGCTGATATTAGCGTTTCCAATCCAACAATTCTAAGCCGCTCTTGTTTGCTGGTCTGTACCAATGGAAGCAGTTGAAGCGCTTCAGATGTTTGCGCTGCCTCCACTTGCATCCCAGTCAAGACCCGCGACAAGTTGAAATTACCTCGTTTTCGAAGTAAACTGTGGACGTTGTTTAGTTCAGCTTTATTTTACTATAATGGTGTCGATAAAGAGAGACATTTGTTAAGAACTAAACACAGCTATAGCCATGCAGTTAACCATCTACTTCCAGTAACTTCGGTAGCTTCTATACGAGTTTCTGTTAATATAATGGCAATGAGCTGTGGTCGATAGAAATGTACCAATGTATTGTATAACTGGCCTTTGAGCTGGAGGACCAAAATCACGCAAGAATCGCTAGTTTCATTATGCGAAGCTTAGGAAATTGCGGATAGTTTCTCGGTATCAACACCTGTTGTTGGTGGAAATCGCCTGAATTCTAGCCGTTGCCGATCGGCTGAAAGCTCGGAAGATGTCAGCTTCCCAGGCTGTCTGACTGACTGACTGACAGACAGACCGACTGACGCCGATTACGTCACGCAGTACACTTAGAACGTAACAGCACTGATGACTAAAAAAAAAAGGAAAGCATGCTGATGATCTTGACCTGCAACGAGTAATCATAGATCGAATTATTTTGCTATGAAAAGCGACATTTTCATGACTGAACATTGTAAACGAACTAATAATCAATTATAAGGATTTTGAAATTCAGTCTGTAAAAATTTTATTTTCAGTTTGGAGGTATGGGTCTGGCATCGGCTTGGCCAACAGCAATGGTTAAGGTAAGGGTAAAAATGCCGAGGTACTACATCGGCCATAGGTATAGAACTCAGGCCATCAGGAAGCTGTTCTTTAGGGTGCATACCTCTGCGCTACCTGGCTAGATCAAATGAGATGTACATGAAACAGTTTCGCCAGTAGCGGCTCATGACTAATGTCACTAGGGAACAACTACATTAGATGCGGCTAGTACTTCTTGTTTGTGTGAAATAGCCCGTGTCAATGCCCTTGGAATCCCATTAAAGCTATCTGAGAGCTGATAGATGATGTTCAAAATAACACGGATACTTCGAGGTTATTAGAAAAAATTATATTTACAGCTTTAAACTTGTCGGTTGGCACATGAAAAACATGTCTGCCAATCAATGGCCTGGACAGTCAATTTTACTTAGCCAAAGATACCCGTAAATTTGCATAGTGCGTGTACCACATTTTTGAGCACCTTTTTGCTCTGGCACGTTATTATGTTGGAAAGATATATGTTCAATGGAAGGAGCGGTTACATTTTTTGATTACGGGAATATTCACTTTGCTAAGCATGCAGCTCCACATGAGGACAGATGTCCCCTATCAACGATTATCTGCTTCGAATTTGAGTGAGTTTTTGAAATGTCACAATGATAATGATTTCAAGATTGCGCGCCTACGAGGCACTGCATGGCTTACACATAATACAAGAGGGGGTTATTAAACCCTCGTAGAGGCTTAGAGACGGCCAAACAACCCAGAACACGATCGACTAACAAGGGGCAAGCAGAGGTCGGCTACATACGGTAACCAATTATCGGGATATTACGAAGCCCTTTAGGTCTTGCTTCAGTCTGGCTCCTTAATGAGTTAATGTGCGCGTGTTCCAGTCATCCCCTGAGACCTACGATAAATCTTTGAATCCGTTTACCGAGCCGGAGAGCGAAAGCTTAACATCAGTGGCGTCTTCCAGTATCATTTCAACAGCATCAGTATCAGCACCAGATTCCGCTAGCAAACCACCCGTTCCACCGAGAAGGTCAGATCATGCAGTTTCAATATAGCGCACTTAATGCAGCATAACAGGTTGGCTTTTTAAAAAGGGGAAAAATATATTATTGCAAGCAGCCTGCGGCAATCCATTGATGCAAATGTACGATAGCTAGTCGTTCTTGTTGTTGGCAAGGAATAAGCGAAAAATTCTAACGGAATTCACCGATTATGTTTTACGTATCGTTCATTTAGCATAAACAATAAAAACCGCAAAAAAAAGCAAGCACCTCTACCTCCCGTATTATCTGATCCCAGAAAGGCCGTTACCGAAGCTACGACGATTTTTGTTGAGGGTAATTCAACGGGTAACTCCGGTCTATCAACGGTTTCCTTAAAGATGGAACCCTCCGTAGAATCATCGGTGAAGAAGCGAACAGGAGTTCAGAGGCTGAAAAAATCGGAGGACGTCATGAAGTCGGAAGCTCCAGTATGTGGAGGAGATGCACCAAAAGCGGAAGACAAACTAAAAAAGCTTAGCCTAAGCGTTCCGAAGCGGGACAAGGATGGCGGCGACTATACTGAGCACTCTGATATATCAGAAATCGACCTTAACCTGTATGTATGGTTGTATTTTGATTGCAACAGGAGCATTATTTTTGGCCTGATGGCCTGCCGCCAGTGACCCTTATGGCCCCGTTTTTGCTGCTTGCCCGTTTCAAAACATGATAGTTACAACTGAGATTACTATACTTAAAAGCACATGATTCAAATAGATAACGCACCGCTTTTTAATTTCAGCTTGCATTCGCTCTCAGCGCTGCCACCCTTACTACAGGAAAGCGGTGATAAAAAAGATAGTAAGGGTATTGAAACACCAACTATTCCAAAGCAGGAGTCTCCGGCCGAAACTCCTACGATGGAAGAACCCACTGGGAATCGCCTATTGCAGAAAAATCTACAAGTGTCATCGAATAAAGAAACTGCTGCTGGGGCAGAAAAGGGCAAGGAGCTTCTGACACCTAAAAATCTTAAAACAACAAGCAACGACAGGTCGAGTTTCGAGGTAGCATCCGTTCCTGAACCCCAGAAGAAGATTTCGCATAAACAACAGCGAAAACGTGCACCGTCTATTCCTTCAAAGAAAAATACACGAATCGTGACGAGCGTGCCGGACAAGTCTTCCGGTGATTCCAAGGCAATGGACGATAAGAAGAGCAAAAAATCGTCTTCGAGTAAACGTATGTTTTTCGTATGTATAATCATACAATTTATTTAATAGCGCCCCAAGAACGGTTTTATTCTATCGTAGGTTGAATCTTCTCTAATTGTATTTTAAGGGAGTTGCGTTTGTTTTAAATTTGTCCAATTTTCAGGAGAATCGCTAGTAAGCAGTTTCGAGGGTAAGCTGGTAAAGTGTCAAAGAGTCATTAGCAAGTTTAAAACTGACGCCGTTCGCAAGCTTCATTTCAGTTAATTTTCCGTCACAGTTGTTCATGAAGCTTTTCTGCATCATTTTTCAATCGTATATACATTTTCTATACTATTCGACGAAAAGAAAGAGCTCGGAACACTCAAGTACTGTCATCTGCTTGTCAAAATACTTTGTGTGCAATTTTACATGTGTAGCACTGGCAATCTCTTTGCCCGAAGCCAGAAAAAGCTGAGGAAGGTTGAACGTATGAAGTGTACTCCATTTTTCTATTTTTTTTTTCGGAAATTTTATGATGATCTATAACGATTTCTACTTCGGTAGGATCAAATATTGATATGCCTACTTACGCGATTTTGTGAAACACGAATAGTCATTGATGAATGCGTTTCCCGAGCGTTTTTGTGGCGTTCTCGTAAATGTTGCACTTCTACATAATTGGTAAACCTGTGGAAGACCTGTGTATTTCTGTAATGGTTTCAAACGCGCTTGTCACTGTAGTTTACACAAGGTGTTTGTGGCGAGATGTACGTGCACGCCTATCCTGTAATCTTGGTACTCACCCAAGTGATGACGACCCAATGCTTTGTTTGTGGCTTGTCTGTGTTTCTCAGCTTAAAACATGTGTTACAAATAAATATTACAACCAACTCCTGTTCGACGTAGTTTTTTTGTTTGCGTGTGCGTGTATGTTAACGTAAAGTGTTGCGCTGTTTCGGTACTGTGAACGTTCACCGAGTCACTTTCATCAACTTGAAAATCATACAAATGGTGATGGTAGGTAGGTTTGGTAATTGATCGTTTGAGTCGTTTAAGCTGAAAGCGGTAGTACAACATTCGGACCGTGTATGCTTGTGTCGCTTGCTGGCGTTACGAGTATATATTTAGTGCTGTATTAATGCTTACTAAATATCTACCTTATTTCCGTTAATTATCTTGACAGTCATATTCTTCGTATCTTTATTACTCATGCCTACATCTTGTAATTGCATGGAACGGACAACCCCACAAGGCTGTGATTTCGCTCAGAGAGGAAGCGGTAGATGCAGTAATTTTAGAACCGAAAATAACGGCATCGTTTATTGGCGTCAGTTAGCGGCAACTGCTTAGTAAATTTCCTTTTTAATATTTAATTGATACACGTTGACTAAGGAAAAAAACTATTTTCAAGTTTATAAAAATAACTACGCCAGTCCTCTCGGAAATATACTTCACGTTTCAGTAAAAATCAGATGTATATATATAGCCATTCCGTTTGCTTAATAAGCACAATAATTCTAGTGCATTATTCACTAGAGAAAAAATCTTCTATCCCTAAACTCTGGGGATCCGTTGGGAATTCTCGAGAATTTTTTATACTCTTCGCATATAAACAACTGGAAATTTCGTACTGCTCGACCGTCTTATCCAATATGTTGCGTTCTTTTGGCGGGTGTTATCACAACATTATCGTCTATGGCCTGAAACCATCGAGGCATATAGTAGTAAATCCTGCAATAAAAATACGAGTGGCTTTCAATGGTTCCGCTTAATGGGTCTACCAATTACTACAGAAAGAAATTGGTACGGCGATCACAGTCCCGTAAAATCTAAACCAGAAAACTAACAGATTACCTGCTCGTGTACATATTAAGAGCCGGCTTTTATAGGAGCAGTTTTAGAATTAATACAGATTCGGATACTAGTAAGAGATGCGTCAATTGCCGGCCATTAAGTCTTGATTATTTCGACCTACTTCAGGATCAACGAAATTAAAACAAATTGCTCAAGCGACAGTTAGCCATTGATGGTATATGACAGCCGGTTCCTCTAATTAATAAATCCGATTATAAAAACTAATTGCATAAATTGCAAAAACATCTCCAATACTATTGGAGTCCAATGCAGTCGCTTATGTCAAAACTTTGCTTCCAAATTATGAAAAATGCTTATTGTCAGTACGTTATGCCCCTATATATTCTATTATTTTACCAAGCTCACAATTGAAATAAATGTGTAAGTTGACTTTGTCACAGTACCTTGATTTTGAAGGTAAACTGACTTAAGCCACCCCTGTGTAGCTTTCTGGAAAGGCCTACTAGGGCGTGACGCATCGGATCTGCTGGTAGTCTGCATAGGAAAGATACGACATATTACGTATTTGAAACGTGTGTGAAATAAAACTTTGCTAGTACCACAATTAAAGTTCCACTCAAGTTATACGCCCAAAATGTTCAGTCCAATCCGCTCCCCTATACAGTTGTGGTATAAATTGGGTTTTTAATTATGGAAAAGACTCTTTCAGTATTTAAAATATTTGAGGGGTTTAATGCTCTTCGTTAGAAAAGACGTACATCGTATATACTTCCATGAGCAACAGAAATAAAATAACGTCGCATTATTTATGAAGCAGACCATGATCCAGAAAGTACGTACGTACCCTGCAAGTCAAAGCTTCCTTCAGCTGAACATCCGACGCTAGCTTTTTCTAGCCTGCTCATTGGTACTTCTGAAGTCCTCGACACAGAAAACGAGAGCGACTGTGATCTTTGGGAAGATGTATCGACTACATCTTGCAGCGATCTTGACCACTGTGACGAGCTCGAAAAGTCTCGTGAACAAACGAATCTTCAAAGAGAATCAAGCCAGCAGCCTGGGCAACACCGAAGTCGAATCGAAATCGATTTCATCCCAAGCGAGCTCGATGCTGCTTTACCAGATCCCATCAGTTTCACCACTGGCGATCGCCATGTCAGTCTTTATCCCTCTGTAAATACGAGGGAAGTAACAGCGCCACCTAGCACAACTAAGGGGTCATCGCCAGCTAAGCAATCAGCGAAAACCTTCGTTCGACGTAAACCAAAAAGGTTAGCCAGTAAACTGATTCAGGTTAACGGCCATTGTATAACTGACAGATTTAAAGGTGTATATAAAACCTACTGCATTACACTCATCCAAACAAAAGAAATAATTAACTTGTAATGCTGTGGGTTGCAGTATATTATGGGTTAATCTGAAATATAAACTTACGTCAGGAGATTTGTAAGGCCCCGTATCGCCACTTTAAATCAAAACAACTATCATTCGGTTCTCAATACGTGTCCTGTAACCTGCTTAAAAATTCTGCGTTTCTTCACATTTTTTTAAGGCCTTATATTCGACGTTAATTTTGCTTCTGATAGAACTTTTTTTTTTGTAGGTAAAGATGTACTGCGCTTTTAGAACTTAATATGTAAATGCAACGTAAATAATTGCAGTCTCGGATCATGATAAATAAAACTGTGATACAAATTCGAGCAGATAACTGAATTAGATAATTTAACGGTACACGATTTTAAATGGTGGGTTATATATGCATGCTTTTTGGAAGGTATCCCACCCAACAACGACGCGCAGCTCGGCCTGTAATTATTAAATACGTATACCAAACAGCTACCTCACAATACATCTATAAGGTTAGTAGTCCAAATATTTGATTTGATGCATCCTTATATCTTTTCGGACGACGCCACACGAACAAGCCAGGGTTGTCGTGACTCGCGACTGGGCTCTGAGGGAGCACGCCGCTGCCACGTTCTTTTTTTAATTCCATAATAATGTTGCCTAGTGAGCAACTGTGAGTACTTTCAAATTCAAGTTCAGTAAGTTGAAAATGCCAACTGTTTTAGAACCTCTATAGGTTATAAATGATGAAACAAGTTAAAATTATCCTTCTACTACTTTCAGCCAAATGCTTCGGAAGGCAGCACACTGTCGAAAACAGAATTTTCTGGCCCTGATTTGTCTGAAGTCAATAACGTCACTAATGGCGTGCTGGTGACCAAAAGAGAATGTATTGTAAAGATTAGTCAGCGAAAGGACGCGTTAAGCACAGAGGGACAACTAGCTGGAATAAACGATTTTTGGAAGGCCATCACAGCTGATCATCATGATACCGAATACGTCAACTTAACCCAAAAGGCTCAGGCTGAATCGACGTTGCGTGACGTTGACACTGAAGCATTAAATAAAGTTAATCCAAAGCACTATGACGACGTTACCAAGCACAAAGCCGTAAACGATGAAGTAAGCTTCAACTCACCGTTTGTCATTGTGCCATCAGTCGTTCCGACTCCGAACTTTGATTTCCAAGTTGACCTTGCAATGGATTCGACCATGGAAACAGTAGAGCCAATCGAACAGTTTCAAAATCAATGGAACGACCTGCCCCATATCGACATTAATTGGGATGAATATGCAAGGTAGGCATGAATTAGAACGGACGGAGCTGATCTATCTTTGTAGCAGATACATATTCAACCTAAGGCCATGCAGAATTTGTGCTCAGCCAAATGTCGTAAAACGGTTGTCTAGAAGTTGAAAACATCTAGACTTAACACATGTCCGGTCAATGTCTAATGTATTAAGTGTAAGGCCGCAAACTACGATCAGTTTATATAACTTTTTGTATTATTTAAGCTTGATTCTTCCAACGATCAGCTTAACACTTATGTGAACTCATATTTACAGTACTTCGGGTTCCTCTCCCTTCATGTCAGAAAAGGACATCCTAGAAAAGATTGAAGATGCTCAAATGGACATGCGGAGAAAGCAAAGGGCTCTCAGCATTATCCCTGAGTATCCTGAAGATGAGTCCGAGGAGGAGAAGGGTCACAAAATCGTCCTAACTACAAACCTCGACGACGAGTATGTTAGGAAGACAAAAAGCGAACACTTCTCTTATTGTACAAGTGATCGGCGTGCATTGCGCGTAGCCTTATAGCTCATGATCAACGATTTTATTTCCGGGCATTTTTTGAAAAAAAAAACTGACACACCATCGGTAACAGCAGCTGCGTCATGTATAACTTTGGATATCATTAACAGCTGGCTCTTATACGGAGAAAACATTGTTTATTTTGTGTAAAATGCTACATCGGATAAATAATGCGGTGGAAAAAAATTACTATAATAAATTTTCAATTACCGGGGGGATTCATTTAAGCTGACTATGAAATATTTCTTATTTGTTACGGTCGTTCGCATCGATTGACTTTTCTGTTAGCGAGTTTAATGATGTTATTGTTGTAATTTATTCTAAAACCATGTATTCTAATGTTGTTATAATTATAAAATCAGGTTACCACCGAAATACGATTCGGACAAGGATTGTGAATTATCAATCACTACGTTTCCGCTACAAGGCCAGCAAAACACGGAAAGACAGGACGTAGTGTCTTTCAATGGAACCGTATTCCATTTGCAGGACATCTCTGAGGAAAGTGAGCACTTCCAAGTGCATCATGTAGTCTACCCCACTGATGCAGATGAAAGTTTCGATACCATCGATGAAGGTTGCTTTTACGGAAAAAAGGAGCAATTGAGCTCTGGTATATCTTCTAAGAGTAACAAAAATATTACTGATGTTAAAGATGAATCATTGCAGACTACGGACACAGCAGAATCACAGCCATTTACCGTTTTAGCCAACTCTGCTACAAAGAATCCCCCATCTAGAGTGAAGCTAAACGAAAACTGCTTTTTCAAAGAACTTTGTTCTACACGAACAGATGTCTTCATAGAAGATAGAGCTGACAACAGAAGCAGCTCCGTAGTTGAACAGATCACCACAAACGAAAATTATGAAGGTAGCCCAATGTTAAATCCAGCCACGAACACACTTAAAAAAAAAAACAATGAACTTGAAGACAAAGCTCAAACGAAGGATAACGAGCCTCCTCACGATGAATCTGAAGGCTGTATAGGGCAAGCCGGTCCTGAAAAGGTTGATATTGAGATTCCTGCTGTGAAAGCAGAGGACACAACAGACAAAGAACCGGCGATTAGTACCGAAACATCGAGCGGAAGGGCTTCACCAACAGCCGCAGCTGCTCGCGAAACGCCTAGTAATGATATGGATACTAAACCATTCTTGCGGGCAGACTCTCCACCGCATATCACGCCAACCTGGCCGGCACAGGAGAACAAAATCGAAATTTTGGACAACTCCTTCGAGGACGACGATCAAGGGGATGATATCACCGGAAAACTCAATAAATTATTACTTCAAGAATTTGCACGAAGAAGGTAAATGGTGTATATATTTCTACTAGATTTAGAAACACGTGGCGATCTAGGTTTGCAACGAGTGCAGGGACGACCTGTGTCGTGCTGAGAGTCAGCCGTCTAAGGCGATTCTTAAGTAAAGCAATGAAATGTTATTATTTATATCGTTGAATAAGATACAATTCTCGTACTTCAATATAGTTTACCAATCGAAATGGCCTTCTCAAGAATGAGACGTTTATTCAAGTAATGTACACATGTGATTGCTTTGCGACAGTAGCAATGCAAGGATTTGACATGCATTTGGTATAACTAATATGAGCAACGAAAAAGTATTATGATGATTTCAAACCTTAGTACATTTCTAAACCGATAGTGAATAATGAGCCTTAGATATCCTGTTTTAGCAAACGAAGCTTCAATCTAAATGTTCTTCGACTTTGTCCTTGTGCCTTTATTTGTACTCTCGATTTGGACGTTTCAGGCAAAACGAAAAGCCAGGTATTCCAGAAACATCAGGAACATGCGATCTCGATACTGATTCCTTTTTTCCCTCTGGAACGGGCTCGTTAAGGGACCTCGACTTCAGGACTAGCGACCCTGAAGTAGACTCTAAACCCAAAGCGAAAGCACTGCCCCTGCCACCCGTTAATCTCATTTCACGAAGGTTTATATTTGCTGTGATACTGTGCATCACACACACCTACTGCAATATGCTTACAAAAGCATCTTTCGAAGATAAAAAAGGTTTTAGCTTAATCCTTTTGAAGTCGAGGAAGTTTTCGCAATGACATTAGCAAGGCAAAGCATAGTATAACTGTTTTTTTTTAAAATGATCTTAAATCATTTGTTTTTTGTTGTATGCTTTGTCAGATATTCTGCCGGTGATGAAATGGCCTATCGTAACATGGCGTCGTCAAGGGATAGCGCAACCGTCCAATCGCGTATCAACTCAACTAGCGTCTTACAATCCGAAATCGTGACCAACAAAACAGTAGCCGCTGCAGAAAAGCAGGCACCAGGAAAAAATGCCGTCAAAACACCACAAGATACTACTCAGCAGAGCGCGGATAAGTGGCGGGTCTGGTTAGCTGACGTTAACAATATTTGCTGCAGATATAAACACACGTATATGTTGGGTTCTGTAAAAGCTAAGGGCTCGAATTGCTGGGCTTTGCTCTCTTGTCATTGCGACCCTTCAAGCAATCTAGTTTCTTCGTGCTTAACAGACTCTATAACTTTGCAAAAATAATACAAAAACCAAACCGTATATATATATGTAAACGAGATGAAATCCGCCCTAAAAATTCGGTTTCGGTCGAATCACAGCTAATTTTCGTGCTAAAGTGTTAGGATAGCGGTATTCGATAGCGAGTTCTGCTCGATGCAGTACCGGTGAATTTGAGAACGGAAGCAAACGCAAAAGGTCAACTTCTAACTTGATTTAAAAATTATAAAATAGGCCAACTGATTTGATAACGCCACCTTCTTCGACCCCGCCCTGTACCGGGTCGATTAAAGGACCTACGCAACAGCCCGTAGGAATTGTACGAGTGGCTCTCCAACGACCTGCCGCTGAAGGTAATGTAGCAAACTAATATACAGACTGATTATCACCACCAAATGTTTATACATTCAATGTAAGTGAAAAGCCGAATGGAATTCTTAACCATTTTTATTAACGTAAAATAACCCTTAAATAGAGCACAATCGTTTACAGAAGGTAGCTTTTATTTGCTCTTCTTCTGTACTTGAAAGTCACATACTTAACTAGTTGTGCACACTCAAACATGAAATAAGCGTACCGTAAGAGGTAAAAGCCCTGAAAAAAAAAGAAACTTTTGTATATAAGGTTCATGAGGCTCTTTCTTGATCTTCATTGAGGTCTGAAACTCGTAGTAGAGTCGTTTAGTAGATCCTTCGGAGCTCAGCGACATCCATTTCTTCCGCCGTAATTAGTCGCTTTGCCTATAACGAAACAAATCAGCGTAAATTGTGGTCCTTCATAATTAAGGTTCTATTAACGCTCTGTATTAATCGTCAGTTTTAAACACTACACTCTGCTTACAGCCGTCAATACTGAAAGCTAACCGAGAAGTTTGTCTGAACGTTCTACAGAATTCTAAGCTATAAATGCTCTCCGTGACTACTATTTATCTCTATTGGTGACAAAAAAATTAGTGGGCTTCTAATTAGAAAAAATTATTTGTTTAACGCCAACCTGGCCCGTGACAATTTTTTTCAGCCATAGTGAACCCGATTTGGTTCATAGTGAATTTTCATTTGAACTGTAATGAACTATTATATATATGTATATATATATATATACATATATATATATATATATATATATATATAGTGAAAGGCAGTAATAATAACTGACACTAACTGTCGGTTTGTTATCCAAGAAGTTCTTTTTTAGAAGTTATCTCATTTTCCGAACAGTCTAAATTTGCCCTTTGAGTATTAGCCTTGAATCCTGTATGCAACTTAATATGTTGCACTACATCGCATCTCTAAGGAAATGTAGAACTTTTTGCGTCGAGTAACTACAGTGTGCCTCAAAAGAGAATCCCGGACACCTTTTTCTAAATACAGCTCAACTGCGTAATGTACGTGTCATACTAGGATCGACAAGTCATTGGATATGAGCTTCCTTTTCGGTCTACATGTTCCCTAAAGGGTCACCCCATCTGCGGCCCCGTCTTTACTTCCGCTAAAACCTGTGCCCCGTTCAGATATCGATCAAATTAATCCAGCTCTGTTCAGCTGCCCTTTGTTCAGTTTCATCGGACGCTGCTATTTCTAGTTCAGTCAAAACTTCATCTATACCGGTGAAAAGGAAGTCTCGCTGAACCCTTGACAGGGGCACAAGCCACTGACCATATAAATAATCAGGTGCTGCCCTCAATAGTGACAAGTAAAAGAGCACAGATTTCTATTACAATTAATCCCCATATCTACATAGTCTGATACTAACTTTGGAGTATTACGCGAACAACATAATGGGAATCTCTTAAATGCTTTACCAACCAAAAACTCAAGAATCCAAAAATTGACCATACAGCATATTCTCGTTGTGACACGCCATGCTTACCAATATTGCTATGCATAACGTTGGCTTGCAATTCACAATCCCGTAGGGCCGCCTCAGCTGGCAACAAGGCTAACGCCTTCTAGGCCCGCACCGCTTAGGCCAGTACCTCCGACGCCAATACCTCCGACATCTCTGAAAACGGTGATCAATCAGCAAACAACAGCGGGTTCTGCCGAAATTGCGGATGCCTCAACAGAAATAGCACCGAGGGAGCCTTTAAAGAGATTTAGTCCAATCAGACCAGCACCAAGTCCACCCCTTGCGCCTGAATTGAACCGGATTTTAGCATCAAGTACAATTCCATCAGAGGCCAGTATTAAACAAGGGGATCACACTGAATCGTTCAAGGTAGAGTTCTCGGATATCGATAGCGATTGGAACTTCCAGTGACAAAAGTAGAGCGAACCCCATTGCAAACAAACAAACAGTCATCGATAAAATTAAAAATATCCCCCTTTTATTCTCAAATCCCACAGGTCCATATTAAAGCTTCAATAATTTGGTATTTAAAATATCTTACAGTAAAAGTAATTATTTGAAATTAGCTAATCCTTTGTTCATGAGGCCCTTTCGTCGGAATTAAGAATCTGTGTGGTGTAAAAACGTATCTTTTACTTTCTTCACTTGTCACTTAGTTACCAAATTCATATTTTTTTCGTATAGTGCGAAACTTAAGCGGTGGATTACTTTATCTTTCGACAGGATGACCAAATCGCTCAACGGTTTAATAAATTCGTATTTCCATCGATTCTTCCACCACTGTCAAATATGAATTCTGAACGCAGGCGATCTTCTTGTGTGAAGTCGCCGTCTCCGATTGTAGAAGTACGATCTAAAGATGGTAGTCGAGCTCCAAACTCTTCTCCAGCCTCAGTAAGCATTCCATGCACATGAATCCGCCGCCTCAACACTCTCTATTAATACAAAGTCGTTTGATTGCTTTGTACAACAATAAATACACAGCAAGGTTTGGTCGTAAATATTTGACCAATTTTTTAAGGTCACTATATGCCAAAATGGAAATTTCTCACCCACTGACACGACGCCGTGTGCAATCATACATCAGCATTTATTAGAAATATATTTCATGTTTCTCTGCCCCTTAGAATACTTCGACACGTAGTGATTCACCCGTGTTTAGCTTGCACCAGTCGGCGCAAGTGAAAGAAACTACTGCTGGCGTTACATTGACACTATGCCCATTAGCGGAACAATCGGTTCGCGTAAGTTCGCCGTCGGCTGAGGGGGCTTCAGGACAAAGTTTGGAAAGACAAGTCGTGGATGGCAGCCAAAACGCCGGGGAAGGTCTTACATACCAGCAAGGAAGACCTGAAAACGAGCCTTCATACGAAGAGGATATGCGCAGACGTCGAAGTGCGTTAGAGGGATTACAGTTAGAACTACACGACCTACACGTTTATATGAACGAAACTGGAAAGTTCATATAAAATTATTCTTCTTATAATGCTTTTTTCTATTAAATTATATTCAGAAATTGGTCTTTGACCCAAGAAACATGATTTTTTCTTTGAGCCTTCGCTCTTCGGGCATGCTCGTCTAGTGTCAGACAGCCATTTACGTGGTCGTTAAATTCCTAGATCGTTATAAAACTTCCATTAAAAATATAGGGTGGTAATATAATCCATTATTGAATTCTTAAAGAAACCGTTTCTGAAGACGAAATGGAATGCATCCTTCGACGCACCCTCGACTTCGGGGTTGGAGAAGACCGGTGAGTGAGCGTTGTGTAGTTTATAGCTGGAGCCTTACATGCATACAATCGTGCTTGATTGACTAGCTACAGACTAGCATTAACTAGCTAGAGCTGTCCGCGTCTACTTCTAGGTTGAGTCATCAAACACGTAACATCGAGGAGAGGCAGGCTTGCCTTTCAGCCGAGGCACGCATCGTAGAACGCCAGATATGGGAGTCGACTAAAGGTTAGTAGATGTAAACAATGGTTATGAAAAAGTAATGGCTACACAGTGGGCAGGTAATGCGTACTACCCAGGTATGGGTCTTGCTAAACTTAATGGCAGTTCAACTGAGATCCTAAACGAATAGATTAAACATCTTCGTACATTCGCAAAACCAGTTTAGCTCCCTTTAATGAGAACAGGATTAGGTTTTTCTATATACGGTCAAGAGATGTTTATGTTATACGACATAATCGGCTCTCCTGAATTGTTGTAGTTTGTTTCAGCGACAGTATGTTCATAGGTTCTTACCCGCTGAACGTGCTCTTACTCTTGCTCAACTCTTACAAGAACTGACATTTTTCTCAAGATGGTAACTTTATATAATAATCTATATATATGAGCTTGTAATTTTTAAGTTCGAACAGGTAACTAGTGAGCAAAACAAAAAGCTACTTATAAAATGCACCCGTAAATTGGTAATCGGACTGTTTTCAAATGACATTCCAGATTCTCCGATCAATGGCGATTACCCTCGGGTTGTTTTAGATCCGTCCGTAGGAAAATATTATAGTAAGTATTTTCACTTGTTATGTCTTGACTGCTCGTCGTACCGTTTGAGCGCTTTCCGAATAATGCACCACATCGTTCACTGAAGCAAAAAGACCCGCGCGCAGCGGTCGGTCCCAACATAGCCCTACGTTGTTAGGCTAAGATAAAAATCGTTAATTTTTTGAACATTTGAATAATGTAAGCAAAGAAAGACATATATCTCTAATCTAGAACCGCCATAAAAATCTCTGGGACGTAAAAAGATGAAGACTTAGCGGTTCGACGAGAATTCGCAGGGCGACTCGTAACTGTGCCGCTGCAGATAACAGCTTTAGGATAGATCTTCGAACACAGTATATCTCAAGATGTTTGCAAATCATCTTGAAATCCACGAAACTATTTTGACGAGCAGATCCTTTAAATGAAACAGAAGTCTAGCTTCCTCTATACGTAGTTTTTTTTTCGTGAATTTCGAAAAAAATGATACAGCATAGATGGGCGATAGACAGGTCAAGAGTGATTCTGAATTCTGTAATAGCAGAATACGTAGTGGCCATACGCTTTGATGTCCTACTTTTCTTTTTTTGACAAATTAAGATCTAACGCACCCGGTTGCACTGCGCTATTCTAACATAATACAAATTCATATAGTGTTTCTTTTCGCTACCAGCAAAACTATTTATTTGTATTTACATTACCGTAAACTTACGCACTTACGAAACGTTGTTTCCATATAACCTACCAGTGGCCAATGAAGCAAATGCGAAAATGTTCCGAGGAGACCTTATTGCTGATCTCTACCGAATCCTGAATGTCAAGAATCAACTCCGTGACAAGTACAGCCAGCTAAAGTTTCTGTAAGTTCTTACAAGTTGGAGTAATCAATATTTGTTTCCACTAATTGCTAAAACCTATTAACATTGATGTGCTTGTCATAGGTAATAATGCCTATCGCACGATGGTGGACCATATTTTAGAGCATTTATAATGCTTTAAAATACGGTCAAGGTGTTCATATACAGTTGCGTTGCTTTTTGAACCTGAAGAGTCCATATAGTACAAAAGAGTATTTTCACAACAGTAATGCTTATTGTCCTCGCTATTATTAAACGGTACATAAGTACAGCTTAAATGAAGCGCAAGGCTCTGGAGCAGGACAACAGGACGGTACTAGTCCAGTGTGAGGTGAGAAAATCATTGCAAACAAAGTAAAATTTACTCGTTTATAGCTACGCTCACAAATATAATTTAGACGCCGTCCTGCGTCCCCGATAATTCGATCTATTATGTTTCAGTCAATGTTACAACGAACTTCAACGTAATCAGACGGACATCGAAGTACGACTACGAAAACTCGCGTGTACTCCCAATGGTAACGTATGGTCACATGGGATCAGTTTAATTGATTTCAGATATCGCATTGAGTCTGGTATTCTTTAATTACAAAAACTTGAAAGTTTAGTAAAAGGAGGTTTGTCTTAAGTAGGTATATTACATAACACACGTTGATCGAGATCGTGTTGCGTTCAGGAGTGTGGAGACGATATACTTGCAGTCTTGCGAACACGTTTTTAATGAGCGACACTATTATCTAGACGCAGTTATCGTTTCGTTGAATGAGTGTTTTTTTACATGATGGCTTTGCTTGGTTATGCGATACAGGAAGGACTGCAACTTTATCATTTGAGGATTACAACTATGAGCGCGCACTTGTGAATCGCCTAGTGGAAGTGGTCACTCAGCGAGATCGTTTGGTAGAGATGATGGACGAGCAAAACAAGCGGAAAAAAGCTCTAGCGCACACGTCGCAAAGTGAGATCTTACCTAAACCTTACCTAAAAAAAAAAGCTAAATGTTTTTATTCCTCTCAACAGTTTCTGCCAAAAGTTCGCATGCTAACTTTAGAAAGTAAGCTTCGTTCCGTGCTGACGGAATGTCCAACGGCGACGCCGGACGTAAAACTCCAAACATAGGAATTCACAGACAAATACCGATTCAAATCGGTCCGGTTCAATGCTGGTTGATAATAGTGCTAGTGGCAATACAATTTTTTTCTAATTTCTATTAAAGGTCTCAGCGATCTTGGTTCCGACTCGTTCGGCTTATTACCGATGAAAAGCTCGAAATCCTCGGGCTCGCCCGACAGAACAAACCACGGCAAAGGCAAGATACGGAAGAAGCGCCACGGAGTGAAGCACTTCTTGAAAAAACAGTACAGCAGTTTAATCAAGAGGACGGGCTTTGCCCATTCCGGTAACAGTTGGGATCGCATTGATTTGACTACCCAACAGACCGAGGGGGAAGCCTCTGATTCATGCACCGAATAGGAAATGCCAGTTACCGCACGTGTCGGAGCGCAAGTTTCTATAGGTTACGTAACAATGATTATACTTATATAATAATGAGTATACTTAATAATGATAAATTACCTATTATAATAAACGATAATTTCTCCATAAACTATTGTCAGTTGTTTTAGCCGACGTATGTTAGAAGATATAATCGCGAAAGTATTCAGCAGTGTGTAATTGTTACCTATGCTGAATATGAAGTTACTACACGACGCGTACATTTTCTATGCTGCCTATTAATTGTAACACGGAATAAAGAAAACGAATGAATTAATACAATTATATAGGTACATACATGTATACATTTATAATAAAGTAATATATATTTTTTAATTATGGGAGTCATATTTATCGAAGTAGCCCCACGACAATGATCTTACGTGTTACTAATCTGTTTTAGGTACTGTTCGTTACTACGAATTAATCAACCATTCATGCTAACACTCAAGGTTATTTTTGGCCGATTTCTGAATGTCTGAAGTACTTCGTCTTCCAGCCCTGACTTTCCTATTAGGGAGATGTACGTTCGGCTTCGTAAACACGTAGTTACCATATACGGGGGGATCGTCTGGTTTGGCTCCATCTCATTCTCTCCATAGCGTTTTTCCGTAACATGGAAAGGTATCCTTCGAAGAAGAATATTCTGCACGGGTTCCCAGATTCAAAAACGCGATATACGTAAAATTTCATGTGTATGTATTCAAGGAATATGTATTTTCGGTAAATGTATTGTAAACTGAATCAGTTCGGAGCTGAAACAAAGGATGTGATTTGCCTTATTACTTGTTGTGGGTAATGTCGGGGGGTATGTCTATCGGGGCGGTGGCGACTCGAAAATCAAAACCTGGATTGAAATCTACATCGCTAAGGAAAACTTAGCGATGACGATCCCCACTTTAGAACTAATGCGATCCTGTATTTAGCATTTTCTCTTAATAAAATTATTTTCATAATGCATAGTAACTGTAACTTTCATGAAATTTTTCAACTTGGATTGTCAAAAGTAGTTACATAGTGAATAAGCTGCATAATTTCTAAATAACCTTTGTTACTGTTGTTACTGTGAAATCTTCTGAAAAGATCTGTGAAAGAGCTTAACCTAAGTTTTAAGAATCTATGGATATCAAGTTAAATTTCATCCAGCGCAACGTTAAGACGTGTAACCAGTTAGATCATAGCAAGCTATAACAGTTATGCGCCATGTTTGCTTTATTACGTATTTGGAAAAAAAGCTCTGATAAGTGAACGCATTATATTTACCAACACTCACTGCTGATATTGACACTTTTGCCCTCTAAATCTAAACTTACCTAAAGTTTCCTTCGTGTTATGGGCGCTGTCTGACTTAAACGGGATGATGGTTAACAATTATTTGGCAATTTTTGCCTACTATGAAAATTACGCATCGCGCACAATTATTAAGTAGATGCGCGTGGCAAATGATACATTACACTGGCTGATAGACGAAAAATTCTAGAACACAAAGGTCTAAAAGACCTTTGGTTGCGAAGACCTGCAAGGACTAAACGTTAAGCCTTATTTGATTGACCCAATTGGGGTCGTATATACTTATTAAAAACAATTTTCCCGTTATGAATCTTTCGTTTTGCCTCATAAAAATATTTGTCGAACTCTTGGAGACCACAGACGCTGTCAACGACACTAACGATCAATTCTGAACAACCATAGAGGCTTTTAGTCTCGTCGGTGATTGATAAAGCATAAGGCAATGACTTTTAAAACAAACATATGTTTGCCATGATGTGTTTGCTTTGAATTTTCGCTGGAGAGAGCTAACCAATAACCCCTGAGGCAAAATCAGCGTCGATCTGTCCCGAACATTCGTCGTATATTAGTACACCTAGCTGATTCACCCAGCACTAATGAATGCCAATACAATTCTAGTTACTCTAGAACGTATGTGTTGTAGACAGGTGTACGCATTACGACCCCTTACCTGTGTTCCAACGAATCGAACAAAAATGTTTCAGCTCACATTGCTGAGCACCCCTTTACATGTAACCTTTCATTTGATTGTTTCTGATGGGTCATTCTCGTCAGACGCTGATCTTGTTACGTTTCTCTGGTTATATCCGTCTGCTACAACAAACGCATTGTAACAACTCCATCTATTATGGCTAGCTAATTCCACTGAGTGATGGATCCATTAATAGGTACCAGCATTTATACGATACAAATAAAGTTCCTGTTCACAGAACACTTCACCAATCGAGTCAATCCCAGCAGGATCTCCTAAAATTGATTGCCAAAATTTCAGAGAAAGAACAGAGACTTCTTGACATAAAGGTGCTCCCCGCAGTAAGCAAGACCTTGTTACTGCAACAGTTACGGTGTTCTAATACATCATATGTAACGTTCGTTTAGTTTTACAAACTTAATTACATTTTTTTTTGAATAAAAATACACATTTTTTTCCACAAAAAAGAAAGTATGTTATATACCATGGACTGATTGGCTACCCGTATGTGATAGTCACTTGTATTAAATACATCTCTTATTAACTGAATGGCCCCGAATGAAAAGCAGATAGAAGGCACATGGCAGGCCCTTGGTTTGTAGCTAACATTACTTCATTTTTTGAGTAGAGTACGTTCGCATCCCAATTTGTTTTTTTTTTCTGTATTTACAAGATAATCAACAAACTTGATCGACAGCACGCGTATTCATACGTATCTCTTCGACGCCAATTAGTTCCCAAGAAGGACAAATCATAACTACCGCAATTACGTAATCGAAGCGTTAGCACAGAATATATCAAGCGAACAAACAACGTAAATACACGCGTTTGCCCTCTCTATTTTTTTGTTTGTAAAATCGTAACAATTGCGTGAAACTAGTGATAAGAAGGTGATAAATCATATATTCGTTGTAAAATTCTATCGTGGTTTTGTGTCAGCCAGAATTTATTCAATAGAACGGTAAATCGGTTGGGCCTTAAATAACATGATTTCCATCGCCACAGTGGTTAGGCTTGATAGGACCATTTCGAGTCTCAGACAACAAATTGAAGGTCAGTTACGGTAGACTCAATCATACTACACAATGCAAAAATGTGTGCATAGTTTCCAGGTTGTTCTACGCATTGGCATGCATCGTTTACTGCATCAAAATCACCTGTATGACCAGGGTTAGACTGGACTGTTCTGCATATCCCTATGGTAGAGTAGTGGATACCTGTTGAACGCAGGTCGTAAAGGTTTAGCTTTGTATTTGGACGTAGACGACTTAAATACCGGACGTTAAACACGTTCAAGACTGCTTCGCGAACGCGTCCAGTTGCTGTGACGTATTACTATATCTTGCCATAGGACAATTATTTCACTAGGGTGCCAGCTAATTCACAATGACTTACTACGCCGAAAAAGTGCCAATGTGCAACAATCGAGTCAAGGCCTGCCCCATCAGTACCAGCGTCACACAAAATCAAATCGCGTTTGTCTTCGCTTTTTGATTCGTTTTGTATTTTTGTTGTCTTTGTCTGCACTCTTCATTGCTCACAAAGAACCCCCATGTAACGCTGACTACTGCACGATATATATCACCTTGTCAACAATATATATATATATATATGGCAAGGGGTCTTTCTGTCTTCTTCCTTCTCTTGTGCAACAACCTTCTTGGTCCTTGCCTATCCATTACTACTACTGGTTACCATTATTACTAGTGGTAGCTTTGACAAACAAAAGCTTAACGGTATCGCAAACCCCGGGTTGGTTGATCAGTGGAGCAATACGTGCAAAAATACACACAAAATACGCGCAAAGTACAAGATGTGCTACCTCTTTCAAATTATATGGCTGATGGTTAACGTGCTGTTACTCCAATTGGTAGATGTGTCGGTTCTTTTTGCGCAAGTGAGTGAGTTTCGTAATAAACCTGGATATTTACCATACAGATCCAAAAAATTGCAGTTTCTATCGATCGAAGGATCCGTGAAAACTTAATATGAATAATAGAAACTCTTAAGAATGATTTAAGAAAAACGTTTTCTTTTATTGTATTTTTTTGCTGTAAAATTCGTCGAAGCTTGTCACAAAAACTTGGATGTTCCATATTTTTAAAATATTTATATTTTATGTTTATTGATATTCTTATATTGAAAAAGTTAACAATGTTTCGCGGAGAATATCAGCTTTATTATGCAAAATTCTTTGCAAGTAAAACGACAAAAAAACAACTTATGTTCTGCACTCTAGTTTTTTTGCTATGAGATACCTATTTCCTATTTTTTCTTTTAATAAATTCGTATCTTCTTTGATTTTACTGTACAATTATAACCGGTCTATATCTAAGCGCCTGTGTCAAGCTTGTACTTGCTCGCCACATGTCTAATGCGAGATACGCAAATGTTTACGTAAACGAAAATCCACATTGGTGATCCATCAGCACTTTCAACAATTCTAACGTAATTACACTTGGGGTGCATAAATGCACGCTTTTCGAAATCATCGTTTATTATATTTTTTGGTAAACGTAAGTAATCCGTAATATATGTTTTTGCATCATCATCATCATGTGCATCATGTGACAGATACAAGCATGCAACTGATTCAACATTAGGTTAAATCACGGTCGTCTAGAAAAAAACCTACCTCATCCAATATTCAAGCGAGCCTTTCTAGAAAGTTGGTTGTGGCCTGTCTTGCAAAAGTGCCTTGGTCGGACGATTGGTGGAAGATCATTTATGGCCAAAAAAAAAAAGACCTTTTTGTGCATTCGTACATTTATGACTACTGCCTATTGAACTTCGCAGAGATTGGCTCCGGAAGATCATCAAGTGTTGCAGATGGTTCATCTATCTAAGATAATATCAGTACAGTCGCGGTACTTTGCGAGCGACCAACGACAAAGTGACTCCCGACGTGTTGTAATCGTCTTAGTACCTCCAGGAGGCGAAAAGCTCCGGGTTCAACGGCGTCTCTCCACAGAAAGCTTCCTGGTCGTCGGGCCTTCACCAAACCTTCCCAATGGACTTGACGTGCCGCCACCAGTTAGAAAAACGTGGTGATAAATATATGTCACATCCTCATACGCTAAATAAATAGATTGAGCAATAGCAGGAGCATTTTCTGGTCGACCATATTGAAAAGTATGTCGTGTCCTGCATGAAACTGTTGATTTGACTGTGTGCATCGATAAGGACCAATCTTATTCTTATGTACTATGAACTGCCTCGATAGCTTCGTACGAACCATCCCTGGCAAGCAAAACACGGTCGGATAAAATCGTTACGATGCCTTTAACACGTATTTACAAAAAAAAAAAAAACATTACACGCAAAAAATAATGTACAAACGAATTACAACAAAAAATATACGAACAGAAAAATTTACAAATACAAACAATCTGAACGTCTAACTGGAACTGCTGCAGAGAGTCGCTACGTCAATAAACAAATTTTTTAAGCTTCCTTAACCAGCTTGTTCTATTAGAATTGCTAGTTATAGATTCGTCGGTTTGAAATTGGAATATAAATCCTGTATATTTCTGTAAGTTGTAAAATGATGATCAACAAAGCGTCTTGAAGCACTACAAAGACGACTGGTTTCATACTGCCAGTAACTTGTTAAATGTTAGAACTGGCCCTTGGATTTCATCGAGGCGGATCTGTAAGTAGGTAGAGAGCAGCTACGCCAAAAGAACAACTACATATTCAAAAAGCATTGACGTGCGCCTATTGGTTTATGCCCTGCCTTTAGGTCTATTTAAATGCACAGACGAACTAGTGATCCCAACTTAAACTTGCTATTAAAATCTTGTCTGCTACCAACTTAACGTTAATTTGTTATTAAGAGATGGGACTTTTAAATTGCGCACTTCTATTGGGTTATTATTATTATTCTATCTTGGGTTTAGGCTATTGTTTCACGTCGAATAACTGCAAACTGGAACTTGAAATTAATAGAAGATACCTTAATTCGCTTAGTTCTAATGAGAATCAAGGTGAAACGAACACGTGACTCTTAAAAAGCAATTGATAAGTCGCTCCAACATAATACGCTACAAAACATCATAAGCAATGGTCATTACACTTTCAAATCGTAGATTGATCGGGCATAAAAGAAATGTCTATTCTCTGTGTTCGATAGTTTTTAGCGTACGCTCTGGCAGTCACTTAAAGCTTATGCTTCGAAGACGTGTTCTAGGCGCGCCCGGAAGACACGCCTAGGAAAAATAAGATGCTGCTCTTGTGCCGACACCCCTTTTACACGCCATTTTCTACATATGGGAGCAGGCGAGCACAACATTTTCCATTAGTCGGAATAAAGAATATTTTTACTTGAAGTCGGTGCCAAATATTATTGCGAATCTAGCAAATGCACTTGGACGCGAAAAGGTCTGGGCACAAATGGAAACTACTGGCATCAAAGAAGTCCACGCAAAAATGAATCCCATATAAAAGCATACCAGTCTGAAGTTGTATTTAGTGGCGGTAACGGAGGCAAACTATCGATATACGTCCGTATTTACATCATGTATTAACACCAATGCCGCGCGGTCTCCTAAATCGCTCCCCTGGCGAAAATACTAACTAACGCAGTTACTAAATGAGCATTTCGTATAGAGGCTTTGAGAACAATATTTTTCAAGTATGTGGATCCTGCCTGCAAAACCTCCTTACGTACAGAATTTTTGGAGTGGTTATATCGACACTTTCGGTGGGGGCAGGGGGGCTGAGGGTTTATTGAAGATTTTTTTACGGCCGTATATTCACGCTAGGGGAAAAGAGAAGACTTCCACAGCTATACTCGGTGATTACAAACTGGGAAAAGCTCCCATAGTATCGAAAATTACTGACAGGTTGCAAAATTTTGGAAGTAAATTGTTTTTAAATTCTTGATAAATACTTATAAACTTATTCTGCAATCTAAAGTCCAATCATTTGAAAGGCTTTCACACGCAACTCTCATTCATGTATGTGCTATCTGCATTATAAGCAACATCTGCTCTGTCCATTAGGACAAAGTGTAGTACAATTGTAGAGGATACGGAAGTTTACTACGTTAGTATACAAGACTTGAGCGTTTAAAAAACTGCTGATATCCGCTGAAATTCACGCAAGCATAACCGGCGCTCTACACATTATTTGCACATTACGAGAGGGTCGCAAAGTACCTTTATTTTTATGATAGACCTCTGAGTGATCGTATTCCGCACATCCATTCGGGTCGGCAACAACACGCAGTGGCACCATCGACGTGCTAATCCAAGCCAGCGCACGACCACAAGCAGTTTTGCAGATTCACTCTCTTCAAAGCCGATCTAAGTCAAACAACATATCCGCAAAGTGCATCGTGCACACTACCCTATGTCGAAGATAATATTCCGTACGCTGTGGGGCGTTTGCTAGGGAGTTTCCCGGTGCAGTTCCGCGTGGATCACTGTCTCACGTCGATATCCGGTGGGCGTTGTGCGCGAACCTTCCCCACCCCACGCGACTCCATTCCTAGTGCCAACAAATATTCCGCTTCGAAGATAAGGGTAAGCCAGTACCTCAATGTCCACAGTTCACAGGAAAACCGCGTAAAGTGAATAGTACGTTGATATTGTGACAATTCATTTACAGCGGGCCGAAAAAAAGAGAGGACAGGCTCATTTTGGTATCATCATGCTTCACTCTGCAGAACCGATGCGACCGATAGTGCTCTAAGGGAAAATACACCGACATTTTACTCAGCGGGCTATAATAGTGCCGCCACTATAGTGTAAACGCCCGAAACACTCAAAATCTGTTTTTCTTACATCTGTTATATGGTTTGTGGTTAGTCGATTGGAACTTTGTTGATGATCATCCCTGGCAAGTTTGGCTTCTCACGACAAAGCCTACGTCGTGTAGGGATGATACATAGATCGGTGGACATCGCTGGGCGAATGTATTCTTATATATTATTTAATAAATGTATTACTCTAGTAGAAAACTTACAATTCGAACGTATACAGATCGCCTAGTAATCGACCAAGTAGTCTGAGATGTTTCCGAATTTGACCTTCACACATCTCTGAGCCAATTTAGTTCGCTCGGACGAAACCCGTTATTTTCAAGCCAAATTTTTGCGTACGTGGCAACATGCTGCTGACATAGTGCTGGCACTACTTGCAGACTAAAAGATTGCGTTTCACTTGTAAGAAGAAGAACAAGAAGAAGGCCTTATAAAACCTAACGTTACATTGAAATAACGTAATTAATCGACTGTAGCAGATTTAACTGAATCAAGAATCAGGCTTAGCAGTCGATGACAGTCTACTGCGTAGATCAGCGATAGAGGCTCCAAAAAGGCAGGCTTATCATTGCCTTATTTATATGCTCTACTACGGTTCGAACCGTCACACCTAATACGATACAGTAATCGCCCATTAGAAATTCATAATTAGTCGATTAGAACTTTTGCCAATACATCTTATAATGCCTTCTAATCTATTCCATTGAAGAAACGTATGGCATCTGCAATTTACGCTAACGAAAAATAAATACCCTTTACCTAAACACCCAGTAACTAACGCAACAAGAAGATGCAATTTAAGGAGAAATCGATTCATTCATTTCTTCTAACAAGTACATTTGTTTTTATTATTATTGTTGTTTGGTTCGATGGGAATAATCCAAAGTCTATTATAACTGAAAAGAAAAGCCACTAAGCCTTTCTTCCCTTTCGATTTCACATATATATATATATATATATATGCATAAATGCTTACGTACGTGTTAGGGAATACAATGTCAACTTTCCATTTCGAATCACATAAAACTTACGAACTCAATATTCCAAAGTGCAATAATGACAACAGAGAGAGAGAGAGAGAGAGAGAGAGAGAGAGAGAGAGAGAGAGAGAGAGAGACGTCTCGTTGGAAATTAAGGTTAAATTGGAAGTACACGCCCATATTTTTTTTAAATTTTCTTTTTTATTTATTTTAGATAGCTAAAAGCGACACAAGGCAAAATCTTGCCCCTGCAAAGCAATTTGCGTCATAATGGACAGCATGCTTCGCCCCTCAGTATATTGGTTGTTACGAAATAACGCTAACACTATTCTGTCGTCCATATTTGAACATGACAGTAACTTTCAAGCTCCTATTTCTATACGGTAATCATCTGTTTCAAGTCGTCAATATGTAGATATTAGCTCGTGAAAAATCCGCCATTCTTTACACCCCAGTAGAATGTTTCTGGTTCTTTTTTTTTTTTTTTTTTTTTTTTATAGAACATGTTCAGCTACCGTTTCTGATAAACTGCTCACATTTTACAGCCCTATATAGCCTAGTCCTAGGATTCCATTCGAGTCGACTGATTAGCTTTATGAAAAAAAAAAATAAAACGATGTATTTTTCAGTGCCTTTATTCTAGGCAGAAAGAAAACACTCGTCAATCAACCGGTTGTCTTCTTTAGTATATGAAGGTACCCGATAGTTGGTATATCATGTTTTGAACGTAGAATGTTCTACTGTTAAGTAAACGGATGTTCCTAAGTGCTGGCCGAATCTGCTTGATAGACTCAGAAATCAACTACGCAAGAAGCACCTTAAGTAGGATAAGTAGGGCCTAGTTTACATAATTTCCGAAGTATCGTTTCATATACGACTAAATGAGATTGTACTTATAGGTAACAGCAAAAAGTCTCACAAACAATAACCCACCATAACACAACGATTGTGGTTAACTCCGTCGGCATCCACCGAAAAACAATTGCCAACTATTATGGACTACTCAGGCGCGGGAAGTATTAAGAAAATCTTCGGTCGTCAACGAGAACCATACGGCTTCGTCACGATTCACCAACCTCAAGAAGTTAAGGGAATGGAGGCTGTTTTCTATTTAAAGGTAAATGCTTCATTATACTACTATATTTATATGGAGGGTGCCAAGGATTTTCCTAAACCTATCTAGGAATAAACGCATATGTGTATTACACTTCAAATAGCTAAAAATTCGGATATCCATGCTCGCCTTCTCAGACCTCGTGGTCGCGAAGCAGGTTAGTATGGACCTGTAGAATTCTTCCTTCAGACGATAGAAGTACAAGGCCTGTTCGGCTAAAAGAAACTCCGAGCTCTCGCTAGTAACAGAGTTCACCGCTTTCGCCTTATAGCAGTTGAGTCATCGTCGTCGTCACACGATGCAGAAGTTGAAGAAACATTATGATCATAAAGATTCCATGCGGTCAATAGCACTTGCTGATGATAAGTGCGCAGACTGTTCAGCTTGCTCTGAGATGTGACTAGCGGTGTCAAATTTGTATTGTCGCTAATTGTCTCCATTGATGGGAATCTTTGGCCTAAGCTCAACATCTTCCCTGCTTTGTGCGTACTGCGACCTTATTCAATGCTGCTTCCAGTAGTCTTTCGCATATCTCCTACGGACTTCGTACCAACGTAAATTCTGCCAATCGTTGCAAAAGTCACATCGTTACGCAAAGCAGTAATGGGACACAGGTTTTTGTCGTGATCAACCTTGTATACACAGAAGAGAATCAGCAATAAATATCAAGACTTGACAACTACCCCAGCATGGCAAAGTGGACAAAAAAGTAGCTTGGCCACAATCGGTCGTCGAAACGGGTTAATTTCGCTACAAGGATACTGTATTCAGACAACAGGTCGAACCGATCCACGATCGGCAAGGCAAATGGTGGCGCCGTTCACATATCGAACGAAAACAGCAGATGATGTTCGGAATTTTGAAGAAGTATTTTCAAGTGCATTTAAGCCTCTTCAATACCAAGTTCTTTCAATTCGAAAATATTCCTTCGTTGGTACTTTTTGAATAATAAATGTAGAAAGAAAAGTCGCTAATCCGTTGTCTGCCATATCTACCGCTTGGGATCTAACAGAAAAAAATGACGAATGTCAGTAAGGCTGCTTCTGCTACGCCCCTGAGGTGGGATTAGGGGACTTCACACGTCTTATATAGTATATGCCTGGGACAGGGCTTGAGCCAGCAATCCTTGGCTACTTCGCGTGAAGCTTAGCCATTCAAGCATCCCATTGACAGCATAGGGAATAGTTACGAATAATGAGTACACAGTTGAGGGAAGTAATCGTAGACTTATCGATGCCGGCCACGGCGTTAACGATTTGGACAATATAGATGAAAATTTTGGTTTCTGATAAATGAATCTACTTAGCGATCGAGATGATACACGTCCAAGCAGGTTGGTCGAAACAATGGCTTCGTGTGCCTACAGGAAGAGTGGAACTACAAGAGATTGAATTAGTTTCAACTGACACTACCGAAGGAACAGTGCAATTAAGATAAGTCTACTTTAATGTGTGGCTTTGTTTCTAGACCCCTGCTGGCATATTCTAGAAAGGCAACGTTTTCAGGTGGCCGCCGAATAAACGGAGGGAAAAAAAATCGGTTACCTCAACGCACAGGCAGCCAATGCTTGATCTGTCGAATCAACGGAAAGCAAATTTTCAATCGTAATTTTATGTGTAACTTGCTTGTTGCTTCTTTCATCGAACGACATCACCTTATACATATATTTCATATAGGAAAGCGTATTCGTAGCCCAGTGATCGATGATGCTACATTGACCTTTGCCAATCGAAACAAGAGGCTACTTACGGGAGCGTTAAATATACATTATTATGTACTAGCAAACTACAAATAGATGGCCGGCCAAATTAATGAATGAAACAATGCACGGTGCAAAAACAAAAACTCGAAGCGCTTATTTTTTGTTTATACATTAAACGTTTTAAGCCTCGGCACAATTGCCTTTGAGCGTCCGTAACCGAAACGATACTACGTAAACATACGCGCAAATCAAGAGAAGCTCTGCTTCGAAGCAAAGCAAACGTAAGTTTATTGCTTTATAATCAAGCTGGGACAACATTAATAGCTGTGCTTACTTTGGTACTTAGCCCACATTTAATAGAACAGTTCCTGCCAATTCGGTGCCGTACGGAACAAAAAATCAAAGTACCGAATTTTCGCTGAGTGAAAACGAGCATAGATACCTGTTGTCATCTTGCAATACGTCGTACGCATGTAACACGACCTCACAAATAAGCATTTATCTGCGGTCGCGTTCCAGGATGTTCTTGTGTCTGAAGACGAGCGTCGACTACTTCAGGGTGGCCTTATTGTGCATTTTAACTTCGCGAGAAAACCTATAGACCGCATGAAGGCGCCTTGTCCTTTTAGGGCGACACAGGTAATGTGTGCTTGTGATATCTAAATTTAAAATTTTTCTAGTTAGCCTAAACAATTAGCTCACTAGTACGGTCTCGTAGTTGTTTCAGAAATAGAAATCTTAAGAAATGAGGCTAGAAAAAAAAAAAATAAGAAAAATGGCTAGGCGTTTTCCCTATGATTTGTAGGCCACTTTGTAGCACTAACAATACGCTACTCTCGTTCGTTGCTGTTGTTCATTTTGTGATTCTAGTATAAAACTGAAATACACCATTTAATGTCCTTGGGAATTGTTACAGTCTTACTTAAAATTTGCACTGTGAAAGATAGGTATATGCTAGGCCATGAAGGTCAGATCGGTCTATGAGGTTTAGAAAGTGAGTACAGCCTTTTACGTCATAGCTGTTAATTGTTAGTAGGCTCACTTCGGCCTATTGCATTTCCGTGCCATTGCACTAGCCCTGCACATACTAAAAATATTCTGTGAGTATAGAACTAAGGGGAGACATGTCCTTGGACATAGGTAGAAATACTTTATTTACTAAACGCAACAAGTTTATCATGTACATTTTTATTCTTATATTTTGTTTGTAGCTCAAACGTATAGAAAAATATATTTAGTCTTATACTAGTCGTATACTTACTGGTGCATAATGCACTGACAACGCATGGTTCCTATCTTTTTTATAGGTCCGTGTCCAAGACCCCATGGAATACAAAGGCACAGTTGCACGTTGCAATCAAGGAAGTTTAACTGTTTTCCTAGACGTCTTATTCAAACAAGTAGGCAGCTCACAAACAACACACACTGATTTGTCCTAATAATAGAAAATTCAAGACTAAATACTAACGGTTTACTTTGTTAGACACGACTAATGGGAACTAACCAGTCGAGCACTGTAAATAACTGTCCTAGCGCCGTGTCACTAGATAATAATGTTCGTATTTTTCAATGATCAGTTGGTTATCGGCACTACCGGCATCTAATAAATCGATGTTTGTAAACTTATCAAGATAGGTTATTTACTTATAAGAAAGGTTATTTTAAAGCAAACTAACCGAAAACAAATTCAAAAAGTAACACATCGTTTTGCTCAACTCATACGGCATATAACGGACCAATTCAATATGAGCTCCTCTACCCAAATCATGAATACGTTGCCAACACTCATAGAATGAAGCCTAATTTTTTTTCAATTAAAATAAATCCTAATTAGAAAGACAAAAAGAAACCCTCTCGTACGTGGGCCTTTCTAAGAAGGCTGTTCTATTTAGGTTCATTTACAAGCTCATTGGAGTATATGAATCCTTAGGTGGATACGTAGTAATAACGTTATTACCGATAAGTATGTTTTTTTTAGTAACGCGTTTGGCGTGCTACTTAATAATTCCAAGTTGACAGCCCATTCCTATCTGGTTCGAATCTTTGAAAAAGAGATTCCGCCACACCGACCTGAGGAAAATCTCCTAGAAGATAAAGCCCGTTGCGGCTTAATGAAGTGTTTTCCCCCAAATACGTGAACTCTAGCTCCAAGTCTAACAGATACAGAATACCAATATAATCCTTGTTTTCTCCTAGACACCACAGAATTTCAATAATGTGCCCATTGTCGTGTGTCGCTTATATCACCTGTATGAATTAACCGAGTTATTTACTATCGTCACATGTTTTAGGTTCGTGTGCCATATTCAGCGCAATTGGCTGTTACCGGCGACAGATGCATTGTGACAATCTCTTGGAAGCAGATGGTTCGCGCCTTGAGGAAGAATCGTGACCCTGTTGGCCAGCTTGTGGCGCTCGATCGCAAGAACCTTGACACCAAAGACAGTTATGTTAATAAAATCAAGGATATTCATACAGCGGCGAACAATTCCGTAACAGTTCAAGCAAGCTCAGTAACGCTGAACTCAATTGCTCGAAGTTACGATGAATTCGATGATGATGTGTTTTCATCAAATTTTGCCGGACCGAGCCAAGGTTTTAGTACCAGTCGGGACTCACGTGACAGCGACTCAGTCACGAACAGCAGCATGTATTCACAGTCGTCCTACAGGACCAATTCGATCAGTTCGTTCGGCCAACCGGAGTCTCATCAGCGTTCACTGCAGGCGTTTCAGTCACAATATCAACAAATGTGGAACCTTCAATCCCGGACGCTGTCAACCAGACAGAGCTCGGTAAGTAGCTGCGGCTGCGGGTTGTTGGGGGGTTCAATCTGGAGCACCGATTTTGTTTCGCAAACGGACATGAGGAGTACGAAGGACTCACGTGGCTCAAGTTCGTCGGGCAACAGTTCACCAGACTCGGCCCGACGTGACTCACTTGGCGAGGTCGGAGACAAGTGGAGTGATGCCGACTGGCACATGCAGACGATTCGAATTGCAGAAATGGCGCTGCCGGGTAAACGCTAAATGGACTCTCAGGGGAACGCTTTGCTTAAATGACATGGATTTTCAATACGGCAGATCGCAGATTTGGGTGATTGTCTGTGTGGAGTAAAGCCAATAATTGTGACATCATGCTAAACGCGATGCGCCAGCGAATCGATCACTACTCACCCGTAATTTGTATATAATTGCATATGATTTATACTCTATAATAATTAGGAGTTGTGATACGGATTTAATATTACAATATTAACGACACGGGGGTCATCGGCGCCATTGCAAGGAAAAATCGAGTGAATGTGGGCCAGCCATTGCGTTCCATGGATGCCTATGGCGCCTCGTAGAAACGTATTGTTAGGCGAGCGGACTGCTACAGCTGGAAGAGATGCGTAAATCTTCCTCGCTTCTGGGATGTCCCGCCCGTACAAATGGTCCCATGGCACACGGCAGTCGGAAGTTTTTGTGAATGTTTTTTGCAGGCATTATGCTGCAAAGCGGAATGTATGTGAGGGATTACGTACGGTCAGTATCGTACAAGAATGCTCTCAGTAACAATTTTTAAGAAACCCTTTTATCTCAGTACTTTTTTATGTTCTTTCAATTGACGATACCAAAAGTGACGGAAAGCAAAATCGAAAACTGATTGAGAGTCTATACGTTGCTGCGTCGCTCAACATTGACCAATTCAAATTGATGCCTTCGAAAAAACTCTATAGAACAGAGTTATATTATTTTTGAAGAGGCCGTTCTGGTGGATATGCGTCAAAGGATTAACTCCATTATACAACTCTGTCATAGATAACCGCATATACACAAAAATGCAACACAAAACAAATGGGAGACACTCGAAGCCACGCCTAGCGGTTGTGTACCGTATTCTATTTACAATTTAAAAGTATTCTATATAAATCTAAACGATAATCCATTCATACACACAGATGCACACATATACAACTACATATAAATATGTACATAGGCAATATTTTACTAAAATTCATTGTCTCTAAACGAACGCAGCGGTCGAGATTGTGTTGTGGGGCGACAATGATCTTCGACAAACCGGATTTCATATGTTTACATCCTGCGCTAGTGGACGAGATTTACGAATATGGGCTAATTGTGCCTTTGTTTTCTTTTTTTTTTTGCTCAAATACTAATTTGCGAATTAATCGTCACCAATTTCTCTCCAACAATGTTGTCCCTATCTACGCTAAAATTTTGCGCAACTTCACTCTTCGGGGGGTCGCATCAAGGTCACTGATTGTCAGAGCTGAGCGGGAACTTGAAGCCAGCTGATACAATACCATAGTGATGTGCCAGAAATATATAATCAAGACCAGCTAAATGAAATCATCATTGTGGGGATGAGTGGCATTCATTCGATGTAAGCCCGGTCAAATCGGGCTAAACGGGGCGTAGCTTCACCAGAATCATTGCCAGTCACTCGAAGCAAACGAAGTTGTATGCTTCTTGCTCATTAATAGAAAACACCAGAATGGGAGAGAAAAAATAAATAAACTAATTGAATTTTATTTAAGTCGTGTTGTTCTTAGTTTGCGATGGCGATTTTTTTCAAGCGTGATCAAAAAGAAGATATTCTAAGCACCTACTTATAACTAGTCTACTACCATACGAATGAGTGTGCTTCTTCTAAGGAATTATAATCATATATAGGTACTTTATGTAAGGCAGAAAAGACATGTTTATTGTTAACGCAACTATCAATGTTGATAAGCGCCTGCGAAACAGCGCTTTGTAACAAATCCCAATGTTTTCCGTACTCGAGCAGTACTACGAGGTATACGTTCACACGGTGGTATTACTTGCATGCATTCTCGCATAGCATCTGATTTTCGCATTACTTTTAGATTGAAAATTCCCGATCAAGACCAGAACACCAGGCTAACTCAAATATCGATGTGGTGCAATTAAACTGAGCACGGGCCTTTTTTATAGTGACAGTGAATTCCGCAAGATAACGCACTCATATTCACAGAAACGGTATATCTTAATAAAGACAAGAACAAAATTTTGTAAATCTAATGATTTTTTTCTAAACTTAGTCTTGAGGTGAGAAAACAACGATTTTTAAAAGAAATATAAGAACTCCAAGAAAGGCTCTGCGGAGTACTCGTAGAAATATTCTGCCAAATGATCAAAACTAATTATAGATAGATACGTATACCGGAAACAGACGTTTACGGGCGAACACTATTCGAGCATGGTAAACGTAGGCCCTGCATGTTTTAAAGCTGGTTTTACTAGACGTGGTATATATGGATTTAAATGCTTAATTTAAGATAATGGGACGTATCCCCAGTTAGAAGAAAAAGCTAAATATCTCTTATAATAGTTCGTTAGATAGTTAGAACCGTTTTCCTGTCTAACGACGCTTAATTGTACACCGGTTAATAACAGCAACTGGCGACAATTTTGTCAATATGAGGTTTAGAACATTTCTGCCTAACACCATATGTCCTCCTAAGCTATGGACATTAACGAGGATCTTTTCTGTTAAGAACCTCGTTAACCATGTAAAGGGTTTTACAGTTTCTATTCCTGTCTTTTTTGTAGGAAATAAAAAAATACTAACATGCCGTACATATTATTTACTCATGATAGCCAGCACAAAACAATAAGCTTTGCCTATATGCGTAGCCTCGAGACTTCACCCGAACGTGGGAATACGATGTAAAAGCGGCTTTAGGCTGGCAATAAAGCAAATCCTTAGATTCGCGATGTCCGACATAGAAAGGTTTGCCGACACTTTCCTTGTTTGAGTTGTCGTCCGATTTTCCATTGAAGATTCGCGAACTGGGTGAGGTTGGCTCGCACGGTACAGTAAGACGTTTTCCCTAAGAGAAGCTAAATGCATCGATATCATCTTTTTAGGTAATAGACTGTTCAGGCAACAAATGCCCACTGCATTTTAAAGCACACACAGCTTTCGATGACATAATTATTGGTACGATCTGTCAAATGACCGCTGTTTCAGCGGCGAAGTAGCGCATTTACTTTAGCGATGTGATAGCTTTAGAAGATAAAATTCATTTTGTTAATTTGCCGTTCACTATCTGAATGCGTTTCCTTAAAACTTATGATTTGCCTCGTGAAATTGATACTAAAACACTTTTCTTAGTAAATATTATTATTATGTCAAAGGTGCCACAGTGCGATTTAGGTATACGTTCATTCAAGGCGATTGCGGTAGTCGCTTATATCATTGCAGTGATAGACGAGTATCGAAATCTCGTTCTGCTAAAAAATCATAGCAGCTCCTCGCGATTCCCTCGGTAGGTTTATTTGGTCCTTCTGAATCTGTCGTATATATTAGCACAAGGTACATTTCTAATGTGTGTTAGCCTAGGAGTACAAAGTTAAGCCTGTATTCCATTGAATAGTCTGCGATTATGAGTCGGCTCACCTACTGGCTGAGGAATGCACAATTAATAATTACGGTTCAGCATGAAATGTTCGACATCATAGCCACGATTTTTTCATCATTGTAATCTACGCAAATAGTACACATCGCTTTTTGCTAACAAAGGGTCCTATCCCGAAATCGCATTTCCCCTTCGAAGATACCATTAGTGGAGAATTTGTAAGAAGGTGATACACATTAGGTATACAGTTGTTATTGTATGTTATTTCAGCCAAAATTCTGATAGAATTTCAGCTAAAGTATACTCAACAACATACACAAGCACAGAACCTTATTTTAATGAAGTGCTTTAGGACTTTGGATTTAAGCATTATCTTGAGATTATTAACAATGTTTTTTTACGAACTTCTTTTAACTAACTTTAAATTTTTATGTTAACAGATTTAAATCATTTTTATTTATACTTTTGATATATAATTTTAGCCTATTTGTTATATCATGTTAGTCGCAATTTTGTTTCCTCTAATTAATACTGTACCGCAGATAAGTATATGCGAGTTGTAAATACGAGAACGGTACGTTATTGTCGAAGCCCATGTACATGGACCGTGTGCTGAATCAATTTAATGTGCCGTGTGCTCTCGGCATCTGACTGGAGAGAACTTTTTTTCCGTGGAGGATCCTCCTTCCACAGTAAAGCGAAAGAACAAAAAGGCTTAAAGCCTTCATGATCTGTGCACCTCCGCTGCAATCACCCCTGCGTGAACTCTGCCTTGCTGCACTTGTTGAATCTACCCGCATATAAATCAAATGACAGCGGCAGCTCCAGGGGACCCCGCGCTTCGTTGCTAGCGTTGAAGGCCGCAAAAAGGCACCACCTTCTTTCTTGACCAGTAGCAGCCTAGGGCTGCGATAACCGGAAGTCTCTCATTGAATAGTCTTATTCCTTTTCCCGGTGGTAGCTTAAATTCACAGAATGCTGTGATGGGTACTAATAAGTGTCTAGGTCTAGGTGGCTGAAAGGTTTCACAGGGCAGCTGCAGTGTCTAAGTGCAGTCACGGTATCGACAGGGGGCCGCTGGCCATCCGTAGGCTTCACTTTTCGTCCTAGCCCCAGGTGAACTTATACCGTTCGCCGCCGTGTCGTGTCAAGTGTACACTGCGATCCCTCAACAGGAGAACCCAGCAGCATCCAATACATCTCATCCCGATGAGGTGCTTTACCTCACACGTCCGTTTAATTCGATCATAACCTCCAAATCCCCCCACTGAGACTCACAACCAGGTACGTCATCGCCAAAAACCGTCACAGATCATCCAGATTTGCTGTGACCCATCGGAGACAATTAGCTGCTCAGGTTTGGATTCCCTGCAAATTCAGTTCATTAACTCTAGTTCGCGTATTAGGGCAACCAGTACAACGAAAATAACAACATTATCATCATCGTGCCGTTCATCAAGCCTGCAAGTATTCGCTAGCAGAAATCTACTACCCAAGGGCGTCTGATCACGCTCGTAAGAAACGATGGTCCGCACCGCATCCTGCGGTACAGGCGAAACGAAGTTATGCTAGCTAGCATGCCCAATCTCCACGTCGCCACTGAAAGCGATAGTGATTCGGAGTCCCGCAGAACAATACTGCTAGCGCGATCCAACTCGGAGGAGCTGCTGTCACCTGTCACAGTGCGACACCGACGAAAATAGACCGGATCCTGCTACAAGGGGCTGTGTCTCGAGTGCAAAAATGACTTCAATCACTGTGCCTGCCCCGAGGCGCGGCGATTCGGTAATAGCGTCCAAAAGGACATTGAGTACTTTAAGGAGAGATTGTTACGATCCTCATCGCTCGAAGACATCTGCGGCGTCGACGACGACGACGACGAATCCAAACCACTTACCACAGACTATGAGCGTGCTTGTCACTTTATCAAGAACAACCTGTACATCACGCATGGCTACCGCACGTTTAAATCGAAAGAACGTTGCATTCGCGGGATCTTTCGGTGGAACAATGAAACGCTCAACATTTGGACGAATTTTATGGCATTGATTAGCATCCTCGCGCCGTATGCCACCGACCTGCTAACAAACTACAGCACGACGGGCTTCAACGCGTTCAATAAGACTCTCAGCGGTATCACGATTCTTGGCTATAGCACAATGTTTTCGTCCATATTCAATTGTTGCTGCTATCGGTGTCACCACTGTTGGTAGTTCTGGGATTTTGTCAGTATCGTCACGTCGGTTTACGTGTACGGCGTTGACTTTCTATTTATCCAGTTTCGGCAGGAACAATTCTGGATCGCGTTTTACGCTCTTGTTATGTCGATCATCGCCATCATCTCGATCAGTATGATGTTTAGTGATAAGATTGCTCACGCATGCTACGATGAGTCGCGCTCTATTTGGATTGGTGGCTTCGTACGGTTCAGTTGTGTGCCCATTGTGCATTACGTTATCCTGCAAGGCAATTTAGCCAGTCTGGTCGTTAAGCATACACTGCCGCTGCGCGTCATAGCCATCGCTCTGTTCGTCGCAAGCTACATCATCTATGAGATTAAGGTCCCCGAAAGGTATGTATTTTATATCGGTGTGTCAATCGTTCCATTCTATGAAGTTGGCGGATAAAATAGTTGGTTAGGTTTTCTATGTCAACGTTTACTTACTGTTTTCGTAGTCATGCTGCACGTGATTGACCAACGTACACGTTCCTCTCCGAAGCCCGATATAGACAAAGTTATTGATCTTTATTGAACAGTTGTTACAGTAACGAAATGTTCCAGCTTTGCTGCACAGAAAATCAATCCTGCCATCGAATTCGAAACTACTGTCATTAAATTGTTAGAATTTAGTATTAGACCTATTACTTCGATTTGCAAGCAGGATCAAATAAATCTGGAATAGATAGATCAATTTTGAAACAATGGTCGATGCATGCATTATGCCTCGACGACTGAATACTCGTTTGTTACACCATGCAATGCATGTAACTATATAGAGAGACTTAGAAATACACTGAGGCTGTATAAATCAGGTCAATTCATTGCAAAGGGCACAATAAGTATTGATTGCAAGTTGCAGTTCTAAACACTTAGACGAATACCCCATGCGATTTACCTACTTAGCAAACAAGGTGAACTTATCTATCCAAAATGAGCACTGCCTTTATCGTTCCGTGTAGTCCTCAACCAGGCATGCAAATGCATCTAACTCTCGCTCATACGGCGGACAAATTCCGTTCCTAAGTACGCTCGATCACCAAGTGGGATCTCTCCACAACAATGGGTAACGCTTTAGACATCTTTCCTCTTTGCACCCATTTCCTGACCACTAGTCCGACGATTCTTAAAAACTCGTCAATTTATCATTACATCTCCGCCTGCTTATAATAGTACTCCGTGGGCCAAAAGTCGCTGTGTACACGGCTGTGTACACGGCAAAAGCACAGATTATCCCATCGTTTGGAGCGTAGAGGTTTGTCACTCGCTGGAAAAGCTCGGCTCGTGTCCACATCTAGTGATGATCCTCTGTTTGTGATCTTTCGTACTGAATCGTTTATGGTCGCGTCTATATATCTGCTTACCCTCTGCCCTGTCCTGTTGGTCTATAATTGGTATTGCCGTTTCTGTAAGAGTCAAAACAATGTAGAACGTTCATTCAGAGTGAACATTGGCCGGAGGTAGAGAAAGTAGAGTTTTTAATCGACGACCTCACGGTGACACACATGGGCCCCGTACGCAATCGTATGAGGTAGAGGCACATAGCATGCACGGAACCACAAAGGACCGAACAGAATGTGATTGAGATAGAGAGACAAGGTGGACTGTAACAGAAGAACAGGGGACCAGGGGAGAAGGAAAGCGCGGGGAACAGGAGGAAGATAAAATCCCGCAAAACACTACTCACACTTGGCGCTGTTCAAAAGATAACAGATAACTGCAGATGCCTGCAAACGACGCGCGACAGGAATGGGACGAAGTGACCCACTCAGAGAAGAATAACTTTTTGCCCTCTGTCGAAAGCCAGGTATTGTTGCTCCGCAACATCGTGAGATGCATACGTTGGAAAAATAAATATTTAACTGATTTGTTGTTAGGATGCTTGAGCGTGTACACCTCTGAGCTTCAATTGGTTGCAGTTCCATGGCCGGGCAGTGCCTTCGGCGGCTGATAAAGCGCGACGCATGTAGTTTTTTCTAAAGAGTAAAAGCAGCTTTCCCCGCTTCGTCTTATTACAAAGCAACAAAAATTATTCAGTTTCAAGTGAAATAAGAACATTCATTAAATGTCATTTTATAACGGATCGTAAACTCGACAGTCTGATCGAAGGTGTATGAAAAGTACAAATTAGGATCTACTAACTTAAGCAGGTGTGCCTTTGAATGAGTCTAGAACTATGCAGAAACGCGTTATTGAGTAGACCCGTAGGCCAAGCTAAAACTTGGCTTCTAAGCGAGTAGGTGTGTCAAACTAGTTATCAGAACATATTCTGCTAAATAGGCAGCGTAATGCGTAAGGAAATGCAATCAAAATTGGTTGGAATATCAATATGGTAATAGGTTTTGCAGAATGGCAATAGGTGATTTTACTAAACTTTCTCATAAGGATAACACTATTTTTTGCACCGTCGGACGACCTATGGTACGTGTAATTTGGATACGCCTGACAGGACAAATCTCTCTGACGGTGCTGTACAAAACTCGATTTCTTTACTTTACGGTCACATGAAGTCTACATAGCGCGATTTTTGAAGGTTAGTTTATGCTTGAGTAAAAATGAGTCTTAGCTCTGGATTTCATTTAGGAATGATTCGGTCCTAATTTTATGTGCTCATTTGACGTTGTCTTTCTAACTCAAAAAAATGAAGGACGATTTATATCGTTGTGCTATGTGGCAATGGCTAAAAAGCGCATCCGCAGCATTTAATAGAACCTCCAAAACCTGTAGTAGTAATGATAAATATTCAGATTTAAATTTCTAGGATACTATTGTATCAAAAATCTGAGCTAAGATTTGGAATCATTGTTTCAAAGGCCAAAAGTTATGATAAACTTTTGGCCTTTGGAGCAAACATTAGCTAGTGAGCTGTACAAAACTGAGCCCGAAAGCAACGCGGGCTGTTCAAACAATAGTGAGCCGCATAGAAAATCTGGCTGCTCTGAAGTACCGCAAAGCTAGTTATTTCCTCTATAAATTTATTTTTAATTATACTGTTATTCATTAGTTTACCATTAATGGTTTAGATGTTACACTGAGGCTTAAGGCGAAATCTCTCATCGTTTGCCGAAAAACACCAAATTTAGATAGCCTATGTATTTATTGGCCTATGTAACTGGCTTGAGTTGCCCAAATAAATAACGAGCAAAAACTTCTGTACATAAGTCAAAACATCTCTGGTAAGTGCATCTGTTGCGGTTTACCTGACATAGTTTTACAATGTTCGGTAGTACTGATGTTTAGAAAGTATACACCTTATTTGTTAACCCGACAAATTAAATACTACGAGTTCATTACCTCCAATTCATAATTTATCAGGTTTTTTTTAAACTTGATTTTTCGGGAGTTCCAGTCGTCTGCAGATATCCACGGATGCATGTTTTGTGACAAGAGTTCTTGTTAGAACACGTCAACGTGAATGTTCTTCTAATTTCACTTTCGACATGTATTGAATAGTGAAAAAATCACGTTATGCAAAACCGCGTTAAAGTTTACGCTTTATTAGTTTACTAGATCACTAATCTCATTGCTGAAATAGCGGCACAGAACAATAGATAAAAAAAATTGTACTGAGCTGACACTTGTCCTAGCGAGGCAGTCCCTAAAATTATTTATGTTAACTAAGGGTCTCATAGGTCATGCTAAGATCGACTTCTTTTGGGTTACACAACGTCCTGTTGTAGAATGTGCCTCAACATTTGCAGGGTAAATGCTCAATTTGGTCCAATCGGGAGCTAGATAGCCTGACTACAACCAAACAATATATCGGGTGTCTAACAAACATAATGGGAACGGAAACTTGGTCAGCCATTTACGGAGAATTTCGTACAATAGTACGACTCCGCTACAGCGATGTCAAACGCAGGTGATAGTCTTATGGTGCGTGCGAGATCCGGGTTATACGGTAGAGGCATTCAAATTTCATAAATGCTGACGTGTTGGTCTTGCTTAATATTTGCAATAATTTCGTTAACCCCTTCCATAACCGGTCAATCACTACGACAAAATTTTTTGCATGAAAATTTTTTGAACGAAAGCGACGGAACCGTCTTTGGGCCCTTTCTCCCAATAACGCATATTGGCGATAAACAGCACTATTTTGCGAGCCCCTATTGCGATCGTAAGATTGCATTTTCATAGATCAAATTTTCATAGAGACTTCACCTGTTTTCAAGGCGCTTTATCTTAAATCTGAAGAAGTGCATTCCAACGATAGCACATCTTAGTCTTCAAATAACGTCAATGCCGTGCCCTATGACGTGACTTATATTACCTGAGATACGTTGTAAACATCTAACTAGAACAACGGTCAATACTTTTTCATCAACCCGACAAAATCTGCTCGATATCTATCTGCGATATCTGCTATTCACGACACGACGGTCGTGAGTTAATAACAATATAAAGCATAGAACGATCATTCTGGCTTCAAAATACATCGCTAATCTACTGCGCTAAAGCAGGTTAAGCATTGTTTATAGAAATATATAAACGGAACAACAATTATTTATTATTGACTGTCCAGGCGCTGAAATGCTCGTCCCTCGCTAGAATAACTCCATCAGCTTTCATGCATATTATATTCGCTTACGCAGTGATAAACCCCCCGCGGGCAATTTGAGGTAGCAGCTCAGGAACTGCAAACATGCATCTAGAAACTTGCGACCGATCAAAAGATGCAAAAGATACACGCTGCAGTTATGAGACGTTTTTATATATGTCGTATACATCAATTTGCAGTCCACGTGCTAGAGCATATTTCTATCAAGGAAGGAGATGTGTGCAGTAGCCGTCTGTGGAATAGAATACAGAAATGATCGAGAAGCAATTTTGCTCAGTCTTAGACATTGTTTGTCACCACATAATAAAGAAGGAGTACGATAACAATTCCTGTAAGTAATAATATACTAGTAAATGTAGCTTTACCTCCGTTTGTCGCAGTGAAGAACTGTGAAGATTCGGTCATCAAAATACAAAATTTCACCTATGAGCAATAAAAGGCGAGGTTTAAATTTACCTAGTTCGAGTGGTCATAGACAAGTGTGTAATGTGTTTTCCATATTTTTATAGGCACAACAAGATTTCTACGAAGCTCTAAAGTCAGCAATGATATAGGCACGTGAGTCCTTTTTAATATTAATATTCTCAGACGATTCGCATATCGATTCGCTGCCCTGTTTGCTGTCTCCCATTGCGGCAGCTAAGGCCAGGTTCTCTGGGAGGCCTATCGCCTCGTACTTTCTATTGATACAATTTTCGCCGAATTAGTACCTTCTTCCCAACTATGTTCAGCTGGATCAGTTCCATATTTATCTTGTTCACGTTGAAAAATGGTATTTTTCCCTTGGCGATACAAAAACATTCGTTTGCGGATAAATCCAGTTTGTGATTTATCACGTGACTAGCTACCTATAAATTCGTCCATCAAAAAATGAGTCGGTGGCATTCACTCTTCTTTCCAAAACAGCACGTACCCTACTCATATCGTTGAAAGTGATATACGATGCGACTGTGGATCATTAGCTTCATTGGTTTCGGTTATTCTTTCCGTCCATCCTCTTTATTTCCTTTTGGAAGACACTGAATTCTGTCTGGTAGTGTGCTTTTTGTATAAATGATACATAACACAGTGAATGGAGGATTAGTGGACTGGTTGTAAGAGCAGAGACAGCCAATGTTATCGTTAACCGTTTCCTGCCTGCTAATACCCGGCGTCTAGAAAATCTATAATGTTAAACCCTGGTTGTAATAATAGACAGGTTCGAAGTCGATTTTAAATAAGATTCTACGCTGCATAGGAAGGACGGCATTTTAGAGGAGAAACCCGAATGAATTTTCTGACGCCGTTATCTCTATCCAGACATTTCGACAAACAGTACGAATGATCGTACTTCGAGTGGTATTTATAATGTTTCACTACTTCATAATTTCAGTATCAAAGTTTCGGATTTTTCGTTCGGTATCATCCTTTGGCATTGCTTTAAACGGTTGGCTCTTTCGAACACGAAGCGCAATGTTTTCCATCACTCGATCTCAAACTACTGTTATGTACTTTGTAATTCGTCCTAGTAGATAAACACTTTACCGTTAACTCATTGCGGGGGATCGTAAAAGTTTCTTCAGCTCGCTTCCCAATGTGTTTTTATTGTAGAACCGCAGTGTATTTTCTGCACCGTTAAACACCTGAGCTTCGTCTGCTGCTTCGATCTACATCGTTTCTGACTAGAAGAAACTGTGACTAAATGCACATCGGAAAGCTTCAGGTATATTGCATCCATTAGTCCTTACTGTTACCATCAATGTATGTCAGAAAAATCTTCTGTCTAGAACATAAAATATTGTTTAACTAGAATTAGAAGCGAGCTTCAGCTGTTTTCAGTGTCATAGTTGGTCCATAGAATGAACAAATGTTTATCTAAGCAACAGAGCAATCATCGGTATAGCTTACTGCCTCTTCTCCTAAAGCTCTGGTTGATTTAATAAATTTAAATCAACGAGAGCTTTTTCCATTCATTTACCCAGTAATTTTCCAAAATTTCCGTGCTATTACAAATTATACAAACTAAGTCAACTAAAAGGGTTGTATTGATTATTTTTATTCCGGGCTGTTTCCGGGCAAGGTAAACTACGTCGGATCCTCACATCAGCTTAGGCATTGCGGTATAGGGATATCTCTGTTCATTGCGAGATTACCCTAACTCAAGTGCGTACTACTACTCAACTTTCGAATACGAATCAAAAATATGATATTTTGTCGTTTTACTTAAAAAGATAAATAGAAGCTGTGCTAGAGCACGTCACGGGCCATCTCCAAAATTTTCTGTAGCGTAAACAGCTTCAATTTGCGATACCCGAGTACGAATTTTAGTGTAAACATAACATCCGTTTCTGCCTGTATCTCAACCTATTGCAACGGAAAGAGCTTCAACTTCAAAATTTCACATCACTACATAAGCACCGATCTAAAAGTAACCTGTAATTTTGAAGATTTTGCCTCTGCTCTTGCTAGCGACCTTCACATTGGATCCGTTTTATTTAATTTTATCCAAGATTCCTTTTTGCAAGTTGAACGCGTTTACTCGCGTGATCCGCGCATTGCAGAAGACCAAACCTAATCATGTTGGGGTATTGGTAACAGGCCTTCAAATGTCATCACTGACATAAAATACTTGCATGCGCAAGTCTTGTTGGACTCACGGCCGTCGACCATACACCACGAGTAAGTAGTTTAAGGAAATCGGGCTGGTATTACTTTGACCGTCTGGGTGCAGATCTAGAGAACTGAGTAGCACTTATGAAACTTGTTAAATTTATCTAGATTATTCAAGATTAAGGAATATAAATTAGGCATTCACTCGAACCCCGTAGCTAAGGCTCATATTTTAACGAAGTATCATATCGTTGACATAAATAAGCCGTGTAATTGTACTAATAGTGCTTACGTATTTAATAATTAATTAAAGAATATTACATAGTAAGAGTAGTAGGCTTTTTAAACACAAGACTTCGAAGATTGTAAGCCTATTAAATGTGAGTCTCTTTACTTCATAACTGTAGACCCACGTTTTACCCCAGTGTAAGCCTACCTTTTCCGCGTCTTTACTACATACTTTTGTCAATGTAGGTGCCCTCTAACCTAGAAAAAAGACTACTTAATACTGTGTACACGCCCCTATGGAAATCGTCGTTTGTTTCTTTATTTAGTTGCACTTTTTATTTATAGTCTATGTCTTTGACAAAGCTGAAACCAGCTCTCAGTGAATATCGAGGAAATTAGTGCCAATTGCATATTCATATAAACAGTTGCCAATCATGAGCGCAATGATATTTACGGTTTAGTTTTTTGTTTCAGATACATCGAAGTGCTTAAAATCGTTCATCGACCCCTCAGTGACAGTCTCAGACTCTTGATCTTCAAAAAGTAACACTCTAAAACAACAAATAGCATCTCATGACATGACACACAAAAAGCAACAATATATGCCACACGATCAATTAAAAGCAATAATAACACAATTACAAACCACAATAAGGCATTTCGTCAGCTATTCAGCAAAGAAAACTATTGAAGGATGTATTCTTATTCAAGTAGAATATGTACTGCAAACAGACCATCACCATGTACACAGTAGCGATGGCGTTTGCAACCACAGAAGTGATGCTCTCATATGGTATCGCAAGTTTAAGAACGAGCTTGGGAACCTCCTCTTATTGAGCAAGGTAACCTTGACTGAACGAAAAACAAACACGAACTTCTATTTAGAAATCGGTTCTTACTAAACGGGATCGCCTGTGAAAACACCGATTGCTCTACATCTTTACCATGCGCCCGTTATAGATTTCGGTTGCTATGAATTTCCGTAATGACTCATTCGTTCGTGCATATCCATGTAAAACTTCGTATACGTGTTATGTTCGATATAACGTAATATTATCAACTTTGTGTTTGAGACATGTGGTATTTTTTCAACTTTTTGTGACATTGTCCTCATACACACATTGTGGTAGCCGACGGAAGTTTAGGAAGAAAGAGCTACACATTTGACCTTTCCTGAGATACACGGCAGGATAGGTTGCGTATTCGTTGTATACATGCATATGTGCACAGAACTCCTGAAAAGACCAGATAGTAATAGCCGTGCGAACAAAACGTGCTGTACAATGTTATAAAGTAGTTAAAAACGTACAGCCGGGAACCCGAAGCCGTACGGCGACTTCTAGTTAACCCTAGTTATTAAAGTTGGCAATTTCTCTTATCTAGTTGTTCTTTATGCTGTTATTATTCATATACAAACATGTTTACAGATGAAGAGTTACGTAGTAGCAACTCGAGAAAGCTCGACATTGACAATGCCAAAGATAACGACATATGGTTGTTGTGGGTATGTTTTATAACAAGTGACGATTGTGCCTTATGAGTGCAACCCTTGCGAACACGTTTTGCTTGATTTAGTGATGATGACAGCTGTTGACAAGCGTGTCACCGACTACGCGAACAATACTGAATGTGATTTGGATGGCAAATGAACTGAACAGGAGAGCGATGAAAATTAGCTTAGAGTTAATATGAACAATAGTGAAATAACAAACAAATGAATGACTACTCAAAAACAATTCAAATAAAACGACTGGCCGTTCAATTTTTGCGCGAAAGATTACGCGGGTTTGTTGCTACACAGCTAAAAATAATTATGACAATAATATGAAAATCAAAGCAGAGAAATGGACCGAACAACGAGAGCAATAAGATTTACAATTATCTGTCCAGCTTGACGGATGTAGCTGCGCCTGGGAACTTCTACTGATGTCCCAGCAGCTGTTGGCGATGTTCCAAAGCAGGATGCATCTTGATGATCGCCGTAAGGCTTTCTGACACTCGTGTCGCTATGCGAATGTCTTATACTGCAGTGAGCATCAAGTACGTGAAAAATGTATGAGGCCGCCTGTTCCCTACAGGTTTTGTTGCTAAAAATCCGACAACTTCGCCGTTATTTTTCAACAACGATTCTCGCCTCCTTTCTGTTTCTTTAAAATCGCTAGCCTCTGATCATCCGTGTTCTATTATTAAATCTATTATTTAATCACCCAGCCTATAGCCACACTAAAACTTAGAAAAGTGCTTTATCAGGGGTTCCCCGTGCAGCGCAAAACATTCATAGTTAAATTAAGCCTCTTCGATGTACGCAAACTGTTATTTGCAACCTCTCTCTCTCTCTCTCTCTCGCAGGGAGAGAAAAAGAGGCAGGTACGCAGCACATTAAGTTGCAAAGCTGCCGTTAACTACTAGAATACGAACAAGCTAAATCGAACTGTATAACCATCTTGATTAAAACATGAGAAAATTAAGAAGTTAGGCAATACCCATGGACGAGAAATTCCGAATAATACATGTTATAACAAAGCATCTAGACTAGAAAAAAATGCACATTATATTGTATACATATGTGTATATATATATATATATATATATATGTATAGTCAATCCGGTGACGGAAGTAAAGATGTGATCATGTAAAATTAATCAAAAAATCCATTTCCTCGAATTCATCGACTTTTCGCTACTAATTATTCCAATCCTGTCAAATCCTAGCCTGTTTTTCATACGTTCTGTCCTAAAAGTGTAACATCTAGTTCACAGAAGAAAAAATCAAAAGCTCGAACCTATTTTTGACAACGGTTGCAATCGTTGTTGGGGAACTACAGATTTACCTCCTAGCTGCCTATAGGGTCATTAAACAGAAATATTAATTACTAACAACAGGGAAGTTTTTTTTGTTACACAACGTAACATTTTCTTCACATACTTTTTCACGTATTTGAGTAACGATGTCATTTAAGATTGCAGGATCGCTTAACTAACCCTTACGCTATCGACTCTTTTTAAGCTAAAATATCAGCAGAGCTGCAACGTTATGAAAGCATACTGCTTTACAACAATACCTTTAAAGATGATGCCTGAAGTTTATCCAGGTTTAGCTACCGTTTGTCTAAAGTTTGCCTTTGCGTATTATTTTTAAGTTGAATATTTTGGTGAGTAGAAATGCTAGCTCGACAAATCAAGTTTATAAGTGAAATGTAAGCAAAGCTATGCAAACAATAAACACTGCAGTAGCAGTAGTGTCGTTTGCAATTCGATTTAGACATATAACATTTTAGAAGTCAACCTAAAACAGTGAAATATGAGTGACCGCGACCCATTCCATGCTTAACTGTGAAAAACAGAAGAATCCTATATCGCAGACTATAAACCCCAAAAAAACTACATTAAGCGCTATAGTGTTAACGATCGATGAAACACTATATCGTAATTTTATATTAACTGTGGCAATCCTCCTGCTTACGATAGATCTTGTAAATGACCAAGGTTCTAACCAATAGTCAATTAAATGATGATGGTGGCAAAAAAAATGTTCTTGCCACTACGTAAAAGCTATGGCCTTCTCTAGCGAAAGCTGCATTACAAGCTATAGCAATTTTCAAAGATGAAAAAATACTTCGTCTCGATTTGCAAACGCAACATATGCTACAACTCATATAAGTAATATTCGTATTGGAAAGAGAGAAATCACAATAATGATGCGGGTAGCAAAGAGACAAAGTTTTTCATTCACCTTTAGTAGATGTACCATCAATCAGAGTTAGATGATGGTGACACTTTAGCTTTTTTACTATTCTTACAATAGAAACAATGTTATTTGCAGGAAACCCAAATATATTGCGGGACGTTTTATAATTCCGTTAATAACTAACGTAGGTAACTGAATATAAATACTAAACCGCTGTATCGTGAGTCACAATTGTTATAGTAATTAAGTAAATGGAGCCTAGCGAATTAATGTTTATAAGTTCCTAACTTAATTTGTCAAAGGAGAACGAACTCCTAGCCACAATATAACACATACAGGGTCAGTTATATTCATTGCTGCTAACAAACTGACAAAAAATTCCAAACAAAAAAAAATTCAAATTACTATTAAACCAAGAAAATCTCTATCTTTAATCTCATTAACTGCAAAGTTAATCAGAAATGTTCATGCATCGTTTGGGTATTTGAGTCAGTCAATGTCTGAAGAATCCAAACAACCAAGTCTAAAATTTCATACACTGACATTCGGTGTATTATTAAGGCGAAGGATGACCGGCCTGCCTAATAACCGTCTTAATTTAAAATTACAGCTGGTTACGCTAGGTAGAAGAAGCCTCCTTAATCAAGCAATTGCGCTGTTTTCAATGGTAGATGAGGGCAAAAAGTTAAACATCCAATTATATTGCTTCCGTGCTACAATAACAGAAGTGCTTACAATAATATAATAGGGGGAACACGAGGACATGTTTAAGCTGCTGAAATGGTGACCAAACGGAGCTCATTCATTACATTCAATACACGACAGAAATAGAGTAGTCATAGCAGATTAATTTCAAAAAGAAATGACCTCGAGGCGATAAAGTGATATAGACAATCGGTGTGATATAGACAAACCTGCAGCTGTCAAGAAAGAGACATTATATTAGTCTAGTTAACACGATCTATTATCATAACAGTAACTTTCAACGCAAGATATAGCAAGATTATTCACCAAGGTATCAATTAAAGAACCTGAATATTCAAACAAACCTTTCTTTAACCTGAATAGCAAAATAGTGTATTTATCAATTCCCACGAAAAAATATTTTAAGTAAAAAATACTAATCTTTCTCAGGCAAAGGTAGATCCAACTAATAGCATTATCAACCAAATATAATTAATATGAATAGGAAACACCGCTCAGATATTGCCAAGCAACAGAAGAAAATACAACGCCATTATTAAAAGCAGCACTAATGATGAGCACTGAACGAAGCAACAATAAAGACATACTAAAACAGAAATTGTGTCATTAATTAGGCTATGACTATCGCTACTTAGCTTGTAGAAAATACTTAGTAACTGTATATATAAATAATAATAGCTACCCATTCGTTAACAGATTATGCACGCCACCAAAACTGATATCATCTTAGATAATATCTGGAATAAGGTATGCATTAAATAAGATTATAGATAGAGAGCTTGCAGTTTACAAACACAAATATGTTTCGAATAAAGGTGAGTCCCATTTGTTGCGAAGCCACGGAGAAAAGGTAACATGCAAAATTCATCTATGAAGACGTCCACAACCGTTATTGAATCAATAATATGAACCAAAGAAAATACATTTTACGATGAAATATTTATTAGTTCAAAGAAGGTTCATATTACACGTTATGGTTCATATTATTTCTCTTTTATTTTCTATTTGATGAATGGGTCAATGAAAACATGTACCTGTTATATTGTCTATGTAGTATAGGATTCTTAATCCATCTCAGAAAAAGCACGACAAAGTTTTTCAAACTCCTGCTCTTTTCCCTGGATTTCTCGCACAAAAGGATGGTGACAATGTGAAGTTTTCAATTGTGATAGCAAACGAGCACACACCTAAAAATGACGTTATGAAAAATTAAATTTTTTTTCGGAAAATTCCTGGTAAATCAAATTATGCGTTGAGGAATTGCATCCAACTGCCTTAGCTTTTTTTCTATTAAGCGTACATTGTTTCTTGCAATTTATCCAACAAAAAAGTTGTTTCGCTACAATCCGATGCGCCAAGGTAAAAGAACATACATTAGAAATAAAATGATTAAGAAAAAATAGTCATCCACTTACATCAGGGCCCTTTCCAAGGAACTGGGAGATAACGATTTGATTGATGAGCGTCTCCACATGGTTGGGATCCTTTTCAAGCGATTCCGCCAAGCATTGGTCAGCCTCCTCATATTTACCTGCGAATGCCCAAATATCAAAAGAGCAACAAAAAACAGCAATGTTATGAAATTTTGCAATTACCATTGCTGGTGATAATGCAATTTCATTGTCAAGAGCAACTTGAAACACAAGACCAAGTATGTATAGAACAGCTAAAATAAAAACAAAATAGGAAACAAATTATCCAATATGGCACTAAACAAAATTGATGTTTGTAAACAAATCAAACTGTAACAAATAAACCTGAAATAACACAAGTAACTAAAGGCTCACCCTGGGCGATAAGGACGCTGGCTAGTCCTACAGCAAGAAGGGGCGTCTTGGTATTTTTATCGGCCATCTCGGTAAAAATATAGAATGCTTCCTGCAATTTATCACCGCCCGTACGGAGATGCAGCCACCCTGAACTTAATTGAGTAAGAGAGGCGTCTTCGTCCCTAGAGATCATCCTGGCCCATTACGCAACAAGAATAGGAAGAAAATTGTGTATATATATATATATATATATATATATATATATATTAAATGTACCGTGAATATATATGAATGTATTGAGAATAAGAACAGTAGTTAAATATTTAACAACAGGTTATAAAGAAGAATTGGATCCTGACAAACGACAAAAACGTTTCAACAGTTTTGTTTTATGAGACATTCTAGGAGTGCCCGCAAATAAAAGTATAGTAAAAAGTGATAAATTATAACTGTTCTAAAATCGTTACGAAGGCTGAAACTTTTTTTAGAACCAATAAATCATCTAAAGGCATATTGCCGTGGCGCATGGAGATATCCTGATTAAGCTGCTAGTGAAACGTGCAATAATATATACGGTTGTCTAGAAAAATGTACGAGGAGCTCATACTGACAACAAATAAATCAGAGCTTTTCATTGTTGTAATTTATCATTGTGTGTCTCAAGTCTTGTAGTATTGGACCACTTGTATTTCGGGTATTAATAAAAATTTTATTTTAAATTGGTACGTACATATTTAGCTCCTGGGTAGCTAAATCAAGCCGGTCCAACAGTATATAGCATTGAAGAGATAGGGCCATGGACTCAAGAGAACTGCAATTGGACAGCACCTGAAATAATAATGGAAATTCGAATATGATAAGCTTGCTAAGTAACCTGTAATGAAGTGAACCTGTAGTCATGAACGTTAGTGCTTAGATCGTTGACTAATGTTTTCTTTAATTCAAGTTTAGCGATGTACCAATGACATTAGAAAAAATTGTTTTTTACCTTAAGTGCACCGGTAATGTCACCCTGGTGCATATATATGGTTGCTCCTACAAGTAGTAAGGTTTCATTTTTCGATGAAAAGGCACTCAGCTTTTTCTCAAGTTCTTCACAAATCGGGACCCGTGCTTGTGGCTCGGCGCTCAGAAATTTTGCCAGCAACCGAAGATCACGCACTTCGTCAGGACCCGAGTATCTAATAAATCAGCACCATTACCAAAAAAAAGAACAGTTGATCTTTCACAGAAATCGTAGGCAGGTCTTTGGTAAATACTAGTTACTTTATCATTTGTTTGGTTTGGACTTGTTGGGCGATGCAGAGTTATGAATACAGCGGTCTAGTTCTTTATTCAAAATATGAGTGAATGTTTGCAATGTTCGCGAAAAAGGGAATTAATCAATTCGAATTAAAATGGATGCAAATTGATATTGATGTATTTACATAACGCATGTTACTCTTTACTGTTAAAGTTTTAGCTCGGAGCGTGACACCGCAAAAAATTACTCTGCCATTGCCAAAATAAAAATGTATATTATCCATAAACGAGCTTGAAATACACGACGTGACCAATCACCTTTAAGTTTTCATGTCGCTCGCATCCACACAGAATATATTAGATAAACACATTAAGAGTTCTCTGTAAGATTTGCTCACCTTTCTAATTCATCGAGTACGAGAGCATACTTTTTGAGCGATATATAGGCACGATAAATAAACACGTCCAGATCCTTTTTTTGGTTAATATCGTCAGTCTTGATGCGTTGAGCTTCATTGATACATCCCTGATAATTGCCAATATAGTAGGCGTTTTTTACGTCGAACAGAGGATCAACCGGCATCCTGACTCGCGTTAGTTAACTCCACTCTTCTTTAAATAGTCGGGAATTCAATTCAGAAAATACGGTAAAATTTACTTTTGTATACCAGAACCGATGTCCGAGTCAACGACAGACACGTCAGTCGAGCAGACGACATAACACAGGTATTCGACAACAACAATAATAGTCGAAATCTTCGAATCTGACGAATCCTGTTAAGTATCATGCGTGATTAAATAATGCCGGCGACTTTTCTATATGCTTCTGTGTTGGCCTTGAACAGAGAGTGCCTTGATACGAATGTATAGAAATATTATCAGCTTGAGGCTTCTATAAAAAAGCAACGAATCCTGGCCAGAGCGGTAGAATCGAATTAACGCAAAATTCGACATAAAACAAACAGATGGAGAGGGCATTTATGTGGAGATGCTTCCGACTGTGTTTTTCTACTGAGACATGTGTAAACATAAACATATTATAATAGTGAATATCCCAATGGAACGCAGCTTATTTTGATTGAGGAATGATAACAATATACAATATAATTGCATATTTTTATTGAGCCAAATTAAACACTGAAGTCGTTAAGCGATACGTACAATATACTAAGGAAAAATAAAAATCAGTTGATTGCTACCACAACCAAATTATGACAAAATTTGAAAAGACGTAGAGTCTTTTGTTAAACAGTTATGGTGTTGTAATCTGTGAAGAGTGACCGAAGTTCACTTTATGGATGTAACTTAACGCAAACTATGAATATACTCAGCGGTGTCATCCAAGTGAATGTTCAGTGATTCATTGACACAGATTTTTTCCTTCATCATACGTCTTCAGGATACATACAGGGTAATATTAACGTGTATAAATAAATAATATTCAATAGTATTCAACATGCATATGAAAAAAATGATTTGGCCTTTTTCCCTACCGGTATCGGTTATTGTCAGACTGAGATACAAATTACAGATGAACTGCTTAGAACATGTGTTCTTAAAGTAATTTTAAGGAATATTAAAGACTTAATTAAATGCAAGCAAGAGTCGTAATAATGATCCTTCTCGAAAAGTGCTCTGCTGCCCCAGCTGCACCCTTACAGATCGCCACGTAAAAAACAATAACGTGCTTTCTTTACGAACGGCTAAAAGCTTTTGACTTATACGGGAGCGAGTGCGCCGTTCTGTCAGTGGAGGAGTCCACTGATATTGTGCCCAAACGCGTGTCTGCCATTAGATGTTTAAGCTTTGGTTAGCCGCGAACGGTATATGCGAACATTCGCATGGCTATTAACAGTCTATTACGAATAGGTTTATATTGGTCATCATTTGAATGACTATTATAGTAACTGATGGTATTCCTTCATTCTTGTACTAAGCTATGCCACACCGCACTTCCATTGAAGTTATGAGCCTTTCTAGTGTATTCTTTACCTACTATATGAAAAAAACATAATAAGAACACAAAAAGTAACTGTATATCGCGTGGTCAATATAAATTAAGGAGAACGGAATACACGAAAAAATTATTTTTTTTATCCCATGTGCTATAAAACATAGACTAAAATGTATTTTGATTTATTTGTATATTTGTAAATGAATGCGCACATTTTAGGCAAGCTGTAGTTGTACCACTTGATCGTTACCTTTATATGGCTATATCGGTTTATAATCGAACAGCAATATAACTTAACACGTTTGTATTATTTTTTCAGTTCAAAATCACAACAGGTGATCGAGATGAAAAAATTGTTATTTAATATTTAAAAGTCCGCACAGTTTTTACAGCAAGTACGAGCGCGACAATGGAGTACGGACCGGGGCCATCCACTTCAACGGCAACCTTCAATGGACGTAACACCTCAAATGACTTCGCGTCGCAAATGAACGATGAGCAGGAAGCGCTGGCTGGCCTGGGAGAGGCTTATGATCAAACGGAGATCGAGAAGGGTGTTATTGATGTAATCGACGAACAAATACAGCAAGCTGATCGCCTCAGACATGACAGGGAACTCCGAAATGTCATTGAAGAAGTGAAGTGAGTAACTGTATCAATATGTAAGTTATCAACAGGATACAAGATCACGTGTGGTCAACATCTCGAAAGTGAACGAAAAAGTAAACGATATAAACTATAGTGTAATGTCATTGATGTTAAAATCAAATATTTCGACATTAAAGGTGGTGCCACTGCGCTTCAAAGTATCTGAGTGATAGACGGTCGTATTGAACCAATGCTCAGTATTTTTGGTAACTTAGTGTCCTTTTAAAAACAATTGACTATTTAGTGTCTCGACTATGTTAAATAGAAGGTGTAAGAGTTATGTAAATGAAGTGGTGGAACAATGATACAGTTTCGATTTTGCGTAGATTTGTAAAACAACGTCTGAATACGATCAACGAAAGTTTGGCTGAGTACGACGAAAAGAAAGAACTGACTAAGGATACTCGGAAAAAGTTGGACGCTATCCGCCGAGAAAAGGTTTGTAACTAAGTATTATGCATGCACAACATAACAGAAATAAGAATGCCCGACATTATTTTAGGCACACGATTGATAACTGGCTCGAAAAACAGTAGTAACATGATCTGAAACTAATTATGGATTCTACATTTCTTACGATATAATTTCTACGGCAATTACAGGAAAATAAAGAAAAGCATCTGAAGAAACTGGAGGCAAAACTTCGAAGCCTGAATATTTTCCTTGGCCACGAAGATCTCGGCGGTACTGACGAGATCGATGAGGAAACACGGGAGCAACTTCGGATGCTTTTAGGAGATCCCGAAACCGAAGAGGAACGACGGATCAGAATGGGAGAAATGACACCATTTGGTTCTACGGTACGTACCCGTCAAATGTAGACCGGAATCTTTGAGTGTTTTCACTATTGTTCAAACGGAATTTCTAGTATTTCTGCTTCTTCTTTTACATATTACCGTTTATGATACGATCGCATTGTAATGGATACATTAGCTTATATATTAAGGCCTTGGTATTTTTTTTCCTTTCACGCTGGTTGTACAGTTCAAGTTTTACTTGACGTTTGATTCGGCTAGCTTACTCTTATTGCTTTTTTGGGCAGGTTCGGGAAATTAAGCTGCCTGAAGTGGATATGTTCGATCAGTTTCTGGATGCTAGGACAGCCGAAACAAAAAAGGCTCGCCGGGAAAAAAAGGACAAAATATCGGTCGCTACCAAAACGAAAAATAAAAACAGAAAGACATTGACTGCCGAAGCCAAGGGAATAAAACGGAAGGCTGAAATCGGCACTTCTCTCGAACTCTGTAGGTAGGTTCCAGCCTTTAGCACAACGCTATTAGTGAAAAGCCAGTTCCAATCGGTTCGAGATGTTCCACTATTTGTTACGCAAAACTTTATGGTGGACTTCTGTAGATTTTTTTTTCGGTTATTTTATTGCAGACCTAAAAAGAAAAAGAAGCCTTTTTGGGATCTTCCCCTTGGAACGATCGAAGATTATTCAGCTATTGGTGCATGGAAAGAAATGCGACCCAGCCAGGACAATAATATTAGCCTTGAATTACCTAAGGGGTATGTGTAGTGAGGCTTTATATCTATGCATTTAACAGAAATTTAGTAGGTGCTTAGTAGTTTATTTCACGGCACATATTTTTTCAAAAAAAAAAAAGGTATAAAACGAAAAACTAAATTTAGGCATGAATGTCATTAACATAAAGGCACCAAGAGAGAATACAACATACCATTTTCCACTGTTCTTTAGGACGGCTGGTCATTCCGACGATTCAGATTACGATCCAGAGGAGGATGAAGACAATTGCGAGTTACATGAAGATGAAAAAAAGTTTGAACAGGATAAGGACCTCAAAAAGTCCGTAATCAGACGTCGTAGCGATACCACTGATGGAATGCCTCTTGACACACGGCACAGGCATCGAGATGACGGAGATCAGAAGGTGGGTTCTCTGGCTGTCTTCTACCGCGGGCTATTCGAAACATACTTATCATCCCCAACAAATTTACCAGACGAACCAACGTAGTCTTGTTAATATATTTTTGTTTTACATAAAATAATCCGTTCGTGGAGACAGTGGTAATTATTTTTTTTACTTACCCAGAATTTTTCAATTTTTAACTTTAGACATATTTAAATCGAGTCTGTCAACTGGACGACGATTCAGACTGCAGCGAGGAAGAGATCGATGAGGATTTTCGTATGCCTTGTTCTCTCTATAACAGCCTCTACCCGTATCAGCGAATAGCGGTGCGTTGGCTGTGGGAACTACACCAGAATAAGTGCGGTGGAATTATTGGTACGTGGATGGAATTTCATGTGAAACCAAAAAACCATACATCAGTTAATTAAAAATAGTAGCTATTCGATATACCAAATGACGAATGCATTTATAGACCTATTTATTCTTTGATTTTTCGGCAGGTGACGAAATGGGTCTTGGTAAAACGGTTCAGATGATTAGTTTTTTACGGGCGCTCAAACATTCGAAAATGCGTGTGGTGGGAGACCCGTTCTGCGGACTTGGCCCCGTCATCCTAATTGCCCCAGCCACTGTGATGCACCAATGGGTCAAGGTGAGACTTACGGCTCGCTGCGAATCTATTAGAGGACTGTCACGTCACAAGTGTATAAAGCGCGTCATCCGTTCGCACCTGTATGGGCGCCGGGCTAATTCGCTTCGAATGGACATGTATTTTAAAATATTATTTTTTAGCTTAACAAAACAGAACCACTATGACACTGCTGGAAACAACAATTATTTACGTGTTATAAATGCGTACAAAATTTAAGGGTGATAAATGTTTTTGATCCTAGTCAATGTTTCTTTTTCAATGAAACAGGAGTTCCACAAGTGGTTTCCAAGGCAACGTGTAGGGGTTCTTCATAATACCGGCTCATATTCAGGCAAAAAAAAGGAATCTCTTGTACGTGACATAAACAAGACCAGCGGAACACTTATTACCTCTTATCAAGTAAGTTATACTCATCAATTATGTACCTCGTTTACAGTAAGCTAGTAAATCTAGATACGTAGCCGTTTATAAATATGGTTGATGTTATTAATGAACGAATTAATGCGGCTTTTTGAGATTCGAACGTCATATTTCAAATGATGGCTTTCAGCATGACACATGTAGTATTTGTGTTTACTATATGTTACTATGTACAAGTAAGTAAAATTATACGTTTAGTTTTTATTTTTAAGTACTTAGAATAGAGACATTAACAAACGTTCATAAGTTCGATTTTATTTGTAAGATTGCTGTTGTCCTTTTACAGCGCTGATTTGTGTAATTTATTTTAGGGTATTGTGATATACTTGGACAACATTTTGAAGTACCAGTGGCATTATGTTATACTTGACGAAGGCCACAAAATTCGCAACCCCGACGCACAGGTACAAAGATTTAGTGTACGGATCCTGGTATTGTTTTCCCTTCTGACAATATTAATCCACTTCCAAAACAAATGACATGAAAAGACTTAAAAAAACAACAAATTTAATTGGATTGTGTTCACTTCTACCCAGTTTTATACAGCTATTCCGAGTATGTCGCAGCTGATCTAAGCAAAAAACAATAGGCGTATGTTATTTAATGTAAGGCTGCGTTTTCCGCTGTAAACGTAAAGGCAACGTTAGCGGTCAAGCAGTTTCAGACCCCTCATCGGATCATATTATCAGGCTCTCCAATTCAAAACAATCTGCGTGAGTTGTGGTCTTTATTCGACTTCATATTTCCCGGAAAGCTAGGAACCCTTCCGACATTTATGGCCGAATTCGCGGTGCCGATTACTCAGGGAGGGTACGCCAATGCAACTGAAACGCAGGTAAGTACACTGCAGTCCATGACAATAGCAGGCTTTCTTCACTAAAACCGATATCAACCTTAAATAAACTTGTCGCTCTGCTGCGAAGACTGTGTATGCCTGATTTCCGTCTTCGAGGCCGGTAGCCGCCGGTTTTAATCTCACAGTGGGACGCCCGTTTCAGTCGAGCCTTCAGCTATTGGCGTTAGGGAAAGGTTCAGCGTGTTCTTAATTAAAATTGCTCACAAACGTACAGATATGATAGCAAAAATCGTTATTGCGTTGCAGGTTGCAATCGGCTACCGATGTGCTTCTACATTACGAGACGCAATCAAGCCGTACCTCTTGCGAAGGATGAAGAGCGATGTTAAAGCTAACATCAATTTGCCGCCGAAGAGCGAACAGGTTCTCTTCTGTAGACTTACGGAACGGTTGGTAACTTTGTGTAAATAAACATCGCCTTTTTTTTTGTAATAACTCACGTCATACCGATAAAACAGAGCATATCCACTCAGAGCATATCCTCATATATTTTACTATTGCCCTGACAGGCAACGCGAACTATACAAGAGTTACCTGGATAGCCCAGAAATTAGACAGATCTTCGATGGTCGTCTACAGCTATTTGTCGGCCTCATAAACCTGCGAAAGATATGCAATCATCCTGATCTTTACGATGGCGGACCGTATAAGGAGCTCGTCACGCGTAATGCGAGTGAGGTGTATTCGAATATTTGCATAACGTTAGAGTATAAAACTTTCTGTCTTAAGATGCTATTGATTTTTTAAAGAAGATATGGTTTTCTATGGCTATGGTACTTATAAATGTTTTTCTTAGAAAGTGTCTGTACAACTCTCTTTCAAGTAGTGACATATAAAATCAGTATCGAAAAACAACATACCTATGGTAAAAACAAAGCAATAAATTAAATGTATATGTGGCGTTTTTTTGTTCTGCCAAAATTAAACATTCAGTCATACGAAAGCCCAAATCATAGCGATACCGGAAAAGGGGACTGGAATGACTTGGTGCCTGCAAATATGGATTCCGCATTGAAGGTGCCGCCTATAGAAGAAGAAGAAAACGAACGAAATTTTGGATACGTCAAGAGATCCGGCAAACTGATGGTCGTTGAGGCGTTGCTCAAGCTGTGGAAGAAGCAAGGTCACAGGTGAGTAAGATATGGCAGAAAATTTGAAAAGAAACAAAACATTGCGTTTAGTAAACATGTCTTACCGTACAGATGCTTATGATGTTTGGTGGTTTACATGAAATTGGCACATGAAATTCGTATCGCGCTATGTGTATGTCGATGAGCTTTTTGTATGCGTGTGGCATTATGTTCCCAGAGCGCTTGTGTTCACTCAGTCTCGCCAGATGTTACGGATCCTAGAGGCGTTCGTGCATCGCCGGGGCTATGCGTATCTGGTCATGGATGGTAGCACCACCATTGCTTCCCGACAGCCAGCTATTGAGCGATTCAACCAGGTACATACGCATATATACGAGTTACGAACTCTGGCTATCCAGCATGATTGTCAATATGCTATGATATTGTACTGAGAACTAAATTATTTCATATTTATGTTGTTGCGATCCTTTTTCAGGACAAAAATATATTTGTTTTCCTGCTGACGACACGGGTGGGTGGACTTGGAGTAAATTTAACAGGAGCAAACAGGATCATCATTTTCGACCCGGACTGGAACCCGAGTACTGATATGCAGGCCCGTGAAAGAGCCTGGCGAATAGGCCAGAATCGCGACGTAACAATTTATCGGTAGTTAATGCAATTCACATTCTTAAATGTAAAATAGCCTCGTAAGCGTTAATATCATACTACCACATTTAACCCGGTCAGATTTGGTGAGTGCGTTTTCTAATGGTTTGCCTACGCGTATTTCAACTGTCTAAAAAGCTATTTCTCTCTCTCTCTCTCTCTCTCTCAGTTTAATGACGGCCGGCACAATTGAAGAAAAGATATACCATCGACAGATCTTCAAGCAGTTCCTGACCAATCGCATCTTGAATGACCCAAGGCAGAGGAGATTTTTTAAATCGAATGAACTGCATGAATTGTTTACGCTTGGGGATGATATAGGAAAGAGAAACCGAACTGAGACATCTGACATTTTTGCCGGTACGGGCTCAGAGATTCGGAAGAAGCATCTCAGAACACCCGAAAAGAAACGCAAACAGCAAGAAAATAAAGAGCGATTGGAAAAAATGAGAATGCTTGGTACGTAGCAGGTAGCAGCAAGCAGACAAGCTGTATTCATTAATATCTTAGGTTATCCGGACAAATCCCGAAATTTACCAATCCAAATGATATTCCAACGTCATTAACTCATTTTTAAGTCTTCTTGTTTTTAACCCTCCAGCAAAGAAGCTCAGCCAAAAAATCGGGGCTGGGGAGAAAATTAAACCTGGTGATCTTAAAGAATTGGACAAGCCAACTACTAGCGGTAGTAGAGGAACAACTGTCGAGGGTGAAAAATTATCAGAAGTGGTACGAAGATCGCGTTTTAAGGGAACGGACACGGATGATGAAGACCAAACTGATAAAAAACAGAATGAAGGTGAAACAACGAAAAGGAATGAAGACGATGATTATGTGCTGTCAAAGCTGTTTCGGAACAATAACGTGCATTCGGTGAGTATTAAGAGAGACGTGCTTTATTTGGATGCTTTTTTCTCTCCTTCTTATGGTCTACTATGGGCACCAAATCCGGTAAATTCGTTGCTCGTGGGCTCAAACTACTATCTGTGTGCATATTACAGGTGATGAAACACGATGCGATAATGGACTCTGCTGTGGCTGACAGCGCTCTCATAGAGGCAGAAGCTGAACTGGTCGCACAGGAAGCTGTCAAGAAGTTAGAAAGGTCGCGCAAAATGTGCTTTCGGTATGACCATTTTCAGAAGTACTGATTGTATATAAAAGCACATGCACTTATGTTATAGACGGTGTCTATAATAATTATATAATGCTTTCGGTTAACCATATTACAAGTCGCATGTATTGTTATAAGTTCACAATGCGTTTGATGTGAGGTAAGCTAAGTCTAACTGAATGTATTACGATTGATGTTTGTAGTGCGACTTCAGGAATTCCCAATTGGACAGGCCAGTTCGGTGCCTATCGTGGAATGAAGAAAGCGCGATTTGGAACTAAGAATGTCAAGTCAATCGGATTGAGCCCAGCAGGACCTAGCCCAACTAAGAATAAAGAAGGATCATCGCATGAAGGAGAGGGCGAAAAGAGCCATTTTGCATATGATCCTAATGAAGAGAAGATCAAAAATAGTAAAGGTCAGTTGAAGCAGAGTAACTCTAAAGATGCCAAGTTTTACATCATATTCAACGGATTTATTATTGTAATAGAAGAGGATTTGCATATGCAGCATGCAGCGATATGCCATCGCTGCCATCTTGAAAATGGCAAGCGCCTGATCTAAGGCTTAAGCCGTACCTATGTCATGGAACACTTCTCGTTGCCGAAATTCGTGCGTGTGCCTGTTCCCCGCGCCCATGTGACTAACGTGATTATAATCCATAGATTTCTAATATTCAAATTTGTTCTCTTTTGTCGTCTACTTGATGCAACAGCTATGAGTTCATCCGAATTGATGGCTCATATTCGAGCCAGGAGCATTGGAAATGTAGATTTGGAGACATCAGATAATGAATCCCAAGATTATGAATCTGAATCCGTCGTAGAGGCGACCTCTACTGTCACCAACGAGACCGACGAGCTACTTGTTGATCTCAGGAATTTCATTGCTTTTGGTAAGAAGAACGGCGGAAGAAGGTGGAGAATAATGAAGCTCGATTATTCCAGAAAAAAAAATTGATAGAATCTTGCTGTGAATTGTTTAAGACGTGATAAGCAAACCACGTTTTGTCGCGGCATGTGCTTTGTATTAAACAATACTCTCCTTTCAGGTGCAACAGTTGACGGCCAAGCAACCACTCAAGAAATTCTAGCCGTTTTTCGAAATAGAGTTCCCGAAAAGGACGCGCCCCTGTTTCGTAAACTGCTAAAGAAACTTTGCGAATTTTTCAAAAGGGGAACCACTAAAGATGGTCTATGGAGGTTGCGTCAAGGTTTTCGATAGTATACTTGATGGCAACGTTTTCCAATAGCTAACAGTGTCAAAACCTCTTTTAGGAATATTGTTATTTATGTGGAAGTATCCTTTTAATTATTTTCATGCGAGCTAACATAATGTGGTCTAACACAAAGGTGAAGCATAGCTTCCGGAGAAATTAAGAAAGGATTGTAGTATCGTGTTCTGTGTAATTTTATACAAATAATTATTAGGTAGCCAACAGCTAATGAGCAAAGGGAGCCTAAAGACTATTAGTTGTCATACATTTTAACTGTTAATTTCGACTATAAGGTTTGTCAATGATGTATGATTTTGAGATATGGCAGTGAGTAAATGAATAGTTATATTAAATTATTTCGAAAATCATACCTGGAAATCGAGGTCGATCGACGCCCGTGAAGCCTTGAATAGGCATTATTTTACTAAATTTATTTTAGGCAATAATCAATTTGTAATTAGATCCGAACTTAAATTAAACGTATAGTTTGGCAAATGTTTTATGTTTATTTCAATTGTCTTACTTCCTTTATATGTATACAAACGTTAAGTATACATAAATAAAACTCTTGTACATTATATCTAAATGCAGTGCCTCTGCTTCCTGTGGAGCAAATGCATAGTAAACACAATCAGCCTTGGGGTGTGTTTATGTACATTGAAATATATGAGGCGCCTAGGTCTACTTCCGTTTAATACAGATGTGTAAGTTCATGTTTTTCCAGCATAGGATATACTATGTAAAACATTCCACTCACTGTTGTTTGATCTTCATTAGCATCGTCATTATTGGTCATAAATTAAACATGATTTACAGAATATAATTATATGAATTTTTAGGTAAGTCAGTCTCAGCACAACTTCTACTCATTTTAAAGCATTATTTAGAAGCCTATTGTATCAACAAAAGGATAGATCTTCAATAAAATATCACTTGTATACTAGATCAACGGTTCATGACTGTTCTAAAGTAAGCAATATAACGTTGTAAGGATTGATTGTTTGGACAAATATTTTGTCAGCTGTGTAGTCTGATCTGTATAATGCATTAGCTTCTAGCCTCCTTAACAAAATATCGATTAAGCTCCAAATAATTAAAGATTGGCCGAGCATGCATTTTTGGCCAACAATTACAGGTGTACAATTTTGGTAATATATTATATATGTTATAAGTACACTACTGCTTCACGGCTTCCTTAGTAAAGCTTAAAGAGGCTCCAAAGATGGAAGGTGTGAGGCACTTCAAATCAGAAAATTAAGTTTAGCCACGGAAAAGATATCGGTCTGATTTGCAATGTGCCTGAAATATTCCCGGGTCAGACAGCTGAACGTCCCCAGTGGAGCCGATAGGCGCCGAACTTCGCGGCTTTGTTTAGAACATCTGTTACGTTGCTAGCCTAGCACCCAGATTAACAACTAGTTAAAAAAGTATAGATAGCAAAAAAAAGTGTCGGAAAACGAGAGATAGAGCCACTGACTGACGAAATAAGAAGAATAATGGAATATGCGGGTTGCCCAAGAGGATTTTAAGGAGTAAGACTAAATAGACAACTAAACAAGCACGTGGAACGCCGATACACACTCTGGTACTTTTGAAAAGTAAGATGATAAAACCTTGCACGAGACGCAGCGTGGCTGCTAGCAGGAGGACGAACTGTGCTGCGACTAGTAAACTGATAACTTCATTTGTAGCTGTCCCTACAAGCTTTGGTTTGGAATATTATTGGAATCAGATTATTATATTATTAGAATCAGATCAGAACAAAGTACATAGTTTAGGGTTTAGTTTAGGGTTTAGTAGATAAGAGTTTCACAAAGCGACATGGATATTTTAGCAGTGAAATCCGCACTACATAATACATAAACCCTAACTTAGCCAAAAAAAAATATCAGATCGCCGGTGCTACCTGAAGCAACTTATTTTTCCTCGTTTCTGGTAAGCGGCGAGTACCTAAAGGCCACAATTTCCATGCAAATCTCCAGCTCTTCTTGGTATGGACCACATAAGGGAATTCCACCAGTCTATTAAGTATTTTTTTCAGTTTCTTAACTTAGCTGTTTGTTGCATCATGGCAGTTAATTCGCAAAACCCTCTGTCCTCCATCACGAATTAGTCATGCTTAGTTACAGAGCTAATAGAAGAACGTATGGGAAAGAGAGGTGTCCACCAGACATTGATAATGGTCCTCGTCAAAGTAAAACACGCCACTTAACAACGTCGTACATTGAATACACTGCGTGCAATCAAAACCACGTTGACGTGAATTTTTCGTAAAGGACAAGACAATAAACTAAGTGCTCTCAGAAAGAGCATTTGGTACCCTTTTCATCAGAGAATGAAGGTTATTACCTAACAGACAGGTTTCTAAGAAGCGACCATTTCCAAAAGCCAGAAAGTATATGTATAGCTGCAATCAGCTGTCAGAATCGACTTAAAATACGCGTGGTTTGTTTGCGCAATAATTCGTATATATTAGGCGCCGATTATTTTTATCCATCCTTTATTCTGCGAAGCCAGTCGCACAGTTGTGTATTGGTATCCAGTGAAGGTGGATTGCGTCCGCCCCGATTCGGCCATCTTTTACGGTTTTTCCTATTGGACAAGTTATGAAAATTTCATTACATAGTTTCATAGAACAGATCGCATTAAACGGATAGCAGTTTGGGCAGCTAGCCACCGTGACGCGAAAATACGTAATTAGTACTACGACCATACTACGAAAATACTTCTTTTTCAATTTGAAATATTCCAAAATAAAAGCGAGTTAGAATCGTGATTATTTATCGTAGTTCTAGAGATCCGAGAGTCGATTTGAATCAATTTTTTATAAAAAGCACTACGACTGTCATCGATGTAACATAGAGTAGCACAGAACTGATTTGTTAGCATTTTTTATAAGATAGTGTTATCACAGAAAAAATATTGTTTAAAGATCTTGATTACCCTTGTTTATTTAGCAAATGACAATTTGCTAAGATTAATATGAGAGAGGCACCTGCAGGGAAATATCGTTGTTCTTTGTATAAATTTTTGCAGACGGAACACGTGCCTTGCTCTTAAAACTGACAATACTAACTACAATAGGAGATGCCATTGAGCCTATAGGACTATTTTCTATAACAATATCTCTATGTGCGGGATAATTTTTTGTTCGAATGGTCAATATGTTTATGTTCAACAAAATAGTATCGTTGCTTTAACATATTCTGTTTCAAACATTTTGTGTTGGTTCCGTATTGGTAAATTTGCTAAACATTTGAGACTTCTGTTAGCGGGAACCGACAACTGCTATAAGCGATAGGTTGGTAAAAAGATAGTACTGGTTGTACTTTCCAAATCCGGTTCGGCTTCAGCGCTGTAATATACCATCTATAGTCTACTTTGTCATATTTTGGCAATGCGTCGTTGGGTAAGTCTTTTTCTTAATAAGTATACTCGTAATAGTCATTTCGAGTACATAACCTGATTTACTGCAGGTTAACATGCGTGATAACATGTATAGGTAGCGTGACTGCTTATCTTGATAATAGTAAGAGTAGAACAAACCATTTATAAATATGTTTTCCAGGAATAAAAGTGAATAGTCCTTCGGAATCGCCTTCGGTAGTAATGTGTTTTTATTGCGCTTTATGATTTTGGCTGAAATATCCATTCCGAGATCATTTTATCAGTGAAATTTAAAAGAAATCAGAGAAATCAGTGGTAATTCTCCTTTATTATGAGATATGCTTTATCGCTGTTATTATGTGAATCCTTTCTCATAAGTGAGATTTTACGAAATGCCTTACCATAACATTTCCCCGAGATAGACATTAACTGCCGAAATCGGCAATTCAAAATAAATAAATAAAATAAAAAATAAAATAACAGACCTTCTTTCTCAAAAAGAATCTAGCTGTATAAACATGAGCGCCGAGACCTAATGGCCGTCATTTTTCAGCATTACATGTTACAAAGTTAATGGGAAGGAATTGTACTACGCATACGCACGCTGCTCTGTTCCACATACATACAAGCGTACATATATATATATATATATATATATATATATATATATATATATATATATATTATATGTACTTCATTCAGAAGATCCTAGGCTTATTATTCAAGCTTAGTTTAAAACAACGCTTGGATCTTAACTTAATGTGTGCCAAATTCTACCTGCTTCATTTGTAACAGAAACAAGTACCTGTGTTTTATTGTACGTTTTTGCTACTAAGGCAGTCGTTTGGTTAATGTTTAAACAAATTCCGATTCAACCTTTTTACATACGAACGATCTTATAGGTATATTCTTAGTAATTCGTCGAATTAGCGCTGGGTATATTTTAGTAAAATTAACCGAGAGCGGGCGGGCGAGCGAGCGAGCGAGCAATTTGAAACGTCGATATCCATGCTCTCACCTATGGTCCTGTGTTGAAATCTACTCATAGGATTGAAATATACATAGAGCGGTTTCCAAAACACAAAGGGAACATGAAAGACAGTTGTAGTGGGTTTGTTGATGCTTGTGTCTAAGTGGGTTTATGATACAGCAGATTTTTTGTCAGCTGGTCGGTTTTTTGAAGGATAAGTGCAACTGGTTCGATTCTAACAACGTGGATAAAACAGAAAAGGTTGCGTAGCATAAATTCACTTGGAAATACTCACTTGACGAAATCCTGATTCTCATGTGAATCCTCGGAGGATTTTTGCCTGTGGTCCAACGATTCGTCGCCGCGACTCTCATCTTACAAAATGGTAAACTAAATAGGAAATAAGTAGATGAGAAAATATGAATTCCGTTTTTTGTAGTTGAATAACCCTATTGGTGCTAGTAGTGATTTTGCGTACGTTATGTAAACTAATTATTATCATAACACTTTCGTGCCAATTTGCAGAGCTGTTAAAAAATACTGCAAAGAGTTGTTAGGACATTTTACTTAAGTAGTAGGTATGGTGTTGGCACGCCTATAAAAATGGTCCATTATAATCATTTGATAAGGAATAAATTTGATTTATTTCCCGCACTATACAGGCAAGAAAATATTTGTATCCGAGCACTTTTGATTACTAACAATTCGATCTATCTATTAATTAAAACATGAAAGTCGTAGCATATCCACGTTACTGCTTCGTATATTACATTTTGAAATCCACTATGTAATACTACACCACTATTAATGTATATGCTAATGCCTTTTTTGTTTCAGTTTGGCATTGAAATGTATCCAGATGTTCACCGAACGTTCACGTCCGAATATCGGGCATTCTCGGTGACAATGCTCCCTGGTAACGAGCGTCGTGATGTCGAAAGGGGGAACAAATTTCTCTTGCCACCATCGGCACTCGATTTGCTCACACGTCTAAATATTACGTATCCTATGCTCTTTAAGGTGAGCAACGCCATTTGCATTGCATAAAAAATATATACTCAACAATTTATTAATCTGAAAGAAGCAAAAATTCGTCAGCCCTTGTTAACATTTAGCCGATGTATAGGCGATTGTAAAACGCCTTTTTTATTAATCGGCGTATATTACACGAAAGAAATATGCTGCAGATAGCTGCAGAAAACATTAAAGGGACCACGAGGAAGCTAAGTAGACATTACTGAGGCAGGACATTTTTTTCCTCGGCAAATTGCAACTTTTCTGAAAGGTTAGTCAAAGTTTATGCTGCCATAAAGAAATTCACATAATGTATAAGCTCGTATGAATAGGAAAGTTTTCTAAAAAGTTAAACAGTGATAAACCTCAGCTCCTGATATGTGGCCTCGTCTGATAAGAGAAAATATTAAATTTCCTATCTGATGAGGATAGATAATCGCTAAATAATCTGCGTCTTGTATTGCCGCACTGGACAATTTTACTGGACAGTATTAATAGACAGGTTCACTTTTCACCGAGTTGCCTTAATCTCCGTGGCAATACCTGAAGTATCTTGCGGCCATTTACATGTACCTTAGGACTGTGTTTACGAAGTTAGCAACGTATTTGGAGTACCACAAGTTTCTACTGTACCTTATTCCTATGATGTTTTCTTTAAAAGCTAGCTGCAATTATTGCAACTAAGTCTAATAGTGATAATGCTCCAGTGATATGAAACTGTAATATGCTTGCAACCACAAAAGCCAGTTAAAAAATGTTATTCCCATTAAGCAGCCAAATTCAAAAGATATCAAGAATACATCACAACAACCAATATTTACTTCAGCGTTTTTCTAGCCTTTTTCGAAAGTTAAATTTATCTCCTTTTTCTAATTACTTTCAAAATTTCGTAGATTGTCAATCGACGCTTAAATCGTGAAACGCATTGTGGCGTTTTGGAGTTTTCTGCGGAGGAAGGTAAATGCTATCTTCCTTATTGGATGATGAAATATCTTTGTTTGGACGAGGGCGACTTATTGTACGTAGAAAATACTCAGCTTCCTGTCGGAACGTTCGCAAAGTTCCAGCCGCAGTCTGTCGATTTTTTGGATATCTCCAACCCAAAGGCGGTTCTCGAAAACTCTCTACGAAACTTCGCGTGTCTTTCAGCGAACGATACGATTGTTATCGAGTACAATGAGAAGCAGTACGAGGTTCGTATGGTGCTTTCAGCATACAGATATAATTGATTACGATATCTTTGTATTCACGTCTTACTCTCATTAGCAGAAGTACTATCCGCAGAAAAAACTAAATGAAAAAAAATATTCCTATGTTTAAATTTCCTATAAATTTCTAGGTGTGTGTGCTTCAAGTTCGGCCTGGGAACGCGATCTCCATTATCGAATGTGATCTCAACGTTGAATTCGCAGCGCCTGTCGATTATCAGGATCCTCAAGTAATTAGCAATCAAAACATAAAAGATCACTCAAAGTCGGTGCGAAATTTATAAGATATTTGCGAGTAAAAGAGAAAGAAAGAAAGTATTTTTGGCAAGAACATCTAATGTATAAAACTAACGCCAGAGAGGCTTATTTCCATTACAGGACTCTAAGCCCTCTCAAGAAGAGATGGACTTCGCTCTACCCAAAGTGGTTATCGAGGAACCTAAAGGCTTCAAAGCTTTCGCAGGAACGGGTAACCGGATTGATGGAAAAACAAAAAATCTAGAGATAGATACACTTTCCGATGGTGATTCCCGAACAAAGTCAGGCTCAAGTAAACAACGTGGTGTTCCCGATTATAGGTGAGTTAATGGCAGTCGTTAATGAGTTTTTATGTGGCTCTCGAAGAAATCCGTGGAAGATTTTTATAAGCCAGAGTAGACTATTCTCAATAAAATGTAAAAAATTCAACTTATTGAAGTTGCTCAGCAAGCCATTTTTGACGCACCTAAGCTTTTAATACAGAAATCAAGCCACTTTATAAAAAGAAATACAAATTACTAATTGAGTCGTCCGAATGAGCCACAACGGTAAGTCTTTTTGAGGCTTTTGAACTTTTTTGTATCCTGTGAATCAACTGGTCATTTTAAGCTCTTGTGTTTCTTGAACTTCTGAGCGCTATGAGCGCGGAATTTAGTTTCGTTGGAATTTTTTGTGTGTAGCACATCTAGGCGATACTTACCATGGGTTCATAAATAAACTCATACTATTACCGATATATACTATCGAAAAAATTATTTGCGGAATAAATAAGGAATATTTTGAAAATGATCAGTTAGTGATTTGGATTTTGATGCTGTAATCGCAATGACTGGTACTTGTATTGAATAAACAAGACCGTCAAAAATGTCATACGCTAGCGCGTACAAAAATTATGTTTAAATATCTGTTTTCGTGTAAATACCGATCTAAAATAAGACATAAAAGGAATTTTCATCTTAGACATGCCGCCCGATCTACATATATTTATTGAAGAGATTATTAAATTAGATTATGTGGACTCCCAAAATCTAATCAACTCAAGGCTTAACCAAGGTATGATTCTGATGAGGTTTTTATAACTTCGGAAGGCCACTTGCCAAGATGTATTCCACATATAGACTGAAACAGCTGAGCATGAAAATAAAAACAAAGCCAGCTCTGATCCATTGGGCGTTATAAAGTGCGAACAAATGCGGACCTCGTTATGGGTCACTCCCTACCTAGACCCATTTTCACCAAATTATTCTCTTTTCGGATAAATTATTTTTATTTGAATTGCATTACAGATGGAAACCGGGTACGATAACTTTTATTCGTATGAAGGACAAAAAAGAAGATAACGATAAAGAAAACGGCGAAAGGAAAGCAGCGTTTCCAGGGACAGGACAGACTTTAAAAGCGAAGAAAAAATCACCTTAAAAGGCGAAATCGTTTATCTTTGGTTGATTTTTAAAAAATATCTAAGTTGGCAATTTAATGCAGAGAATTTCAATAAACACGTGTACAAATTTGGTACTCTTAATGTAAGTTCCTCTCTATCCTACGTAGAAAATAGTTAAGCAGAGCGTGGTAAATGCTACATGTCCTGTTCGTACATGCAGAAAGAATATTTATTGAGTTGACGATGTTACCTAGCTTTAGCATCAAAGATTTTTTCATTTCTGGCAAGCTTATCTACTGTCATGAATATGCTTATTGATTGGTCTTATACTGAATATTCTAGAGTACTACGGGCGTCAAAACGCGGAGCATGATTTTCGATTCCAGACGGAAATAAACTGCAATCTTCTTGTGTGGGCAAATGTTGCTTTTCTAACATTGCCATTCGACTGACCATACGTGGATTGCCCCGATTCATACTGGTCACCCACATGTATACGCCGTTACACATTACGTATATATTTCGGGCCCAACAAAAATCGCACTTAAGAACTGCGGTTATATCTTTTACTTAATTTAAGGGAGAAATTAGTGTCTGTAAAGGTGTCAATAAGGGTTATTGCAAGATTATTCTGTCATTAATGTATTATGTAGTAATATACTGATGTAATAAGTGACCGCTGAGCTCAATTGAATCCAACCTAGGCTGCCGGAGTATAATACGGAGCTATTTTCTTGCTATTAAACTACAATACCATTACGTCATGTATGGATGTCGAGTCGATTTCTTTGATTCTATCAGGAATATCTAATGGGGATTTGAAGAAATATTTACCCTTTGATTTCTTTTTTGTTTACATATGTTTAACGGCAATACCGGAGGTAAACTCGAAATATTGAAACTATTCTTACTGTAGCAAGTCTGACTAATGATATGCTCTTGTTATGTCGATACATCCTTTCTGCCACATTTTTCTTCATTTACATTTAAATTTGGTATTTTACACTAAAGGTAGGGTAAAAATTTCAAACAACGCTTTTCTGTGTTCAAATTATCCCGCCATTGAAGCGCCAACTCGCGCGAAGTTGAGCTGTAGCTATGTTCGATAATGAATTGTTGTTGTGGCCGCTTCGTGTAGTGACGTGGCTACCAGGCGGCGGTTGCAGCAGCGATACTGAACACATTTTCACAGAGACAACAGTTCACAAACACGACAGTGGTGGACCAAGTGTTATTAGTATTGTTTAACAGGTTAGTTTGTGTGCGTTTTGGGATTTTTGCTAAAGTGACTTACAAGAGTCGTCTTCTACTTAGCTTGTAAATCAGATTTCTCCAGTGCGATATGCCAGCGCCAGCCTCATCAACAACTGTGGGTGCCGGGGGCTCGAGCCCCCGTGCGGGACCCTCATCAACCTTGCGACAAAGAAAAACCGTCAATCCGAGCTCAGCCGCAGGTAATAAAACCTAGTTTATTTGGTGTAAAACATATATGCCATTTAGCATTGGGTTGCTAAAAATAGAGATGGACAGCGCATTTGAAACGTATCTTGAATTACAAACGTTGCGCAATTTATATCTTACACAGGTTTCGATAAAAATAGTTGCAATTGAGTAGGTAAATACCGATAAGTAAAAGCTGAAATGTTGCTTGTACCCCAGTTTCTTGTGGTATTGATTTCTAACTCGCTTGACAAGATTGGTCTACGTTGACACGTTGTTCGAATTTGTTCGCAATGATTTAGCGTTCATCACAGCTGACATGTTGAGACGATATAAAGTTTAGAATTGAAACGGGCTGAACCCTTTGGTGTAACGTATGGATTAGGTGTCAGTGTATATTGTTCGCAATTCAATTCGAGAAATTACCATTGTTATTATAAGAACAAAGCCCGGTATTCGGGTTATACAGGTTTGTTCACAAAAATGTCGAAATCTTGCTATTCATAGATAACAGCACTTAGGATATATCAGAATTACTAGCTTCTGTATTACTAGAAATATCTGGTCAAAGTAAATGAAAATTGTTAATAAGCTTAGATAAATGTTCACATTCTCGATATTTTTGTTATGAATAAACTATAGAACCCGCGAAGCCCAAAGGACTGAGTTGTAGGCTTAGTAGCCCTACTTATCGTTGACCAGACAGGGCATGATTCAAAATTATCAGCATCAACAGGTATGACAAGTAGAAGAAAATGTTCTATAACAAAAATCTAAGTTTGGTGTTTAGCCCAAGTTTAGTTTGGTGAAAAAGCAAGTTTCCTGTAACTCTAAAACTAAGCTACAATACCAATTTGACTTGTATTATTCGATTTTCTTAGCTCGTCCCTCCCGACCTCCGGCAAACTCGGGGGGTATGTGGAAGTTCTATACGGACGACTCGCCTGGCTTCAAAGTTGGTCCGGTTCCGGTACTCGTGATGAGCGTCCTCTTCATCTTCTCCGTATTCGTGCTTCACATGTATGGAAAGCTTACCAGAGCCTAAAGAACGGGACGTGAATGCGGCGGGTTATCATCGAAGGACCATTTCATGCAAGAATATCATACCCGCCCAACACGTGCACGACTGCACTATAGACGCATTCCAATTGTAACCAATTCGATTGAATGCCCATTTATTCCCAGATACCCATTATTCCCCTACGGCCCTGTCGAATCACGGGGTTGTTCATCCATAAGGTTGGTCACATTGTGACGTTTAGAAGAGCAAAAATTTCGGGAAGTCTAATTGGCCACAATGTTTAGCAGCGGACTTAAAAGAAACAGTCATAGGTCCTAAATACCTCGTGATCTAGACAGCTTTCTCCGCGCAAAAGCTTGAGGCATTACATTACGATTTTTCTCTTTTTACACTGCAGTCACATAGGATATGTCGTATTGCGTTTTGCATGGAACGGCCGTTATGGTTGTAGTATTAAATCTACAGTGGCGGAGCATGCTGGAAAAGGTGGAGAATTTGTTCAACTATCACTATGTCTGTCGTTGGTTGGTAACTGAATGTATAATCATTTGATGGAAAGATTACTAGTAGAGGCTGGGTGGGCTGCGAAATTCCTTTGGCCTGGATGCGAAGTCGTTTCGTTAAAAAATTGTTAGCAGATGAAACTGTTGCTAATTTTCGACTAAAGGGAATAAAACCATTTTTTAGAGGAAATAAAACAGAAGGAAGAATCCGAAGAATTCAATTGATAACGATACATAAAATCACAATCAAATAATAAGTTTATGAATAAAATTTTATAAGTTCATATGATGAAAGGGCGAAAGGAAATGGTAGTACAGAGAGAACGCTGTGTTGCTAGAACGTTATGCATGGATTTTTTTTATTAAACATTATTTTAAAGAAAGAATAGAAATGAAATGACGAGTGGAAAAAGCAGTAAAGGCTATTTAAAAACATTATGCGGTTGGTCTATGACAAGAATATTGTACATGGATGTTATTGTACAGTTTAAAGAAAGTGCAAATACCTTTAACAGTATGAAATGTCATCGGGCTTTGGGAAAATAAAAACTGTACCGAGACAGATTGAGTTATTACTTTACGGCCGTATTTGTTTGGCAACGTTAAAAACTATTAGGCTATCAATTTAATTCATCTCACATCAAACATTTTCGCTGAACGGAACGAGCTGTGCGGCTCAAGGAGTTTTATATGTTCTGTAGCGTTCCTCGAATATAATAAAAATCAAAATCGTAGTAATGGTACTAAGGGGAAGTACAAAATGTGCATGCATTTTACGTATTCAACAGTTATAGGAAGCCAATTCTTCTCTTTGCTAATTTCCTAAGAATGTATTCTATAGTCTTCTTGTAAATATACTTATTGATTGCGCATTGCTATTTCGCTCTCTTTTGAGTAATAAATATTTGTTGTTTATTCTCAGTGGTCCAAAGACCCGCGTTTCTCGGTATTTGCATGTTGGTGACTACAGTGACCTGAGATTCCAGAAACCATGGAACAGTAATGATTGACGTTAGACTATTTTAGAAATTAGTTTTTTGATTCTATAAGACGTGATATGAAAGGGTGAGTTCCTTTGGTTCGAAATGGTTTGCATAAAGTTGCCCTAGACCAAAGCCAGTTGTTTAAAATTATAAATGGATATTTCAGGTTCAATTTCTCAAAAAGTCTGGCCTAAAAACGACGTAAACGGGCATAATTGTAAGTTGACATCTGTAATTCGCTCTTTAAAAAGAATTTGACAGATTTAATTGTAGGGAAACTGTTAAAATGTTACTGGTCACAGGAAAACGTTCCATCTGTCTGACTCAAATGTAGCTAATTTTGAGTAATGTATAAAACGCTGCTACTGGATTCCTTCTACCTGATTTTTATTTAGGTCGATTTATTCTACAAGTATGTATGTGGACATAATCATACTTATGATATTCACTTATGGTAATAAATGGTAACGATATAGCCAGACTTTGTAAGCACAAACTTCTATAGGATGATGGCTCTATACAAGGAGAGCGCTTACGAATATTTGTGATATTTTTAAGGGAGATTTCGCTGAAGGAACAGTTTTTATGGATATACTATCTGAAAATTTCTTAAATTGCCGAACTGAAAGCCATGAGAAAGGTAGTTGTGCTGTATAGAATATTTTTTTATTGCCACGAAAAATTTTCTTGAGTCGTCTATTCGGTCTGGTCCTGTAAGATAAGGGATAGCCCGTGTCACAGAGGTATAAACCGCACAGGTTAGATGTCCCCAAAAGATCTAGCACAAAATTTAAGTAGGCTAAGGCTGCTAGTGAAGGTCCCAAGCAAGTGCCACCGTTTAATGTTTTTCTGTTGCTTGCGTCAATCATTTAAAGTATAGGACGTGGCCAGAAGCTCGCGGAAATTGGCAAAAAGCCCTGGGCCAGACAAATTCCCTAATTCCACTCTCTTTGGAAAACGGAAAATCCAGCGTCCCGAAAACCGTGACCAGTGAAAGCACCAGAGTACCGTCGATGCCCCTTTAGAAGAGTAATCTGATTAGGCTGGAAGTTTAGGTCCATTTTGTTGTATCCTAGAAACTGTATCGGATCATTTCTGTATGAACGTGAATGTCTTCGCTAGCTGCCGGTGAAAGTTGAGTCTCGAAACCGGATCATAACCAAGCACATGCGTACGGTCTGCGTAAAGTATCCGAGCTGTGTAATGAGTTATGCCCTTGGATTTTGCCGGAAAAGGCGTTTTTGTTATTTTAAGTATCCATAGGTTTTCGGTGTTAATATATTCGCCAAGTTCAGCGTGGTTCAATTGAGTTGAAGCTGTATATTAAATCAGGTACCGCGGTAGACGCATTTTTTGATCACTTCTTAAAATTAACACCAATGTTCAATGGTTGTATCTTGCAACGATCAAAGTATGGTACTGTGCAATTTCCTTCAATTTGAAGTCTTATGGAAAATAGTGAGGCTTGTTGACACAACATGATAGGCTCGACTAGGAACAGACTCGAGTCCACATAATCAAAGCGGTTAAAACCAAGTCTTTGACAGCTGAAAGTCGTAAAAAAATGCCGCATCGTCGAATGAAAATAAGTTGCTTGGAATCGTGTTGACTAAAAGCCTAGAAAAGAGCCGTACGCTGCGAAAAACCAAAAGGGTAAGAACAGTAACAAAAAAAAACCAAGCAAATAACGCGTTTTTTGCAGATCAAAGAAACGAGCTTCATTTGAGCGTGTAATTACTGTAGTAGTTCCCGTCGTACCACTGGCATCCTGATTTATGCTCACATTCTGCAAAGAAAACACGAAATTCATATTAATTAGGCGAGCTTTTCTGATAGCATATAAATTGTTTTCAGATAACTGGATGTTCTTGTATATATGTGCGATTTTTATTATGCATGTTATTACTTTGCCCGTCATTCACCACAGATATAGAATTAGGAAATTGGTCGGTTTACACTTAGAGCGGGACCTCCAATCTATCCTTCAAAAATTTGATCAACAGGACAACTTCGGCGATAAGGTCAGGAAAAATATATTGTATATCATAAACCAAAAGGGTTTCATTGTCAAAAGTTCTCCATTATCCTTGATTTTTAATTGCTTGCATATAAATATATATACGTTTGGAAGTAGTAATTAATATCGATGTTCAAAAGTGCAAAAAAGTAGTAGTGCAGGGGCCCTACGACACGTGCTTTGTACGGAACAGTTGAGTCCTCTCTCAACGGCAACAAATAGCGCTATCGTGCTGCTGCTTCAATTTCCATATCTGTCAAGTGGTGAAAGCCATTCCGTCTGTCTGCTGTTAATTATTGCATTATTTTTCGTTTTTCGTTCTTGACCACCGGTACACCGTATTTTCGAGGCCTCGTGATGGAAACTTATCTATCAAATACTCAAATATCGCACCTTGCTCTTAAATGCTTTTTCTGCGGTCACTGGTTATATATAGTTTCGATTTGTATCTGCCCCAGATGTGCTTAAAAGCCTAACATACTTTAAGCACTTTACTTTAAGAAGTACTTAAAGTATGTTAAGCTTTTAAGAATCATTCGGCAACAGTACCGGTTATTTACCGATTAACGATCTCCTTAGAACTGGATGCTGCAATAAACAAGGCGATTCGGGTGAAGCGAACTCGTGTGATCAATGTAAGTAGTGATGCCATCGGAGCAAGAGAAGGAAAAATATCCACTTAAGATATATGCGGTTTAAAAATATTATATTCGATATTACCATGTAACAATAAAAAGCAGTCCTTTGCGATATCGCAGTTAACAAAAGAAAGATTACCGCCAGTAATAAACTCACTTTTTTTCCTTGGTCACAGGACCAGCAAGTAGCGCCATTTCGATATTCTCACAAAAGTTTGACACTGCACGTATATGTCGATGGTAATGGAACCCAGTTTTGTTAGAAGCCCTCAATTTACATTTGGAAAACCGTGCAAAATTAAAGTTGTGATACCCTCGTTGTTTCATTTATTCGAGCTGTTGCGTCATTCTTCAAGATGTAACAACAATCAGAGGGTTCGCATTTACTACAGACATCACCACCTGATTCAATGTGAACGAAGCTGCGAACTTCCTTCATCGTATTTGCTTTAAAAGCTTCTGTTCCTTTTACAGGTCTCTAGGGTCGATTACAAATAGAGAATGCAGCTCAGCAAAGCAAATCTAATTAGAATTTCATGACATGGTATTCTCATAATGGTAAAATGGAATAAATAGTTACCACATATTTTAGCTTTAAGGTAAAACAGGGCAGCTCCTTTTAGTCATGACAACTGCATTACTAGAAAGAAAATTGGAGGAAAAGAACTCTAAAAGAAAGAAGAAGAAGTCTATGCTTTTTTAATACTTCTAAACACATTTCACTAAAATTTAAAATCGGGCTCTGTTTCGTATAGTAAAATGTATGAACATTACGCAATTTTCTAAGGGACTGAGCGAAGCCTGTGTGTAAAAGTAAACTTCTTTCAGATATATCTTTCTATAAATGCGTACTTCGATAGTGTCATATTTTAATAACAGCATAGAAAGAGAAAGTGGAAAAAAAGCTGCGAAATTTTCCTAAAGATTGCTTCAAAGTTCCAGTAAAAATTTAATGTCCATTGTGGTACATCTTCATTTTTTGTTTTTCTTTCGCTTTCAAAGTGCACCTTTTAATTCAAATGGCATTCATTTTCAAAAATTTCAAAAATTAAAATTCAGTAAGGGCTTCGTATGATTGTGTTTCGATTTCAGTGATACAGCGTTAAATATCTTCGTTCGTGATTTGGGTTGCGAGTGGTCTGTTGACACAAGACATTAACTTGACAAACGCTAAACAAGAAACCTAAAGGTTTTAAATCGTATGATCTAACTGGCCAATTATGGTCATTTTTACAGGAAACTGCATGACCATGAAATCTATTGTATAATAATGCTATGGGACAAGTGGAACCGTCCTGTTGAGACCAAGTGCCTTTAAGATTAATACCTCCTACATGAGATACAAAGAAGTTTGTTAGCATGATTCGACACCGTTCTCCATAGAGTACTTGTACACTTCAAGCACCGTCCTTAAATAAAAAAGGGTGTAATTACGTTGTTAGCGTGAAAAATGCACCAAACGGTAGTGCATTCGGGATGCATCTTTGCTTTCGAGCCCATCGGCATAATAATGAGCTTCATCTCTCACCATGATTTCGCGGCAAAGCTTACTATTCATTTGTTACTGCCCAGTTGCTCAATCAACGGATGTTTTTTTACCAGATATATTACTTCATAAATTATTCCCATATATCTACTTTATAGTAAAAAAAGTGTTTAGGCATAAAACTTCTAGGCAAAACATTCTATGCGGGACTTAAGCTTTCCGCTCTTATTGGAGTGCCCTATATTTAGAAAGTAACAAGGAAAACAATAAAAACGAAGGCATTCATTCGTTCGGAATCGTCGAAAATATTTTAATGATGCAAAGCTGTTGATCCAAATAATTTGCTACATTACTTTAAAGGGCATTTTTTGTTCATGATTATTATATAAAAAAAAGTAACTTCTTTGTAGGACTTGGCTAATTAAACTTCATTGAGACGAAATGTACAATAAAGGTCATTAAATAGTGCTACTGATGTGGTACTAATAAATTCTATGCTTTTAAGCTTGAGTTGCGGTTGTCTACGGTGCTCTACACCTGGAATGTAATTAGTACCGCATACACTCTTTGTGTGTTTATAGATATTACTATTTGGAATGCAAATGGATGGGCTTGTTAGCTATTAATTAGTAAGCATAATTGAAGCTCTGCTGGGTGTCTGTTCCGATTAGATGTTCTCCATACCTTTTTTCATCTATTATTTACTCGTTGTACCTATTTAGTTCTATCTATGCGATACATTAGTCTCCTATAATTGACAGATAGAGGTTAAATTTGTTTTATAAACACCAGTTTTTATTTACATTCTAGATACATTTCTGTAAACCACATCACATTCTGTGCTTTAGCATTTGTTCTTTTTTTCTTATGAGCTCCAATTTATTATGTGTAGACTATTTTTACAAAGGATAGTCATTTTTGCACTTCACTAACAAACATGGCACAAAATAAACATATTTGTTTTTCTAATACTCTAACTCGTATCGATATATTACTGTGCAGATTGCGTGTTGTATTTTTAATGAGACATGATCATCACATAAGGTAACTGAGATACTGTGCAAACAAATCCGAAGTTGGACATTTTTTCGGCAAAGCTTGCGACCTTGGTGCGATAACAATAAAGTGTTGAGCTACAATTATCACGAAGTCAATGCTATGGCATTACACGTTCTTGGTACCTCAATGAATCCTGTTTTGCCGTGAATGTAATTGTTACTATTCATTCAGCCCTTTTCTGTTGTGGATTTTCAACCAAACTTTAACTGTACATCAACGTACGCTGTACGCATATCTCGCAAAACCGAGGTCAAACACGACGAAAATATACTTATTTGTCTGACTTGCGTGGAAACAAAAAAACGATATTGTGAAGAAAGACGATAGTAAATCCTACACATAATGAATCTGTAAAGATATTTTTGTCCTCATAGCAAGCGTTTTCCTCACACCGCTTACCTAGGTAGAAGGCAAAAATAATTACAACTTTGAGTTACGTAGGTATATGTATTCGATCCTTATCCTCATATGTGCCCTGGTCGCCTAAACAGATATAGGCTTGTAAAGGTAAAGGCATTATATAAATCTAGAGTTCAGGCCGATGAGCAGAACGGTGTCTTTGCACCTGATTTAGCTACTTATTTGACTGAGGGTTGCGTTGTTGCACTGTGTCACAGGCAGTAGCAAAAACGCTCATAGGACGAGGGCATCGCGCAGCGCGCGTGCTCGCTGAACCAGTCCGTACGATCAACACCGGATATCAGCTTAAGCCCGTTTTTTGCTTTCGGCTCAATGGCAATAGTTGCTTCAAATCTGCCCGGAGGAATCGTATTGATAGATACCCTGTATATGTTCAAAATTCGCGAACCCTCCGTCAGAGGCAACGCCTGATTTACCGTGCCAAGCTTCCACTCGACGCATTTAATAGCCTTATTGCGTTTAAGTTCGTTGTTAATCTCATCAACGATTGTTTGACCCAATTGAACAGACAGGGCAGGATCTACACGTTGATTCGCAACATCGTAGCAAGAACAGTACTCGAAGTCGATTCCTGCCTCTGCACACGTTCTATTATAAGGCACTATTTCAGAGAACAGACTATAACCCCGCTCTGTACGCGTAACGGGTCCCTGGTCGAGTGTCGCCAATTCTAGCATTGTAGCGTGCATATCATATACTGTCACGAGGCGGTGAGAATTGACACGGAGATTTTCAACGGCTTCGGGACGTTCTTCGATAAAACTTGGAGGCAGCATCAAATAACCAAAAGGAAGCTGATCCTCATAGCGGCCAAGAGGTGTGTTCCGGAAGTTTCCGAACCGAAAGCCATGATCGGAAATGAAGATAATAATTGAGTTGTTTAGAAAACCTTCTCGTTCCATAGCTGTGAAGAACTCAATAAATGGCTTATCGGCTCGGCTGGCTCCAGTCAGATCGTTGTGGGAAAGTTCGCTGAGCCACGGGTATAGCCAGAGCGGCTTACGGGATGTTCGTAAAAGATCTAAGACGTAATCGAGGTATATTGAAGCAGCTGGCTTCGGGCCAATACAAATGCCGTTTCCTAGGTTCATCTTCAAGCTACTGCCGTCAATCATCTGCATGATTGGACGTGGCCAATAGTCGACTGGCTGCGTGCGGAAACCCTTGAGTTCAGGCCATACGAATATACCATAGGACCATTGTTCTTCAAAGAACATTGTTGAATAGCCGGCATCGTTAAAGTCGTCCCAAATGTAGCGAGTCATATTGTCTAAATATCCTTTTTTGACTTCTTCGTATAGACCGTGGGGCCTAAAACGATGTCCCGTTAACAAGGGAATCTGATTGGGACTAGAGTTTAAGCCCACTTTGTTGTATCCGAGGAGTTCAATGACAGTGTTAGGCCGATTATCCAGAAATTTCTTTGTTTGCGTCAGAGCGCGATGAAAGTTAAGTCTCGAGACCGAGTCGTAACCGAGTACAATTACGTTGTATGGCCTATTGGAAGCGCTCGATTCGTCAAAGACGCTGTCGCCTTTAGCTCTAGCTAGCAATAAAGGTTGGGAGTAGAATCTCGTTTTGAGCGAATATCGGAAACACTCTATCCACACATATTCAGCGTCAATAAATTCACCAAATTTTAGTGTAGTCTCATTGACCAATTGAAATCCGAAGTCTGGCGTAGAACGCTCATCTCTAATCGCAATCTGGTATGTGCAACGAAGGTTCTGTTTCTTCAGTTTATAATGACGCCATAGGATTGTCTCATCCAAATAAGGAACTGAATAGATTCCTTTAACCTGTGGTCTAATGAAGAGTGGTGGTAACTTAGGACACCGTACGACTGCCTTCGTGAGGAATTTGCTGGAGACTTGAGGATCATATGGGTCGAAATCAGGTATTCGACAAGTCGAGGTTTTGATGAGACTCCCCGGGGCATTGTAAAATGCAGGCTGTTCCTGATTGACGAAGACAATTTGATCTCCAGAATGGATTGACGAATACGCCAGCATTAAGAGGACAGTAAAAGCTGCAAATAGCCATAAAGTGAAGTGGGTATCCCGTATGATACGGATTGGAATCGCATCCTGAGAGCAAATCATGGTGATATCTAAAGACTCCTCTGAGTAGTCGACATACTGGATGATACTCGCATTCTGTAAAAACGAGAGAAAATAAAAAATATAAAGAAATATTAAAAGGCGTACGAAATACTCAATGCTTGCCCTAAACATATCGATCCACAAGTTCCATCGGCTTAATAGGGAGCCGCTTTACAATTATTATTGTGTTTGCAAGTATATTTACTCGGCGAGCGTGCACTATCCTTTGTATTATGCCAAAATGTGATACTGAGATTTGCTAATCTTATAATGAAATTACAGATAAAATCATTAATACTAGTTAGCATAGTCTCTCTTTAAGGCTTACTATTCTAGTAAAATTCGTTTATACTGAAAAATATACACGCACGGGCTATTGTGTTACAATAGTCCGTGCTTGTTATTACATAAGTTGTTATATAAAAGGCACTCTGTTTAAGAGAATGGAATATAGAAGAATAGAGATGTTGTTTAGGCCACGTTTCATAAAAACTTGTGGGGGCCTATATGTTTGAACTGTCTAAGACAAAAAAACTGCTAGCTTATAACCTTTTATAAGATGGATTGTATTTTGTTGTTAAAAAAAAAAATGCTTGTCGCTCCGAGCTATTTCAGGGTTCAATTTTATTTATCCTATTTATCGTTGATAGTCGAACAAATCTTAGAAGACGGAAAATGTCGACTCGTTGCGAATCTCCAGTTCTCCAATAAAATAACTTGTTTGCATATGTAAATACGCGGCTCCCCAAAGTTTTCATTACGCTTTCATGCTCTGTAGGTGTTTGATAATCGGAATTCGTCTGAGTGATCTGAACGCCTGCGACTTGAACCAACTGAGACGCATCAAGTTTAATATTTTATTGAACGCAAGCGCGAACAACACTATGACAGCAAGATATATATTTGTTTTCGAGTCGGACCACTTGATACAAGGCATGTTGAATAAAACGAGCCGCTATCCAGACCTGTTGCCAATTCGCTCGCGGACTAACCCGCTTGACTGAGGTTGCTCATCGTCACTACGTAGCTATACCGTTCAGCCGAACGTACGGGTATTGTTTACTCTTGTACTTAGTACTTACCTTATATTCAGATAATTTATTGACAGGTATCAGCCCCCTATGGAGAATCGTCTCACAGGCTTCTATATTATAAACTTATGCTAGCAGCACACAGTTTACGAGGTTCCATCATGACTAGAAAATCTTCACAACTTATCCTTTATAACTTTTTTACCACATTTTCCACTTCACAAACTTTTTTCCTACAATTTTAAGTAAAACGAGACGGCACACATTCGTACGTCCTCGTATAGTCTATCGCTTTCTCCCAAACAGACGTGGTTTTTTGTATTCGCCCGTAAATTACGTCTAACTATTTTTGAATCACTTGATCACCGCCGGGTGTTGTAGTGCCGTGCAGCCAAGAGCACAACTACCCCTTGCCACTTTCGATGATTTTAAAGATACTCATCCTACTCATCCGGCGGAATAACGCGATAGTCTTATCAGTGTAATGTCTCCGTTGGCGGTTTTTAGCAATAGAGCTCGTGAAGTGTCCGCTTCTACCGCGCTACTTGCGACTTCGTTTTGCCAGCGTTTCATGCTGTACCTTAGAAGATGCTTACGTGGACATCACTGCCACGTCAGATTAGAGCGGCTCTTCCTATGCGTGCTTTGGCTTACCGGCTGCGCGCCACTTTTCGCCCACCAAAATCTGCCTGGTCAGGCCGATCCAGGCCGAATTCATCTGTCCGACAACCTTGAGCGTCACGCAGTCTGAACACCAATGCAAGTACCCCACTTGCCTACATCAGGTGCTCGTAGGCCTGCGTCATTTGTTCAGGTTAGCACACATGCTCTAGGGTGCCACTAGGGAACGAACAAATGCGGCGTGTGGGCGCGCCACCACTACTGTGACAAGGGACTTACCAGTATAACAAATCCTTGTTATATCGTAGTCGGCTCACCGTTACGTACGGCTGTTTCGCCAAGAAGTATACGCTGATTGAATACGCACGTTCTTTCATTCTCCGTCTCTCTCTACTCCCCACCCTCTCTCTTCCCTCCTGCGGTTCAGTTTTGTTAAGTACCTGCCAAAACCGAACGCTTCGATAACATCTTTGTATATTACTTTCTGGTTTTTAATGCGGAAGATCGCGGCGATGAGCGTCGAATACTCAGTCTAGATGTATCTAGAATTCCTCGCCACCCATAGTACGATTATTGCTAACAGTAACGTAGCTTCTATGTAAACATTTGCTGAATGAAGCGGCTTTGTATATATGTGTGGTTTTAGGCTGATCCAAAACCTCATGATGCTAACTAATTATTGAAAGCATCGAACTACTACCATAGCTGGGCTAGTTCTTGAATTTGAAAAAAGCTATTTTAATAGTTTATGCTGTATCTTGTTAGAACTTATTTTAGTTACTAATGAGAAGTGTTTGAATGTTGGTGGTTTATTAACTTCATAGTAAGTGTTGATTGTGGACCAGCTGCCATACACCTGGCTATCATCGGGTTTGAGCGTAGTGTAACATGGTAACGTTGTAATAAAAAGCTTCTTTATTCCCATTGGCGGGACTCAAGCAGCGATCTCTAGCCTCTTTCAAGAGGCTCTGTCGTTTAGCTCATCGCGTCCATTGTATATACATGCAATATTTTTTATAATATTATTATTACTCATATTTCGTCTATCTAATGTCTGGCTTACCGTCAAAAAAGGAACAGTTCCTAACTGATGGTTTGTACTCGGATGTGACACTTAGTTCTGGTCCAGCTTCGTATCTGTCTATGCACCATATTTACTGACAGTAAAATTTCTTTTGCCTAACGCCCATTGGTTGTCCTATCTTAGTCACCAAAATTAAAATCTCAAAAGATATCCGCCACTATCTAACACTGCAAAATATCCTGGCACCCACACACACCGGGAGACAACACCGCATGTACTTCTCTTTAACCAGCTGCCATGTAAGTCGATTTTGATTAATGAAACTCGCTTGTCGACAATTTGTGCTCCTTAGATCTATGTACAAATAAAAATTAAGCTATGTATGTTGTCCAATTTGCAGCGTAAGCCTGGTGATTGCATGAAAAATATATCCCAAGCGCTAGGAACTGCACATATCGGCCTAGACGAGCAGCGTGCACCTATAATCAATAGGTAGTACGTCTGATGATTGTAAGAATTTTTCCATAGATCGAATAATCTCGTATACGCATTGCACCAGTGGGAGTCTATAATTATTTGCAGCACCTTTCGGTAGGGAATGGGTAAAGTTCTGAACACTCATTACTAATCAATCCCCAGAATAACTAAGTCGTCTTACAACTACTAGCACGTTCCATTTACGTCAAATATACCTGAACGTCGTTAGAAACTCTGTTATTCCGTCACACGGTGGAAAATCACTGCCTTAAGTCCGGCCAACAACACAAAAATAACACAACACATGTAGGCGAACCAGTGGTATTCTAAACCTAGTTCAGGTTGTAGAGGGCACACTACTTCGGCATTTCGAACTAACTCTTCCCATTCAGTTTGCTAAGGCGGACAAAGTAAATTGTCGAAGCTGGTCGCAGGAAACTCGGCCGAATAGGAAAGATAATCCTATGTGCTTTAAAAAATATTATCCTAATATGTAAAATTCTATGAATGCGATATCTAACGGTTTAATTATATAAAGCAACGTCTTAGTTAGGAGATACTGAGCGGAACGATCTCATGCTACCCGTGTTGTGCACTCAAATATAGCATCGAGACGGGTTCACTTCTTCTTTACCACAAATCTATCGTACGATAGTACTTGTTGTTTGTCGCTACGGTGCATCCACCGTACTAGGCGCTTCAACCTAGTGGCAAGTACAGTCTATGAAACCGCTCTATAATGCCACGGCTACGAGTGGTATTATACGCACAAGATCACGATTGTAGATCTTGAAGTATTGTCAACTGCTTTTGTTAGATAGCAACAACAATCCTGATAATGGAGAGCGAGATAAATATATTTCGCTTTCAATAGAAGACTCAAAAGCATGGATAACGCGTGGCATATATATCTGTGGCTCCGAATTAAATACGTTTCCTAGTTAATTTTACTGCCCATTTTGCCCAACGATGCTTAAGCGTCTCCACGGCCTTTAATGCATAAAATTGTCGCTTCCAAACGGCTGAAGCAGGATTTTAGGACGCTCACATTTAGGTTTTCTTACAACGCATTTTCCTATCTATATTTTTATAATAATACTCATAGACGCTCTATGTGTAGCTGCATTTTGCGTCGCAGTGCAAGGCACTTGCAAGCTTAACCGAACATGGATCCACTTTAATATAAAAGTAAAATTTATAAAAAAAAAAAAAAAGTTCATCCGAATACGCTGTGGGAACTCAGTGACATGAGCCGGTTGAGGTTGACGTGAACTGACTGATTTTTGGCCTTACAAAAAGCAATATAAGCATCATAAGGACGTGTGATCTATTCAGAAAACAGGGACAATATTTGCTCAACTTCGCCGCCCATAAGGCAATAGTCGCTGTCTAAATTTGCGAGGTTATGTACACTTTGCATTGAAACAATTTGAAAATCTGAGTTAAAGATAGAAACCTTTCGAACTTTACGCCTTATACTGCCTCAGTTAAGTACTGCTTCAGATAGCTTTTTTTCAGCATTAAAAAAATGACTACGCTTAGTTTTTAATTTGCACTTCCTCACGTTCCCCTAAAATGACGAAGCAATCGAAACTTGGTGCTGCACCATCCTGGTGCACATGAAATCTGAGTTAGATCTTTATGATGGAATATAAATGAAAGAGCGCCTTGGAAGATGAAAATTGCTATCGAAAAGCTGTTTCTTTCAAAAGACCGTCAAAAGTAAGAACCACGGTACTTTAAGCTAAGAGACCTATAACACAGAAAAAACATTCTCTATAGGAAACAACTTGTATGCAAGGCTGAGGCGAAAACTAAGCGGTATTTCTCAAAATCGGTAAACAGCAATACTAGGAGTACCCTAACGGAGTCTCCTATTGACAGGACGCTTTCCCAAATTCTGGGTACCGTGACTAAGTAGCGCATTCGAATTTGCGTCTAAGCATAACTCCATATATATTTATCTAGCAATCAGTAAGCTTATTTACAATGAAACAATATTAACAACAGTGCGGCATAATCCATGAATCCCAAAAATGGTCAGCAATATCGATAAGAAGATACTATAATCTGTAAAACTAAAAAAAGAAAATCTAAAATTAGTAACTCTGCAGTTGTTCTCAACAGAGACAATGCGGAAAGTTCATAGCTGACCCCAGATCTGGGCCATCTGGGTTCGTAGCAAGCGTTTGAGACTGATAACACCTAACACAATAATGAACTTGGAAATACTTATAACACGACGGTTTGTTCAAGGCATGGTGGTTGGCAAATGATCTTGCAGTGTTAACTGAACGTCGTTACGTATGAATATGACGGTCCCCTGAAGTTTTCTATCATTTGAAGAAAGCCATTAATATGATGCACACGTTTGAAATTAGCCGCCACCACATTGACTGGAAGCTTTTTAGGCGCTCACACGACGAAAAGCTTGCGTTGCTTCTGTAATAGACTACCGTAGTTTTTCGAAGTACAACTCGCTCTTTACGTACACAGAATATTCGCTAGGTTCGATATCGAGAGCCAACGACGATGTTCAGTGTTGAGGAAGCTAGTTTATTTGAGTCGTGTAATAGAAATGTAATGCTGAGAAGCAATCGTCTAGCGTTCTGTGCGCTAGACTATATTCCACAGCGTCACAACGAACCCGTCCGATTTTTAACAGTCACTGAGGCAACTACGAACTCCAATAACACATTTAAAATTTATGGAACAAACCAGATAAGGGTTTATTTACAAAGATCAACGATTCTAATGACCTGAGCCTTTACTTCGATGAAATGGACGGCGCAATACTACATAACAGCCTGACACTAAAATTCACGAATCGTTAAATATATTAATGAACACTGCATAATAGCGTATAATAAGCGGTCCTCTTTTGTTCAGTTTAGACAGTCTCTTATCTCTACATGATGTATAATGTGCGCTAATGCGTGAAGATCTATGTGTGAAGATCACAGTACAAGATCGCACCACATTTGGACACTCTTAGCTAATACCGTTAGTCATACACGCTGAGCTAGTAAATTCTACACAGATTCTAACATTTAGATAATTAGAAGCACGAAAAAGTTTCATGAAGTAACCTAATGAGTCATCCATCATAACTTAGCAATTTTGTGGCTTGCTCTTGATCTAAAGGGGCCGTAAGCACGAGAACGATAACGGCGTTGCCACTTGTTGTATTTGCATAATAATATATTGTATAATAATAGAAAAATAGTTTTTATAATTACAACACATAATCGGTATTGGTCTACGAAACCGATCCTGGACATGAGAATTGCTTTAATTCTTCATTCATAGTTTGAATTCAATAGTTTGGCAAAGCACGTCTCTTGGTTTTTCTACTTTTACCTTTTATGTATATATATATAAACGATGTGACGTGGCTATTTACTCGTGGAAATAAAGCATCAATCAGCTATAAGGAAGGCCGAATCGGACCAGTTGAGGTTTTCTCTGGCCAAAAGGCTCCATTCCATTTTTCTGTTTTGACTTAGTTTTCAAGCAAACGTTTGGGAAACCTGCCTGTCAACAGGTGCAGGCTGAGGTAATCTGCATACTCGACTTGAACTAATTTTTTAGTTAGAATAAATAGAAGAGATGTTGGCGGCGAAAAATGTTTGTTCTTGGCGTTTTTCTCATTCAGGTTGTTTACTATTACACGCAGCGCACCCTTTATAGCAATAGTGCCTGCATCAGGCGGTACTCAGAGCAACATATTCGGGACCAGTGGAGAGTGTTATAATAACTTATAAACAACCACCTGGCCAATTTTTCCAAAATTTGCGCCCACGTCACCATAACTACGTGGCCTTGATTGACCAGGTTCTGTTGTTTGCGTCCTATCTGCGGTATGAATTCGGCTTTTCTAAATGCGGCCGTATCTTGAGTCTTAGGTCAATCACTTTTACTGTACTAACATATACCGCTGTGCTCAAACCCAATTATGTCCTAGGATGAGTTGACATGGAAGAGTCACCTGTCAGAGCAGATAAATCCTCCGAATAATAACCGTCGTCACTAGTGCTACCGCGTTGCTATTTGTTGTTGCTGCAGCTGTGACAATTCCCTGCAAATCGATCAAGCTCCACAGCTTATTACGTGATTGTATTAGAACATCGAAGTCCGGTCAAGGTACTCCACTTCGGCCTATGATTAGCCTATTTTCATTATTAATGATGCAGTAATACGCGGTTAGGTAATCTTAATAAACAATCTGAATTAGAAATAACACCAGTTATGCTAAGAGAAGCCTGATATAGAAGTTCTATAGCCATGCGACTACTAAGCATGCGCTACGTATGTGAGCTTATCAGAATCGGATGTTGAACAGAGCAGAGACTCATTATTATTCAATTCGAAATGATTCAGAGTCCCGAAAAAGCAGTTGACACTGCTTTTTCGGTATATAGGTATATATAACAACAGGATCCCGGTTCTGTTGTTATATGACAAACGCATTGCTAACCTTTTGCTTTTTTGGAAGGGAAACTGTCATAAGATCAATTGTTTTGTTGAGCACTGTCGCCATTTTACGTCAGATGTCGACAGTCACTGGGTGCGTTAGGTATACTAGCACGGTACATCACCAAGCGACGACTAAAAACGCGGCTAATAATCGTACGCATTCATACAACGTTGACTAAGAGTAATTTATTTCATCGACTCCTGAGTACCAAATAGATACTATATTAATTAGCATCCTAACCTCTCGCTACCCGTTTCACCTAATTCGTTCGATTCAATCTCTATAATATAAAATTCATTTTAGAATTGATATAGATGAGATTATTTTTAAGGAGAGATTGAGACTTCGCTAGCGATTTCACCTGTTGTTCAAACCAATATGTTAAACGGCTTGCTAACTTGCGCCGCAGCGTTCTGTCGATAGATGCAGCAAATAACGTTACAGTAAACCATGTGGGTCTACCCTCTTTCTTTCTCTCTCATATATATATATATATATATATATATAATCTTTTCAATTAATTAAATTCAATCAATTAAAATTGTGTACCTACATTTCTCGAACACTCACAATAATAGGTGCCTATATTTTTTATCGGGTACTTCATGAACTTCGTTTGGCTGATCTACGAGAAAAACTACTGCACAAACAAAAGCCCGTGTTCTGGGTATTGCTAACCCAATGCCACTGTTAGGGCAATCATTAACGTCAGGTTCGTCCGGCGCGTTTTGTTTTTTGGTACATGTAGCACTCAGCCCAGATATTTTGTGCAACAAAGATTACTGAAGTCGGTTTTTGCTGCTCGCCTACACCATAAACAAAGTTCCGATAAATTATTTCCACCGTATGCAATAATGGTAACGAGTTATATACTGGCGCACAAATTCATTGCCATTCAAATCATTGATTGTATTAAATAAGAAGCCGTTTGTGATGAACGATCCTTCCCAAACCGGCAATAAATCAATTGAATATACAGCTGAATGTGTATAGCTTGTGTGATACATTTTCTGTTTTTTTTTTTAATAAATATGTCAATAAAATAAGCACATACAGCGTATGTTTTGTTAAAAAATAACTGTTACACTCTCAGGGTTACTCACCAAGATAAGAACCGGAGCGTTATTCTGTCTAGTTACTCACCTCGACTCGAATTCTGCAATTGATACCCGGAGCTAAACTAGTCTAACGTCATCATGGGCATCGCACAGGTTTCACACGATCTGTGCGCTGCCCCTCTCTGCTAATATATACGCAACGACGATACGTTGGCCAAAGATGAAACTGAGTCCATGAAGCAGACGCCGCCCGGTCAGACAGTGCAAATTTTTGGGCCGGCAGAGGATTGTAACTTAACCGGGCCACAGGTCGGAGAATTTCTTCTGGCGTGATACAAGTTGGTTTTCGCCTTCTGATGCCTGTGTGCGCCGTTGCAGTGGCGCGGTGTGTAAACGAGCATTGGGAACGGCTGCCCCGAGCGCCAGCCGGACGCTGTTGCCGTTGCTGTTGTAGCTGTTGAACTTGTCACCAATTTCAAAATACGTGAATTAGACAAGCGAAAGACAGAAGTTCCGCTAGAAACACGCAGAACAGACAAGAGGTCTCTTGACTTGGCTTACCGCGTATACACACGACAATAGAGTTTCGTTCGACGGCTGCCTATTTTCAGCCCACAGCAGAAGAATAACTACGGACAACTACGTCTGACGGTAGGACTCCGCCTAAGTGACTGTAGACACATGCAGTAATAACTGGTGGTGTTATAAATAAAGCCAGCGTTACGCTAAGCAGCTTGAGAAGATTTTTCTTCAGAAATAAAAACGATACACAAGAGCGGCTGATAGCTGTCGACCATGCACTTCACCTGTATATACACCTGAAAACTTCTTTCGGGATTCGTCTCCAGAATCCGCACAAGTGGTGCAGTGTTTGTAGTC